CAGTGGTACCTCGGGTTAAGAACTTAATTTGTTCTGGAGGTCCGTTCTTAACCTGAAACTGTTCTTAACCTGAAGCACCACTTTAGCCTCCCACCATGCCGCGCGATTTCTGTTCTCATCCTGAAGCAAAGTTCTTAACCCGAGGTACTATTTCTGGGTTAGCGGAGTCTGTAACCTGAAGCATCTGTAACCCGAGGTACCACTGTAATATACGTGCATGGAAAATAAAAGATCCACATCCCTGTATGTATTTCTGTCACCCACAAGGGGGCACTATATACTACTATACTGGTAGGAGGAAGATAGTTCAGTTTAATGTTTTTGTAATCAAGGGAATAGGGGCAAGTTCAAAAGCAGCAGCTGCATTAATCCGTTGTGTTTCCATTTTCGATACACGCACTGAAAAGATGAGTTAGGGTACCCAGTTGGATATTTCATCTTGTTCATTTAATTAAAATTGGAAATGAGGCTGTGGCACTGGAGAAAGAGGGGAAGCCATTTTCCTTGCACAATTTCCCCCAGTGTAACCTTTCCAAGCTGCTGTTTGCCTTGTTTAGAAAAACACATCTGTATGTCTCCCCCAAAGAGAGTAAAACAGCTGCTTTGGGGTGGGGGTGTACAACAAGAAAGACACTCCCCAAGCACCACAGTCCAAGATCTCGCTTCCCTATTCTGTTATAGCTGCTTTAAAGAAGCATTTTAAAGACAGAGATCTCATCAAGTTTATAAATTTATACAAATAAATAAATAAATAAATAAATATTTAACATAAATAAATAAATAAATAAATAAATAAATAAATAAATGGTAAATAAATAAAGGGGAATAAATTAGGAAGAAAGGGCAATCTCCATTTTCTATTGAAATTCTAACTGGAAACATCTAATATAACATAATTATGTATGAACTAAAACTCACGAAACAGTCGTAGTGGACTATGCAGAAATGGGAAAGCTGACAGTGAAATTAAGAGATAAAAATGATGAACTTTTAAGAGATAAAAATGATGAACATAGAAGAATGGAGGCCTTTCATGGACTATTAAAAAAAAACTACATTCAAATGAAATTGCGGACAGAACTCGAGATAAAAGAAGTGGAAGAAAAATGACAAATAACTGTAACAGATAAACTTTTTGTGGTAGATAAAATATAATGCAGTAGAAAAGGCTTGAGTAAAAAACACGGTGGAAGTGAGGGTGGGAAGTCAACTTATGAAACAATGTACTTACTTGATTTCATGGTTATTGTGAAATGGTTTGAAAATTTTAACTAAAAAATTATATACAAAACCCCCCATAAAACAGTGAACTAACTTTTGAATTTCACAGTAGTTTTCCTCAGGTTTGACGGTCAACATACACACATACAGGGGGTGGGAAATATAAGAATATAGGAAGAGCCTGTGTAGTCCAGCATCCTGCCCTCACAATCTTAAGATTCAGAATTTTTTATTTTTATAGACTCAACAGGTTTTTAATAAAGCTTGCTGGTACCAGGAACCAGTTGGAAAGATGAATGCCAGTCGTCCTTCAGATTTGTCTCTAGCACCAGCTGAAATTCACCACAAGGTGTTGTAGGAGAGAGCAGAAGGTAAAAGCATGGTAGTCTTTTATATATTAGCAAAGCAGGAGATTTTTACATGATGCACTACGTAGAAAAACCAATGGACGCCAAACTTGCCTGGTGTTTGGAAAAGCACTGCCTTCCCTCCTGACTTAGGCAAACTTTGTACTGGGTTTCTGCTAGAACTTGGTTCTACTACCATTTTTCTATACATGGGGCTGCCTTGGAAAGGAATTTGGAAAATTACAGCTGCTCTGTCTTCTGCATCTGTATCTGAACAGTTTCCAGGCCCCGGACCAATTCAAAGTGCTGTTAACCTTTAAATCCCTGAACTCTTTGGGGCCAGGTTGCCTGAAAGATTGTCTCTTCCCATACCTACTTGCCTGACCTTTTAAGATGTCCATCAGAGACTCTTCTCTGGCTCGTGCAGGCAAATGTTGTCAACTCTTTGCAGTATTGGTGCTCTGGTTATGGAATGACATTCCTGGAAAGGCTGGCACTACATTGATGTTCCTGTTATTTTTACACAGCAGTGCTGACAGCTGCCTTAATCTTCACAGAGGACGTACAAAGAGGGTCTTCATTTGTTCTCCGGGGGTAAGTTACAACAGTGATGCGTGTCTTGGACCCAGTTCAGGTGGTAGGAATGACTGAGACAATATGATCACAGACTCACCCATGTACTGTTCCAACTTTGCGACACTAGGAAAATCTAGCAGGAGCAAAGATTAGATTAGTTTATTTAGCGATTTATTTATTTTTTACTTTCTCTCATCTCCTAGCATCCCTGTGTTAACCTTCAAAAGGGAGGTTTGGCTGTCCTTCATCTCACTGGTGAGCCCAAGGGCAATAAAGCAACCTGAAAAGTAAACAGTATGTTCAAATAATTTTAAAAGTACAACAAAGAAATATTGTGTGCAAAACACCTCCTAAGAGCCATGAGTCTCTGAGTGTTCGCACACAAGATATTTTCCTCTTAGGCAAGAAGCAGAACTGAAACTCTCATGGAAGGACAACAAAAAGTTCAAATGAGGATTGAATTTGGAAGAGCAACACTGAATGAGGAAGGCCATAAGTTTAGAATAAGGGTCTTTATATACTGAAGAATACCAGAGGCAGAGTCTAACAAGAGACAGAATAAATATATTCCAGGGTCCTGCAATTACTTTGACTATACAGTGGAACCAACACCAATACTTGCCAAAGATAGAGAGAACCCCAGAGCTCTTTTCTCTTGACACACTACCAGAGATTGGACCATGCCACATCTCTACACTATAGTAAAAGATGTGCAGGTAGTATGCAGCCCAAATACTTCTATGGAGCGTGAGATGGAAGTGTGTTTGAGAGGCCCCTAAAGCCTAGAATTGATAGAAGCAGAACTAGAAGAACTTAAATGTACCACACCTTATCTGGGGATCATCAAGTTTTGAGAGAAAAAATATTATTAAGTTCAAAAATGAATTATCTGAATTTCTCAAATCAGACTAAAGGGTCTTCTGGATGGAGGGCTCCTAGTGCTACTGATTAAATGGATCTTCCACCATAAGGTAAAAGCAGAATTCCCATTCACAGGGATATAGTGTGGGCATCTTGCTATGTCTTATGCACCTGGCGGGCAGAATATAGTCTAGCGGCCAATGTTGTCCCTTCCCCTTCCGTGACTCTTCATGGTTCCCTTTATCTCATTTTGAAACAGGTGCTTTTCTCAACCATTTTAACATTGTGTGTGTGTGACACCAATTTTGAATCAGTGGTCATGCATGTCTTTTTAAAAAAATGTTAAGTCACGCTATTCCACCATAGTTCGATTGCACAACCGTACAAATTATTTTTGAAAGGGAATGTAGCCGTACATCCAAGATATTTCGGGTTCTCATCCGCTTTTGACAATGAGGTCTCTTGGTGGGTTCCAACTATGTAGAAATACAATACTGAAAACAGTTAAAACAGATTACAGCAGACATCGGCCCTCCAGATGTTTTGGGACTACAACTCCCACCATCCCTAGTTAGCAGGACCAGTAGTCAGGGATGATGGGAATTGTAGTCCCAAAACATCTGGAGGGCTGAGTTTTCCTATGCCCAGATTACAGTCACCAGAACAAGGTGGGTCAGAGAGGCCTAACATCAAGTTGCATCTTTTTGCCCCTGTGCTTCAAGGTTATTTCATCTCTCTGGCTTGGAGAATACTGGCCAGTTATTAACAGGCTGCTAGAAGTCTGCTGCTGCCCTGGATGTTCTGGTAGAAAGAGAAGTCCAATGTCAAATGCTTAAGTAAACACTGGTGAAGGGCACAAGCTGCTACCCCAAAATAAACAGTGTCTGATTACTGTGATTTACTTGTAGGTAGTTTCCTTGCAATAAAGAGAGATTGTGATATACTGTATTGTTTCTCATATTGTTAACTACATTGCTACATGCAACAAGACTCGGTCACAAAATGCACTCATTCTGCAATAGTTTGGGTGGTTGCTTTCACAACCTGCAAGAGCTCAACATATCAAGATTAACAGGGTTAACATAGATGGCCTAGTTGCAGTATAACCCTCTTGAACCATCTGTTGAAGTGGAACCAGGCTTTCCTATGAACTCACACATGCATTTCATTGAGACCTGATTTCTTGACCCATTACAGCACAGAATTAAATCCTTTATCGGTTGTATAGCAAATACATTTTTTTGCCGGTCTCTCACTCGATTGGCTTTGGGTTGGACCCTGAGAAAGACCCACAAAAACAACATCTGTGAAATCCTAAAAAAAGTTGTCCTAACTGCCTTCTACCTCCAAAAGACGCTTCTCCTGGGGGTTAGGGGACCCTGGGCTGTATTGTCTCTGAAGATCAGGCCGATGCAACTTCTGTGAATGGAACTTCCAACTCATAGATGTTGCCTCTGCCCTATTTTGGAGATCTGCCTTCACCCGCAACTCACGTCATTCAACTGGGTTTCCCAATTCTTAGGGGAGCTTTTAAGTGTGTTGGGTGCCTGGGATGGCTGAGAATGTGTTTCCACTGGTCTCTTTCTGCACTTTTCTCAGGATCCAACCCACTGGGAGGCAGAAAAAGGCCCACCTGCTTCTAAGAGGCTGCAGATGAATCTGAATAATCATTCTAATGCCTGTCCAGCCTAGTAGTACCTGCACAAACCTGTTGACCGAGGAAGGAGCTCAAGCAGAGCAACCACAATGTTGTGGGTTATCAAGGGCAGTGAAATTTTATCCGCTGCGATAACGTCTATTGTGTTGAATGTACCACAAGTTCTGTGCAAAATACGCAACACCAAGGAGGGAGAGAAAAGGACATTTGATAATTACGTTTTCCATGCCCAACTGAACGCTTTGCTTATCAACAGTTGTTTTAACAGAACGATAGTTACTGGGGGTGAATATATGCTGTTATCAGCTTCTGATGATGATGGATATTAATCTGCATAACCTTCAGGCTAAAAGGGTATAAAACCAAAATGGTTACCTGATCAACTCTTTGGGCAGCGGCTGAACAGCTTGTTTTCTGAAGGAGCTCCTGGCTTTCAGCAAAGATGGCAACTTTAAATGAAAAGAAGACATGCAGCCAAAGAATGGAGAACTTCCAGCGTTTCTTATGGAATCCGGAAACAGGGCAATTAATGGGAAGAACCTTGATTAACTGGGGTATGTGGCCAAACACACAGAAGAGAATGTCGTTCAGGCATTTTCGTGCTGTCGGGATTTGGTCATTTGCATTATTTCTGTATGATTAAATGTCTTAAGTTGACAAGATGCTTCCTATATAACCGTGTTACTTGGTACGAGCCTGGAAAATCCACAAACTTTTTTTTTAAAAAAACAATTTGCAAATTTGTTGACTTTAGCATAAAACACTCTTTTCCCTTTTATTTAAAATAGCTTACAGGGAAGCAGTTGGCTCTGCAACAGACTAACGAAACCCAGAACTCCTACTAGACGAGCACAGAAATGCCAGTTTGTGGCAGAAACAATAGAAGGAACATGACTTTGATTTTATTCTTTTGGATATGGATCCAAAGAACCACATAACTAGTTCTGTGAATCCAAGGGAGTTTTTCCACAGCAGCCCCAAGTGCTGGGTGCAAACCTCTTTAAGAAACTGAGGGGAGTTTCAAAAGCGGTTTGTAATATGGCACAGGGGTCTGCTCTTCAACGGAAAGCTGCTAAAAGATTGTGTTCAAAGTGCATGCAATGGGTTAGATGCACCTAAATCAGCTCACTGGATCTAGTCTGTCTTCAGAAGGGTGCCGTTACTTATATATATAATAATAAAAGTCTCTGAAGTACAGCTAATGGAAAATTTAATTTCAAACATCTTTATCCCTTTCTTCAATCATAAGCCACAGCAACTTAAAAATGCCATTGATAAGATGTTCAATTTATTGGTTATTATTTTGTGACTAATTTCAATATATGCTACTTGTATTTCATTAGATTTCATAGGTGGGCTTATCCACACTTTCCTTTCTCCTCCACTCTTCCCAGGTATGACTTCTGCTCAGTGTCCAATTGCCTTTTTTCTTCTTCTCCAGAGCTTTGCCCATGAAAACGCCCTCTTTAAGCTCAATTGGACCAAAATGCAATTCATGGTAAACTTGAATGGATGTTTGCTCCAATTGAGCGCTAAAAAGCAGATTTTCATGGGAAAAGCTCCAGGGCAAAAAAAAACCCCTTTGGACACAGAGCTTTTAAGTGCAGAACTGGACCTGGAAAGAGCACCGCTAAAGTGTGGATAAGCCTGGTGCACACACACGTGCGTGCACACAAAATTTATGCTCCAGCTCAACATGCGTTTTTACTTTGTGATGTGAAACAGCAGATTGCATTTTTGTCCGTTAGACTTCAACGGTGACATACTCATTGTCCCTTTATTCTTTTGGGAGTATAAATTTTAAACAGTACATTTCTCTGTAAGTTTGCACTGAAGACCTCCACAACATCCTTACTTGGTAGTTGAAGCAATTAACTTCAGTTGTGCGGTATACGTTGTAATTCTTATTATGAGAAACTCAGAAAGTTCTCAACTCATAATTTCAGTGCTGGGATATTTATTTCAGTGCATCCAACCCTATGAAAGCCAAATGGTATTGAATTTCCAGCTTCTACTGATGATCTTCAAAGCAGCAACTGTTGTCAGCTTCTTGTTGAGTGTAGCATTCTCCTGAATCGCAGTTCTACAAAAATCTGTGCTCCTTTTCTAGCACTAGAATACTTAACCAGGAGATTAAGAAGCTCCTGTGCTGAAACGCCTTAAAACTATTATAAATATTTCATCTAACTGTTGACATGTACTTGGTTGCTGCTATGATTAGTTACTGAACCAGAACAGATTGCCTCCTAAGAGTGATGAATACCATGCTTTTAAAAAGTTTTAACTTAATATTTCTTTTCTTAATAGTTTGGATCAGTCTTTATTATGTCGCATTCTATGTGGTAATGACTGGGCTGTTTGCACTTGCTATATATTCTTTAATGAAGACACTCAATCCGTATACACCGGACTACCAAGATCGATTAAAATCACCAGGTACTTAACACATTCCTGCCCATTCTGTTAAGTTGTGCTACATACACACACACACACTTACTGCATAAATCAACTTAAGACACATAAAATGATGGTTTGAGTTCTGATGAATGAAGTATAGCCTGGTGCTTAAGAGTTTTAGGAGCAGGGATGGGGAATCTGTGGTACTCTAGTTGTTGCTGAACCTTAACTCCCATTAGCCCTAGCTAGGATGGTTAATGGCTAACACCACTTGGAAGGCCACAGCTTCATTTGTTTTAGAGGTAAAACTGATGGAATGATATAGTTGTACCTTGGATGTTTTGGCTCCCAAATGCCACAAACCTGGAAGTGATTGTTCCGGTTTGCAAATGTTCTTTTTGAACCCGAATGCCCGGCAGGGCTTCTGATTGGCTGCAGGAGCTTCCTGCAGCCAATCAGAAGCTGCAATTCGGTTTTTGAACATTTTGGAAGACGAACAAACTTCTGGAACGGATTCCGTTCGACTTCCAAGGTACGACTGTACTGTATTTACTCAAATTTAATGCACCATCAAATCTAATGTGCACCCTAATTTTCGTGACGTAATTTTGCCAAAAGAGGTGCTCGTTACATTTGAGTAAATATGGTAGCTTATAGAAGCTTACTTTTCTTGACAATATACCATGGCACAGAAGCCACAGAATTGAAGCTTATATATGAGTTTTCCTTGCTTTAATCCCAAGTTATGTTTTGTTTAAGCAGCCAGTAAGGCCCTAACAACCAGTTAAATGAATCATGTGGTTTGCCCTTGAATGCATAACTTTAACCATTCCCTTTTCCCAATTGAGGTTTAAAGTGGGGGGGGGGGAGACCCTCTGAAATGACAAAAAACTCTTTGCTAAGATTCGGTTCTCAAACCAAGAAATGTCACAAATAGGCTCACTACAGGACTAATGTAACGGAGGTCAAACAATTCTGATTTCTAGCAACCTGATTGTTGGAAATGGAGACTTTCAATTTATACTTATTACTTCAATTATTAAAACTAAACTGAGATAAACTGTCTGTAATGGGATCCTTCTCTCTTCCTCACCTATATATTAAACTGCACTCTCAATGAAGGCGTGACATTACGACCAGATGTGTATGGAGAAAAAGGACTGGAAATTTATTACAATATTTCTGACCCAGACTCCTGGGAACGTTATGTCAAAACTCTTCACAGCTTTCTTTCAGGTAAAGTATGTGGGAAAATATCACAATAAAGGTGGCCTGAAGTACAGTAGAAGGACATCACTTTGAAATAGAGTTGCATGGGGTCACCTTGAGTTTCGGTTTGAATGCAGAAAGGTAACTCTTGTATGTATTTCTGGATGAACTAGGAAACATTTTCCAAGTTTCCCTAAACAATATCAAGAGGCAGCAGGATTGTACAACCATTAGAGGCAACGTTATTTTAAGAAGAAAGAACAATTATTCTCTTACAAAAACAATTGGCAAGAGGTTAGCCTGGAAGGTGCTCCAAAAGAAAGCAATAGAAATTGATTTCCCCCTTACTTTTTCTATCAATAATATACAGCTTACAACGAAACTGCACAGCATGCCAACAGGAACTGTACTATGGAAGGATACTATTTTCAAAAGTCTTTTGATGCTCCACACCACACAAAACATTCCTGCAAATTTACACAAGATATGCTTCAAAATTGTTCTGGTCTGGCAGATTCTACTTTTGGTTTTCCAGAAGGAAGCCCTTGCTTAATAATAAAAATGAACAGAGTAAGTACTTAAACAGTTCTTCAAAATAATTATTTATTATATCAAACATTATTGAGTTCAAACCTGGAAACAAAGAGAGGCAACTTATAACAACCTGAAGCCTTATTTGATCTGTAGTGTTCTGAAGGACTAAAAGGCATGAACTGAAAAGGTCTTCTTATTTTAACAGCAGAATCTCATCCAACAAGGGATATAAAGAAACACAAATGTAGCTTTGTTGACCCATAAGGGAAAGGAAATCTTAAAATTGACAGTTGGGAAATACCAACCGAAATGTCATGAAATACTGGGAAGTTTTCGTGTTCTTCAAAACTCTGATTCACAAAAGTTGTTTAGCTGGTCCTAATAAAAAGTATTGCCCACCCAACAAGAAGACTCCCAATATCCTAGGAAAGGAAAACAACATTGGGAATAAGGTGCCAAGTATAAGAAAGCAGGATAGTTATATCTGGATAGCAGCACAAGGACTTAAACCAATGGCTGACACATGCATCCCAGCGCAAGTGGGATCTTCTTTTCCATTCCTGCTCCTGAACTTTCCAGGTCCATGACAAATAAATTTTAAAAATTTCAAAGCTACTATTGTTTCGGTGGTTAACATGAAAAATTATTACCTCACAGATTATAAATTTTCTCCCTGGCAATGGCACTGCACCAAGAGTGAACTGCACAACACTGGTAAGTATATATTGCCCAATGTTCTTGTATTGAAATTATTTCCATTTAGCTAATACACAGTAAAAATGTATGTACGTCTATCCAGAAGTCTTACCAGAGCTCAACGGCTCAAGCTTGCAAAGGGCCACAGCTTTAGGGCTCCAACTTCATGTTATACAGAGAAGCATGTTACCAAAATGCCCGTTGTTTCTTCTTTTTCTGCTACCCAAAGCCATTTCAGGATGGAGGCAATTTGGAGCAGAGTGCTTCACTGTTACCCTGCTTCCCTATCATCACCTAAGCCACGAGGTCAAAAACCTCATGAGGTTTCAAAAACATATTTACTTTACAAATACATAGCTAGGGCTTCCGTTATGTCCCTCAATGAAACATTTGGAAGCCATTCAGTACTTGCCAATGTCTGAGAAGCAGCCGAAGAACTGAAGCTAAACATTTTGATATTATGCCTGGATAGCTCAATTGGTTAGAGCGTGGTGTTGATAATACCAAAGTTGCAGGTTCAAGGCCCATATGGGACAGCTGCATATTCCTACACTGCAGGTGGTTGGGGCTAGAGATAACCCTCAGGGTCCCTTCCAATTCTATAATTCTATGTTGTAATCTAATAACGGTGGAGGGAGTTCCTACTTTCACCTCAGACTGAATCTTATTTTCAAGTAGTGCTCTTAAGCTCACAACATGCAAACTGCACTAGTGAAGTATGGCTACGTAACATACCTAAAGCACAAAACAACTTTTAATCATATATATAGAGAGAGCGCTAGTGCTAACACTTGCCTTGCCTATGATCAACAGGATGATGCCAGTCCGCTGGAGGTAGATTATTATCCTACAAATGGTACTTTTGCCCTTCACTACTTCCCATATTATGGATTGAAAGCACAGGTATGTTTTTTGACCATGTTCACTTTGACTTTCACAGATACTTTAAATGGAAGGATCTAACGTTGTACACTTTCATTTTAGCCTACCTACAGCAATCCATTGGTGGCAGTGAAGCTTCTCAACATGCCCATAAACAAAGAAGTAGTCATTGTATGTAGAGTTAATGGTACTGGAATTACTTCAGATAATCCTCATGACCCGTACGAAGGAAAAGTGGAATTCAAAGTCAGGATACAAAATTGAGCAACGAGAGTGCCGAGCTCATTGAGGATAACTCCTTGTTGTTTGGAACCTTCAACCAGGGCAGCAGAAATGGATTAAGTCACACTGTTGGTTGTCAAATGTATTATTGTTTTACAACAGCAGAAAAATGAACAATCCAGAATTCCAGAAATGGATTACTCAACTCAATTCCTCACTCGTAATACATGACCCAGATGCTAACAAGTCGTATGGCAAGTCTATACCAACGCTTATGCGTAACTGTTTATTATACACCTGTAATTTGAAAAACGAACAAAACCTATGAATGCTAATCCACACCTCTCCCCCTTTTCTCACTCAAAAGCTTTTTTTAAAAAAAGTTCGTTTTTGTTTTGTATTTGTTGAATTGATATAAGCAAATAATTTAATAATTGCTTGAACAGTCATTAACACGCTGTATAATATTTTAGTATCATGCAACTTGTATTTGTAATGTATGGTTTCCATTTGAATGTCTGCAGTTTGATACAAAACTTCTATTGTGTACTGACAGAGGGCAACTACGTAAAAACGTTTGGAAGGTGCAAAGCCATGAGAAAACAAGTCACTATTGTAATATTCAACTGTACAAAACTTACTTTCAATGTCTGTTGCATACAAGTGCTTTATCGCAGATGCTAATGTGATTTCCACTCACTCCCTGAAAAGGCCAAGCTGGATACTAAATTTACTAAACACAATGTAAGAAATGTTACCTAATGAAAACATGTTGGTGTCATTTCAATAGATACGTTTAAAACTACCTAATGTAAATGTGTGTGATGCAAAAACATTAAATAGTAATAAAACTATTATTTGTGGCACTGTTCATGCAATACCCTTTGGTACAGTTGAAAGTTACTTTGGACACACAATGTGGGGTTTTTGAGTTTAAAATTTGAAAACAGGGAAAAGTCCCATTGCAAATTGCATCTGAATCTAACACCAGTGCTATTTTCTAGAAAAAGAGGTGCCGGAACTCACCATGAGCACCTCCCTGGTTCTCTTAAAATGGCAATGGTACCTTACTTGAAAGGTGCTGGAACTGAGTTCCAGATGAAAAAAAAGCCAGGCATAACACACATTTGATCTGCCATGGAGCAGAGGAGAAAAAAAACCTGCTGTTGGAACATGAATCTAAAGCCACCAGTGGGCTTGCAGAACTAGTGGTATGGGCTCTTGGGATCTTTTAGTAGTTTATGTTTTATTTTTATTTTTATTTTGGAGGTGGCCAGTCCGTCAACAGAATCCTATTAAGAGTTGAAGAGCAGTGGCTCCTTAGCGTATTTTAAAAGTTGCATCTGGTGCAGTGCTTTTCAGCACAAAAAAGTTAATTAGAACATGAAACTATCTTTTGCACTAAGAAAAGCTTCTACAAACTTGCAACAGTAAACATTCTAGTTTTATAATTTATATTAAAACAAACACTAAATTGCACACTGTGAGCCAGAATGTTCACAGTGAAAGTCTCTCTTAATAATGATTAGTGGCCTTAAGCAAGGTCACAACTTACAAACTCTAATAGTGATGTGGGTCTACGCTGTCTGACTGTCTCTGCCTGTGCATGCTTGGGCAAGCAAGCTAGCCTATTACATCTGCAACAAGAGGCCTAATGGTGAGCTACGTTACCAGGGTGATGTTTGTGACCGCCAATTTTTGTAATTTTAAGCACTGTATGCCACTGATTATTTTGATTAGTGTTTCATTACATCGACATTTTCGCTCTTTTAAATTATGTTTTTTTAAAAAAAGATGCCTCAAGCTGCGAAGGTGTTTTAAATAAACAAAAGGAATTAATGAAAAATATCTCCATGTGCAGATGGAAAGCATATCCTTGCAAACTTTGGAGGGCTGACTCTATTAGTGACTCTAGTTGCTGCAATCCCACCTCCCCCAAAACTCCAGAGGTTAAAAGACCCAGAGTAGTGGCAGGCGAGAAAGAGAAAAGAGTGAAAATCTATTCCCACAGAAGTGCACTGAATTCCTGGGCATGGGAATCACCAGGAAGCTTAGAATAGATATACAAGTACAGTTGTACCTTGGTTTTCAAACGCCTTGGGAGTCGAACATTTTGGCTCCCGATCGAAAACGGGAAGTGATTGTTCGTTTTCGAATGTTCTTTGGAACCCGAACATCCGACATGACTTCCGTGCAGCCAATCGGAAGCCGCGCCTTGGTTCCCAAACAGCTGCAGGAGCTTTCTGAAGCCGATCGGAAGCCATGCCTTGGTTCCCAAATGTTTTGGAAGTCGAACAGACTTCCGGAACGGATTCCGTTCGACTTCCAAGGTACCACTGTACCTCCTCCCTTTAATCTCAGGGAGGATACAGTATCTAGAGAGGCACCACAAGAATATACAATTTTATCAAATCAGATGCATCAGAATACATACTATTCTAACTAACCATTTAAAAAATGGCATTTTTTAAATTTACTGATGAAAACAGAAGCCAACACATTTTACTAAATCTCCCTTTTATTTCAGGCATATCTCAATGATTTATCCACTTATACATTTCTATGATCAGAGGCACTATCCTAGGGATTAATTGCTTGTGAATGCAGTGCTGTCAAAGTCTCTCACAATTTATGTAGCGATATAAATACCTACCTACTTACCCATTTAAAGAGCTCTGAAACTCTTCCAAACTGAAGAACTATATCACAAGTCAAAACACAACAAAGCAGAAGGTGAAAATAATCTTGATTAGAGAAACAAAGAACTTGTTAAAAATGCCCACGCGCTTTTTATTAATAAAAACTAATAGTGCCACAATTAAACAAGTAAAACAAACTGCTTATATTCCATAAAATATTACAGAAAAGTTTATTTGTGTTTCAATAAAAAGACTACTGTCTTAGAACAGGCAGCTGACAGTATTTGTGCAGTTAATTCTTTATGAATAAATTTTAAAAGACTACCACCTGCCCTGAAATTTCTTTTATAAAAAAAATGAAGTATTAAAAGTGATTGACAAATTTTGAGTTAAACATAAAACATTCTCTATATTTAATTTCAACTTTATAATAGATTACTGGAAGATGTTTAAGAAACAAATATAAACATTTGTTTCAGTACATGTCTTTTATATGATAGACTTATAGGTATGTAAACAACTATATAACAAATTGTTTTCAAAATCTGCCTGTAAGAAATCAGGCAAATTTTTATCATAAGCAAAACTCATCCCAAACCTTCAAGACATTTACACAGCTGTGCCAGCTTGGCAGTAAACATTTGCCAAAAATTGTATTCCATATGTCCTAACATTCAGCAAACACAATATATAAATTTGATGGAATTACAATGATCAGAATAATTTTTAAAAGGGAAATAAATTCACACAATTTCCGCAAACTAACATTTAAAAAGAGGCTCTTTTGTTTGTTTCTTTGGACTCTGCATGATCAGCAAAATATAACATTTGTTTGCTATGCTTCAGTACGAAGTGTCACCTAAATGCACTCTAAATAAAATGCCATTCAGTGTATGCATTTTTGACAGGTGGACAGATTTTATTTTCCATTAAATGTGGCTACATTTTCAAACTTAGCAACAACACTTAGGGGCAAAATGCATTTTCCTTCAAGTTAAAAATTCTAAGCAAAGAGTAAATAAAGGTTCTGCATTAACACACTGGTATCAACACACACATCCTCACCACATGTAAAAAAATCTACATAAAACAAACAATTCTTTTTACTTTACTGGAGGAGCAATTTCTAAATTCAGGACTCTTACCAGTATCTCCTTGATGGGGCAATTTTATGACAATTCTCTTCCTAGAATTATTCCTGAAGCTTGCTGAATTTTAACATTTAAAAAAGTCTACACGCAAAAAATATCAGTCGTCATCGTCATTTTCATTAAAGTCCTCGTCATCGTCATCGTCGTCATCTCCAACATAAGACACTGGTGTCTCTACTCTAGAGCCGCTGTATTGAGATCCATTGGAACTTGTAGCTAACATTCCATCCCCTCCATTTGAGTAGTCACTGGACAAAAGCAAATTAGGATCAATACTTTTAACTGGTTTTCCATTAATGCATTAAGTTTTTACAACACAGCTATGCAGGAGGAAGGGTGAGAAAAGGTTTTTCGGAAAACCCGGAACCAGGAGGAAGGGACGCTGGATGAAGATTGGATCTGTTTATACCTCTTTTTTCTACCATTAGAACTGTTTTATAAAATTGATGAATGATAGAAAAATGTTGGAATGAAATTACTTGGCTTTAGCAAAGATGTTTAAAGAATTATGAAAGAATATTATGATTATGAGAAGTTGGTAAGGATAAGATTTAAGTTTTAAGTTTTATTTTATTATAGAAAGATAAGGTCAAGGATTTGCTGGGATAATTAATAACTAGGATACAAAGAAAGGGAGGAGGAGGAGGTCTAAGAAAGAAGGTAATGACAGTTAAGGACTTGAAAATAATGAATTTGTTTTTAAATGTTTTTAAAGTTTTGTGATTTTTGCATTCTTCTTTTTTTTCTGTCATTTTTTCTCATTTGGAATTTTTTTGTATATGGTGGGAAGGGGTTGGTTTTTTCCCCCTTTTTTCTATTTTGTCAATTATTTTTATCCTTTGTACGCTCTTCTGCTTCTATTTTATTTTTTCTCTTTTTTGTAACATTTTGAAAATCTCAATAAATATCTTTTAAAAAAAAAAGAGAGAAAGAGAAAAGGAATGTGCCTAAATTTTTTTTTTTGAACTAAAGTCATGCAAGGTAGCTACTGGACCCCAAGGACTTTGCTCATATCTTTGGCTCAGGATGCCAGGATCAACTGCTGTACCTTCCTGGACACAATGGCAAAATAAAAGAAAAAGCCTTTGTGGGTATGAATTGGGACCAACTTCTCAACACTTCCCTATGGCTGCTCTACACCATTATCACCTTTTGGGCTTTAACTCCTTCAAAATGCCAATTAGGGAAACTATTCAAGGTAAAGGGACCCCTGACCATTAGGTCCAGTCGTGGCCGACTCTGGGGTTGCGGCGCTCGTCTCGCTTTATTGGCCGAGAGAGCCGGCGTACAGCTTCCAGGTCATGTGGCCAGCATGACTAAGCCGCTTCTGGTGAACCAGAGCAGCACACGGAAACGCCGTTTACCTTCCCACCGGAGCGGTACCTATTTATCTACTTGCACTTTGATGTGCTTTCGAACTGCTAGGTTGGCAGGAGATGGGACCGAGCAACGGGAGCTCACCCCATCGCAGGGATTCAAACTGCCGACCTTCTGATTGGCAAGTCCTAGGCTCTGTGGTTTAACCCACAGCGCCAACTGTGTCCCGTAGGGAAACTATTAGGCAAAACAAAAAGCAAAATTTGCCCTTTGATGAAAGAAGCACTTTCCTTAGGAAGTCTCAGCAGCTGCTGATAAGATTTTATCTGGCTAACAACAAAATCCAACTGACCAGAATCCATCACCCGCTACCAAGCAAGCCTCCCAGATCAAGGACATCGGCTGGTTGCATTTTTATTGCGTAACATGTTTTCTGACTGAGCTGCACCCGCGCACAGGTCACTAGACCTCTTACAAAAACCCTGTTCCTCTATGGTAAAAGCTTGGGTTGCAGCTTAATATAAGCAATTATTAACCTGCACTGCAGGCTCTAAGTTGGTTTTAAAACTCCGGGGAGGGAGATATTGGGGAGAATACAGGTGGTGGTATTTGGAATGTACTGTATTGGCCTGAATATAAGCCTCACCTTTTTTTCCCAAATTCCAACCGTGAATAGTTAAAGTGCAGCTTAAATTCACGACCTTAAAGAAACTGGCTTTTATGGTATCGCAGCTGAAACAGACATATGGTAAAATGGAACGGGTGTGAGTGCCTGCGGAATTTTAAGGGAGTGGTTTATATTCGGATACTGTCTTTTTTTCTTCCCCCTCGAATTTTAAAGTTGTGGCTTATATCCGGGCCAATATGGTAATATGCTCTATTTGGGCAATAAAGTCGATTTTGGTCCATATCAGGGAGACCACACTTTGAGCTGTATCGTAGGTGGCACAGGACCGCAGGGCAAATGTCACACGCCTCTCACGTTGGCAAGGCTGTGTGGTGCTAGGGGAACATACTTCTACCTCTGGTGAAAGTGTTTGCAGGTCTATATATTTTTGGTCCCTGGTTTTTAATGAAACTAAGCAGTCAACTTAATTACCCCCTCTCTTCTTGCTCTCCCGTTTATTTTTGGGCACGACAACAAGATGGTTATATTAGAAGATTCTTATTGGCTACTGCATGCTTGCCCACCATACAGAAATCGGAATATACTGGATATTCCAATAATGTTTGGAATATTGCCGTTTTTGAAGAAGTTACACACCATCTTCGAACTTTGCAAGGCACAGCTACATTGGATACCCTCTATCCAGTCGAGCGGGATTTTATTTTGTATACAAATGAACACCACTTACAACAACTTACAACAGCTTCCCAGGAAATCTGGACTTTTGAGTTAACTTTTGTTTCGTTATGTGATATGTGAACTGTTAATATATGTGATTTGTGCCACCTTTCATCCCTATGGTTTTTGTTTTTCCCTATATCCCCGTATGTAATACTGTTTTGTTCTGCATTAAAATCAATGGAGGGGGGGTTCCTAAAAATGACGGTGCTTGCCATTTGCCAGGTTTATCAGTATTTAAAGAGAAATCCCATCTAACCTGTTTGAAAATCTTGTCCCATTTGAAGCTGAACCTGATGAGGATGAGACATACACACTGCTTATTGATCCCTGAGCCATTTCTGTAAAGGAAGAAAGCATTATGAATTCTGCAGTGTTGATTCTGTACTAAACACAAATCTAATCCAAATATTTTTTACACGTAGTAACATTTTCTACAAAGAGCTCATCACGAAGAATTTTTTTTAAGGAGCTTAAAAAAAGAAAGAAAGAGGTTACACGGCCCATTAAAGTTCCCACTAAAATATAGGTGCACTGAATAATCTCTAAAGTGCATACAAAGCAGAAGAAAAATGGGGGGGGGGGATAGGTTTGGGTGTACAAAGCCTAATTCTCTAAAGGGATTCCACAGCATACAAAACTAAGTGTATCATTAAAACACCCGATTGTATTTTAGTAAATAAAACCAATTGTACGGAACAGCAGAGGCAAGGATGAATATGACAACTTCCTTTTACTATGAAAATATTGATCATTCATAACTGCTACACTTAAAAGTATGGAAACGCGTGCTAAAATGAAATCAGACTTGGTTCAAATTTGCTCTAATAGCTGACAAGCACCGTATTTTTTTGCTCTATAAGACGCACCAGACCACAAGACGCACCTAGTTTTTGGAGAAGGAAAACAAGAAAAAAATTATTCTGAATCTCAGAAGCCAGAACAGCAGGAGGGATCACTGCGCAGTGAAAGCAGCAATCCCTCTTGCTGTTCTGGCTTCTGGGATAGCTGTGCAGCCTGCATTCGCTCCATAAGACGCACACACATTTCCCCTTACTTTTTAGGAGGGAAAAAGGAAGTCTTATAGAGCAAAAAATACGGTATTTCAAGGACAGCTTTGTTAATTCTGATGTTCTGCAGTCCTTTTTGACACCAACTGAGGACAGCACCATAGCACTTTACAAACAGTTCTCCTTTCTGAAATGATTTCTAGGATTGGCCTGGCACCTAACATTTCACAATCGACTGCTAGATAATCCACCTCTATGTAGGTGATGGTAACTCCACAATGATTTGGAAGTCACTGCACTATTACAACTTTTATTTCCATCATTTGAGGGCAGGGAAGTTCTTAAGAACTTTTCACTCAGAAAATGCTTTGCTTAGGCAACTGTAATGATAAAAGGCTTTGCAAACTACTTGTATCCTATAGCGCTGCATATTGCAGTTGTGTCAAGTTCCAATGGCAGTTTGGTTTCTTTTCCACACACATTTTAAATATAAGGAAATCTTTCACAGAACCTTACCTGTCACATATGGTTCAAGAGCTTTAGGAACCAAGCTCCTTGCATTTTTTAGGTCCTCTGCTGAGCAACTTCCAGATTCTAGCCCAAAAGCCATTCCCATGCGCTTTAACACTTCTATATCATCGTGTATTTCAAATGCATTGTCAAAATTAAATAGATATTCAAACCTACAGAAAGTGGGTAGAAATTGGTCAAAAAGCTATGCACATAGGGTTATAAAATTTTCTTCCAAAGTGTACCTTCTACTAATACGCAACTTTTAAAAGATACAGCACATTTTGATGCTGTTATACAATTCCAACACTGTCTTTCAGGAAGCAGTAGTCTCAAATATTTCAGTATCTCATATATTAGTAAGATAATTGGCCCCATCAAGACCAACACTGTCCAGTCTCACTGGCAGAGGTCTTTTGTGGAGCCCTACAGAAATCAGTGTTGAGGAGTGCAGCTCACAGAATCAGCTATAATCTCATCAGGTTATAGACTGTTGAGGCCAGCTTTTTCACTAGTAGCACCAATGTGGTAGAATGTTCCACCTGCTTAAATACAAGAAGTTTCAACAGTGTTCCTCTGGCTCTTGAAGACATACCTGTTTACAAGCATTCCCCACCCCCCACCCCACCTAATCTCCTAAACGGAACCTCCTGTTTTAACCTCTGTGCTGCTTTAATGGGCTTACTTTATTGTACATTTTAATTGCGAGTTTTTATTTTAACCTTTTGAACGAACTGTTTTAGTGTGGATTTTCATTACGTGTGTATTTTTTTCTATTGGTTTTTATACTTGTAAACCACTTTGAAACCACTTAGGCAATTAGGTGGTATATAAATATAAAATAATAAAACCAGTATTTGCAACCCCAACTTTCTCAGTATTTAAGAGATTAGTCCATTTTCCTGCATAAATGTCAAGCTAGCTCCATGAACATGCGCACCTGGTTGTAGCTTTGCTCTCCCCTTGCAAGAGCATGAGCAATGAAACTATGCTCCCTGGCTTACTGTGTTATGACTGAATTGGAGGTCCTGGTTTGTTTTGCTTCAAATAAACCACAACATGAAGGCAAGGTTTCTTCTTTGCTTACCAGACATTGGTTTGAGCAAAACAAACCATGTTCCCAAGTTCATATATAATACTAAGACAAGCACCATGGTTTGTTGCCCCCATGCTTACTAGAGGGAGAAGCAAAGCACAAGTCAATTGCTTATTATAATTTATCATGCAAATGCAGCCAGTGTATTTGCAAGGACAGAAGAAAACACTCGTTTCCCTACTAGCAACCTACTTGTCATTAGAAATACTGCAGTCAATCACAGTCTTCTTGCTGGTGTTCACAATGATAAATGGCAAATGAATGACAGAATTAGAAGCTGGTGGTCTGTTTGCTTGCTGTTCTGCTTGACGATTTCGCTGAACAAGATTCTTGAAGGCAATTTGCTGTTAAGGGATTTAAATATAAACAACTTCATTTTCTTTAAGAATAGAAAAACAATTGTGAAGGCTTGCTTGGCATTAATTCTTAAATAAGAATATTTAAGAATAATTAAGCAAGTAACACTAATATCTATAATCAAGTGTTTCTGGATTAGGCACTCTTAAGTTTTGAGAAATGCCTCCTTTTTGGTTACCAGGTGGTATGTGTTTAAGTCTACAAACAGAAACACACACCCACACCCAAGTGGAGGGGTTTTTCCTCCAGCTCCAAAACAGAGTCCAGAACATGGGGAAAAAACTAACTTCTGCAAAGTGAATAAGCTCTGGACAAACTTTTTAAAGATAAGATCATCCGTAAAATAGAAGTAAAATAAGATGAGGAAAGACAGTGGGGGGTTAGGGAAGAGAAAAATCTGCCTAATCAGGTAGGGTTGACCAGGAAGCTGAAGAAAAGCTTATTCCCTTGGTGCCATTTCATATATACAGATACTGCCTGGTTACCAAGAGGAAGTACCGTATTTTTCGCCCCATAGGGCGCACCGGCCCATAAGGCGCACCTAGTTTTTTGGGGGAGAAATAAAGTAAAAAAAATTATTTCCCCCCAAGGCGCGAGGTTGGGGAGGGGGAAGCCCAAGCTTCCCCCGACCCCAGAACAGGCTGCTCTCCGCAAGAAAGAGGGCTCCCGCGGCTTGCGCAGAGCTACCCGAAGCCCCGGTGCGACTGCTCAGCGCGCCGGGACTTCGGGATAAGAGGCAGCGCTGCGCAAGCCGGGGGAGGGGAAAAAGTGCGTCCTATAGGGCGAAAAATACGGTGCTTTCCAGAAGTAAAAAGGCTGCTGTTCTTGAAACCCCAGAAAAATGCAAAGAAGTCTAATAAACCCCCGAGGTTGTTCCAGTTAATTATTTTTATTCTATTATTTAATTCTACTCTATCTTTTAGGGCAGGCCTAAAATAAAAATAGGAGACACAAAACATACAGAACAGAATCAGATGAAGTTGCATACAGGTGCTTGCAATAATCAAGAATGAAAATTGTGTGATGCCTTATTGCTAAAGTGAATTAAAACCATTGGGAGGAAATCATTTTGCCTTGCCAGATGGAAAAATCTCCCCTCTCCAATCCCCATGCACTGTTCTGGGGGGTTCTCCCAACCCTCCAGAGCTGATCTGAGGCAGATAAGGGGGGCGGGAAGCACCTTTGCAGTAGCAGGAGCCCTTGCCGTGGCTTCTGCTAGCCCACCTGCTTAGTTGACTTGTCCAGCCCATTATCCTCTTATTCCCAGTCATGTCATTTACTTATGTAGGATTAAGTAAGTGCTTCAGGGGGAAACCGGCTCATCTTAACACATTAGACAATTGATAAATAAATATAAAGTGATTTGGCAAGGCAAACAACTGTTCCAAAAATACCTGAAGTATTAGCTCTTGTAGTTGTGACTGTTTTTGCTTTATTCTTTCAAGTCTTCTCTGTCGCTCCACCTTAAGAAAAGAAACGTTGCTAGTTTTAAAGAGGAGCTGGGTGAATTTGAGAAGTACCGTAGCTACATATTGCTCTGTATGTGGGCTAAAATCCAAGAAACCAAGAAGTTCATTCTGTGAATCTAAGGGGGCTTTATACTTCTCAAAAAGCAGCACCCTGTCTCAAGTAATATATACATTTGAAACATAGGCAAGATTCCAAAGCAGTTCACAAGACGGCATGAGAATCGGTTGTTTTAGATTTTTTTAAATATCCAAGATTTCATATCTGCTGAAATGAATTTGAAACATCATTTGTTGTTCTTAAACAACAACGACAGTGTGGCAACAGCCATAAACCCTCTCTCTGCATACAAGGAAATCTTGAACACCCAGAGCTAACTACCATCAAATGATACATAAGCCTGTTCAGAGATTATTTAAAAGACAATCAAAATAATTCAACCAAAAATGTATCTGTTTCTTATAGTGAAGTCATTCATAGAATGAAGGGGTATTAAACAGAGGTGCTTATGGAATCTGACACGATTAGATTCTGCACTAGATTCCGAAGTTCTACTTCATTGTAAATATTCCCTAAAGTGGAACTCAAATTTTCACTATTAGTTACAGTGCTCTGGAATTATTTCCAGAAGTTGGGAGGAATTGTCAACTGTCTACTCCCGCTCTCTTCCACCAGCACTTGGGAGGTTCTTACCCTAAAGATTTATTTTTTACTTATGAAATTTTGCAAATGCACAATCATTTTCAATTAAAGAAAGTTATGATTTTGAAAGCCAGATGCGCAGAATGAATTATTCCACCACTCCAAAATCTGGGTCTCCAACCAGAATGAAACCCTGTGTGGAACCAAAGGCATGCCACCATCTTGGAATGGAAGTGAGGGAATCTGTTCCTCCCGAGTAATCAGAAAACAAGATTAAAGAAATGCTGCAAATGAGAAAAGTCCACCGCATTTTACCTCTAAATTCTGACATTCCTGAGCTGAATTAGTAGGTAGGCCAATCCATTTTATTTCTTTCTTCTCCTTGGAAATAATGTTCATGGCCATAAGGACATTTAAGGCATCATAGACACGTCGTCTAATATTCTTCTGATCATAAGCCTGCTGTTGAATTAAGAGTATTAGAATATCTCTGATTTAACTATTTTAAAGAATTTATCCAGTCATGCAACAGCTGAAGTAATATCATAACTTTGTCGGTTAACAAAGTAGCATTTCTAATCTTGAAAGCAAGAACTTGAATTTTTTATAACACACAATACACACATTGGGATGATCCCCAAAAGAAAGCAAAAAGAAAGGGGCTGTGTCTGCATGTAGGTATTTGTAGCATGCGGGAAAAGGGTTTGTTGTCTCTACTAAATTCAGAACATGAATATATTTACCGATTCATTTGGTGAGATGTGTGCATCTGCGGTACTAAACTCTGCAACTAACTCATCTGCTACCTCATTGTATGAGGTCGTTCCTTTCCTCTGAACCTTCTCACAAACTTTCATAGAGAAGTGCCGCAAACCCTTGCCATTCTTCTCACCCTTTTTGTTGCGCTTCCTATAAATACAGATACAATGAGTTACACACACACGAACCCCCAAAACCAATGAGACGACTTTAGGGTGGGTTTCTTTTTTTTTTAAGAGAACCCATACCCCAAATCACTTGTTTCATTAAACCTTGTGAAAAAGAAGGCTTCATCAATGATAAAATATGTTCTAATGGTGGCAGTGTTGGCCCACTGCCCTTAGGAATTTGTCTGCATAGAAGCAGAACTCATACTTACTTTGCCAAACCTTTATTAGGCATTACAAATAAAGGCCATTGTAAAACGTCCATATATAAAATTATAAAATATATACAAAAACAACCAAAAACAGAAGCAGAACACCTCAAAACAGTATTTTTTAAGAAATGCAATGGCACTGAAGAAATTGTTTTAATGAACGTAACTTGTTGGTTTGCACACCCACATCTGACCTAGACACACACAGTTAAAATATGAGGATATTATTATTATTATTATTATTATTAATACCATGCCCATCTGGCTGGGTTTCCCCAGCTACTCTAGGCAGCTTACAACATATCTAAAAACATAATAAAAACATCAATCCTAAAAAACTTCCCTAAACAGGGCTGCCTTCAGATGTCTTCTAAAAGTCAGATACAGTGGTACCTCTGGTTGCAAACAGGATCCGTTCCGGAGTCCCGTTTGCAACATGAGCAGAACACAACCCGCGTCTGCGCATGTCGCTGCGTCTGCGCATGATGTCATTTTGTGCGTCTGCACACGCGGCGAAACCCGGAAGTAACCCTTTCCGGTACTTCCAGGTCGCTGCAGGACGCAACCTGAAAAAAACGTATCATGAAGCAAACGCAACACGAGGTATGACTGTAGTTGTTATTTTCTTGACACCTGAGTGCGTTCCACAGCGAGGGTGCCACTACCGAGAAAGCCTATTATGACAATAGGCATACACTCCTATTACTCGAAACATTTTGGATTTGCTTATAACGTTATTCAAAGGAAACTCTATAGAAATACACACCATATCTACCTTCAGATACCAACCTTTATGCGAGGAAGAAACGAACTACAAGTTTAAGAGAACTGAATGCAATTATGTCCTTGAGTGGATGGAAAGGGCTTTGGTCCAGGGGAGGCTTCTGCTGGCAGGACAGGGAGTGAGGTGATTGTCACTGACCTCCCCCTCCCCTGTAGCTCCTTGCATCACCTCCCATGGTGTTCTGAAGGATCCTCCAAGTATCTGGATCACATGGGGAGTTGTCAGGGAAACTGGGAAAAACTTACCCCCTCCCCTGATTCTGCTAACATAAGCCTCCAGGGACATCACTGGATTTGGCCCAATATTTTTCAGCTATTAGCTAACTAGCTGGATATGAGGCCCAACTTTAGTTACCAAGAATAATGCTTTTGAGGCATGCGTTTTCCTGTGAATATGTTGTAACATTTTCCTGTGAATATGTTGTAACATTTTCCTGTGAATATGTTGTAACCTAACTAAATTTTACTCACCCAGCAGACCAAGGCGAAGAATCTGCAGTCTGGTTCTGCGGTACGAAGTGTGTGTTGGGTGTATGTGGACTTGATACCAGAATAGTATTGGGGGCTGAAGGTCTCTGAGGTGTACCAATAACCTACAGTTAATACAAAATGTCAATTAATGCCACTCCTATTCAGATTACAGTGGTACCTCGGATTTCGAACATAATCCGTTCTGGAAGACCGTTCGACTTCTGAAATGTTTGAAAACCGAGGTGCAAAGGGCGGCCTGCAAATTCAATGGAGAAAACTGAAAAAAACGCAGCGGAAGCCGTTTGACTTCCAAGGCACACTCAAAAACAGAAGCATTTACTTCCGGGTTTTCAGCGTTCGAAAACCGAAATGTTCAGCTTCTGAGACATTTGAAAACTGAGGTAACACTGTAATTATATTAGCTTCCTTAGTATGGAAGCCATACTTTTATACTAGATACATTTTAAAAAGTCAAACAACAATTTACATTTTTAAGTGGGTATTTTGCCCAACCAGGAAACTCTTAAGTTGGAATCAAACTCTAACTTATATTATATAGGCATGCTGCTGAAAGAACCTCATCTAATGGTGCTCTTCTCCATTGAAAGCTGCCAGTTTAAATGCACCCCATGGTGTAGATCTCAAAAATTTCTAATGTACAACAGAGGTGGCGCTTTAGATGTTTCCATCTAAAACTCCCACCATCCCTCATCACTGGGTGCATTAGCAGAAGCTGATAAAAGCTGCAGCACACCAACGTCTGTAGGGTCACAGTTTAGTAGAACAATCTTATGCATGTTTTCTCATAATGCGTCCCAGTGTTGGGGTTGACCCCAGCAAAGGATTAATGTGGCACCTCAAAATCTACAAGTTACATATCACAAATGAATCAGTAGGTTTCCCAACAGGCCTCTTACCATCTGTTGTGCAATGTTGACATTAGATTGTCCAAATGTTTTCGGTAGGAGTTGTTTTCCAAGTGTATTTACTGCGGAAGGGTGAACGGCTACTAATGAAACAACACCTAAAATACACAAATTGAAAAGTTACAAAATGGTAACAAATAACTGGCAACACAATTAGCATCTGACTAGGCAAACTAAAGAGGTCAGTGTAATATTTAACCTCATTCTGTTGCACACGTCCAAGTTAAAATGCTTTTAAATATGCAAGACATTCTTTACTTGAGCAAATGTTAGGATGAAGTCCTCGAGATAAATCATTGAGCTCAAACATAATAGCTTGATTTAATTCTCTGAAGACAGAGAAATCAACGTGCCAAGATTAGAATCCCTCACTATAATTTATCTGACATACTGACTTAAACTACTACCAGAAACATCTGCTTTGCTTGAAGATTAACTTCTAAATCAGGCTGGGGAATCTATGGCCTTCGTGATATTTCTGAACTACAACTGCCATCATCCTTTAGTAACGTCTTTCATTTTGTAGTTGTGTGATCTGTGCTCATACTGCATTGTGATGGCCATTAGCTAAAAACCATAAAATCTACTGACTGAACTCCCATCATCCTTGACCATTAACCATGCCAACTGGAGAGTCATAGGTCCCCTACAAAGGTTCTGGATAAATCTTGTCAGCCACAAGTCAGCATGAAGAAAGCTTCCACATCTCTTTACAATCACATCCATTTTTACTTGGAAAGTCAGTGTGAAGCATACACAGAACTGCAGCCTGTGTCTCCAAGTCGTCATGAAGACAGAAGTTTGTAAAAGTTCTATATGAGCAATGCGTATATGCATTTCTGTATAAATGCTGCCACCCGGTGGTACAAAATATTTTATAGAAGTAAAATTTTAGAATGGTAGAAAGTAAAGTGAAAAAGTATTCTATTCACTTGAATAGCTACAGAATATTAGTATGGTGTATATGCAGCCAATTACCCACCCACCCTTCTAAGTAGTTAAATGCAGTGTTGTCTGAAATAATTCAGGAGGGATTTGATGACTAAAGGAAATAAGAAAATACTAATCAGTTTCTGGCAAGTAGCATCTGAGACTGGAAGAGATTTTTAACATTAACTATTCTAGTGTGCAACTTTTTAAAAGTGTGATCTTTATAGCCTAGTTGATTCTCTTTCTTTTGTGCAGATGGCATTACATGCCTATTTTGAGAATTAGAAAATTGCAGTCGCAACCAAATCCTGATGAAATGTTTGTGGCATAAGTCAATAAGTTGATTCAGGGAACTAAAGTAATAATAGTTGTTGTTGTTGTTACCCCCGCCCATCTGGCTGGGTTTCACCAGCCACTCTGGGCAGCTTACAGCATATCTAAAAACATCAAACATTAAAAACCTCCAGATAGATGTCTTCTAAAAGTTGTGTAATTCTTTTATCTCCTTGACATCTGCTGGGAGGGCATTCCAGAGGGAGGGCACTACTACTGAGAAGGCCCTCTGCCTGGTTCACTGTAAATTTGCTTCTCGAAGTGAGGGAACCAACAGAAGACCCTCAGAGGAGGTCCTCAGTGTCTGGGCTGAATGATGGGGGTGGAGACGCTCCTTCAGGTATACTGGGGCGAGGCATTTTAGGGCTTTAAAAGTCAGCCCCAACACTTTGAATTGTGCTTGGAACAAAAGTGGAATGGTTCTGCTGAGAAATAACTGTATCAGTCTCAAATGTATTCTTACTCACATTTGGATGCCCTGTCCATAAAAAATAATTTTATTAAAAATCTGGGATACAAACACATTAGTAAATAAATTGAAGCTTTATTTGTTAAAGCAGGGGTCACAACCTTTTTATAGGCCTATGGCACATTTGAATTTTGAGTGGGTACTATCCCCTTCGGTCACTTCAACTGAAGACCTAAGACTCCAAAGCCTCACTTTCAGAGAGTACGGAGTAACACACTGTCTCTTTCATAAACAACTGTGAAACAGATATAGGTTGCCGCTGTGGCTCCCCTCAAGCAACTCTATGTCACACAACATGGTCCTGCTCAAAAGTTGCGCCCTATGGGTCAAAGATAAACAGCTGCATAGATAAGGCCTTAGGCGCATCCATGGGATTCAAAGATGTTGCTGATGAACTACATACCATTCTGGAATCTGAGTGAGGAACAATGTGACTGGCTGCTGTGGACACTCATGATAGCTAAGCACATAATAATCCAATAATGGGAGGACAGATCCTCTCCCTAATCATACAATGGACCAAAGATACCAGCCACCACCTATGAGAAGATGCCTTTTTCACAAGGGGAAAATGGAAAATTATAGGGCACATGGACTCCCTACACAATTTCATTTGTGTAACAGGCAATGGTTGATTACAGTATTGGCTGCCACTGATCATGTGCACTTTTAAAAAATTATTGTTGTTTATTGTACTGTTTCTGTATAAAGTATTTCTTTCAAAAATTCAGTGAAAACCTATAAGTAAGAAAGACTGAACGGTCAATATGCATGCTTTCTTCTACAACAAACACCATTGTGCAGGTAGCATTACATGCCTAGGATGTATTTACTGATTAAAATTTGTACACGCTGCCTTTCAACTGCAAAATTTTAAAGAAGTTTACAAAGTACTAATAGATCTGGGTCACTGTGAGAAAGACTGTGAGAAAGACTAGGCCCAGGTGTCAAGTGTGGCTAGGTGTAGCCCACCAGGGTCTTCAGATAAGAGGAATGGGACCCACCCGACGTTTCTTTGCCCAGGACTCCTCAAACGTGAAGCCAGCCTTACTACACACACAGAAGTCTTACTTCATTAAATATGAAGGCCAATGACAACAATGGTTTCTTACCTTTTCCAGGACTAAGATTTTGATCTATAAAAACCTTTAATTCTCCATTAGCTTCAATTAGACCAGCCTACAAGAGAAGACACATTTTATTTAGATGTAAAGTACTTTGCAAACAAATTACATTCCCAGGTCCCAATAGGTTTTGCAAGGGACCATCCAAATCCATCATCAAGTTATAGGTTGCCTTTGTGTCCACAAATGTATTCTGTGATTTGTTGGTGGTACTGTTGTCACTCTCTATAAAAAATAATTAAGATCCATGAGGGTCTGTGCCTTGGATTTTTTTGTGGTCCTGGCAAGCACCAGATCTGTGATGTTTACTGTGCAGGCTTATCATAGAACACTGCTCCAGGTCTACCTATATGCATATAGCTATACACAAAATCCCCCTTAGTTCAGGCCACACCTTGTTTTGTCCTAAGGAGTTGGGGAACTTGCACATAGGCACATACACACTCCCAATGCCCCATTATGCATACAGACTTATCAGCTGGCCGTTGTGTAACCCAGCTCTTAGTAAGATCAAAATATGCAATATTCCAACCCATTACACACACACACACACACACACACACACCGCAGAAGCAAGCAACTATGTAGACTGCTCTGATCAATACATGGTTGACATTTGTCCTCTTTACCAGGGTCATGGGCTTCTATCAGCAACCTACGCCAAAGGAGTTAAACTATCACATACATTTTCCTTTCAAATGCCTCCCTCTGGCCCTAAAGTGAGTTTTGGAGTTTTAGCTCAAAGTTTCTTTTTCAACTTAGGAAAGCAAAACGTTTTAAAATGTCATCAAAGCTGCATTTCACAAGGAATACAGTTGCCAAAAAACCTCATAGGAATTCAGCCTGGGGGTCAGACCAGGGTTTGACTGCCATCACCAGAGCTTCACAGCAGGTGCACTGGAAATCTGAAGTACACACAGTTGTTTACTAGCTCTTTATAGGCCTACCCTGTACCCTAGAGTGCACTGCCAGCCAACTCACCAATTTTGCTTCTTGTTGACTAGCACATGAGCAAAGCAACTAGGGAATTATTTCTCCAAGACAGGACTGCTGTGAACTCTTAGGACTGAATCAAACAAAATGTAGGTATAATAAAGAGAAGCATATCTTTAAAATAAGCCAGCAGCCTGCATTATAAAGCTCTACATATTCAACCCTTAGCACGCTTACAAGCAGAGCAAAAATTAAAAGTACTGTAAGCACAAGGGAATAAATTTTTATCAACTTTTTGTATTTTCTTACCTTACTCCCCCCAAAAACCCATCATTTTTCAAAGGTGAGACTTTTATTGTGGTTCCCTAGGGCAACAATTTCCACACTTTTTAAATTATCATGGAGATATTTAAAAAATCAAAGCTCCTTATGGCAACCAGAAACGGAATAAAATGATTTAGTTAACAATACCATTTAGAATAAGTCAACATGTTAACGGCAAAGATGGAGCCCAGATTAAAGGATAGAAAGCCACTAAAATAAGAAATTTGATGGCTTAGTAAATGAGAAGTTCTACCATTTTAGGCATGCAAAAGAACTAAGAAGGTATTTCACTTTGGTTACTGATGCTTGGCACCAATCAAAACTTGGAACAGCTCTCTTGGATTTACATGGAAAGGAGAGAGAGCCAGGTTTAATCAGCATATTAATGGGACTAAACTTCGCAACCCTGAGCATTCTCAGCAATTTCATGTAGCTGTTAAACAGCATGTGGTACAAGACAGAACCTTGAAGGCCACTACGGTCAAAATGTCCAACAGGAGTCACCCCCATCCCCACCTTCTGGAACTACATCTCCAGGAAGGACTAGACTCGCAGGGGTCAGCAACCTTTTTCAGCCGTGGGCCAGTCCACTGTCTCTCAGACCATGTGGTGGGCAGGACTATATGGGGGGGGGATGAACTAATTCCTATGCCCCACAAGTAACCCAGAGATGCATTTTAAATAAAAGCACACATTCTACTCATGTAAAAACACCAGGCAGCCCCCACAAATAACCCAGTATTTTAAATAAAAGGACGCATTCTACTCATGTAAAAACACGCTGATTCCTGGACTGTCCACGGGTCGGATTTAGAAGGTGATTGGGCCGCATCCGGCCCCCGGGCCTTAGGTTGCCTACCCTTGGACTAGAGACACTTCAGGGACACACATCCCCACATCCACTTCCAGGTGCACTAGGCTAGAGAAAGTTATCTCCATTCAACAAGCTGTCAAAGTTAGATTGAAATGAATCTGGAGAATCCAGCTCAACGAAGAACATTGGCGCTGAATGCTCAATCACCTCACTCAAGAATGCAATACTACAGACTAGCTGAATATTATCACTTACCAGTGGGTCATTCCATATCAAGTGATCCAACCTTTTTACCTCATGTCATCCAATTTTGTTAATATTTTGTACACTTGTTGAATGATCAAAACTAAGCTTAAGTCTAAAATTCTAATTTTTTTATCTCATGTGAGTGAAAAGTGGCATGGAAATATAATAAATGAAATGAAATTCCCTTAACACAAATAAATTATCTGCAATGATTGAGACTGAGGAAAAGAGAACTGGGGGTTAGACGTCCTTTGTAGCAATATGTGAAGTGTCCTTCATTAGTTGAACTCCACAAAATGCAGTGACAGATAATGAACCAGGTATCTCAAACATGACCAATTAGGCATGTAAAACACTTCTAAAGAAATCTGAATTTACCCCTCCTGCTGTAAGATAAAGCCCCTCTCCCACCAAATCATTTCAGGCTAAAAGTTGCACTTGCTCCTGCAGGGTGAGAAATTACTGTACATAGAAAACTTGAGCAGTTAGTTGCATTCACATCTTTCATGCAGTGTCTTCTAACTTGCCCTTCTCCTCAAGCAGGTACGACTGAACAGTGCCCAAATCCAGAATGAAAAATCTTCAATGTATAACCCCCACCTCCCAAATTTCTTAACATTGGTATGACCTTCCCTTTAAGAAAGGCTAATTAACTGGAATAAAAAATGAATGCATTGATATAATTCTAAGAAAAGACTTGATGTGTACAAATATTTTCTATCAAAATCAGGAAACCAGCTGAATTCCCTCGGAAGTCAGATATACCAGTTAGATATGGAACATAATACTCCAGAAGCTGCATAAACAAACAAACAAATTACTCCACAGACATTTATTGAATGCATCTATTTTCCAATTGCAAAAAAATGCTATTTGCCGTGCTTTGCTTGGAGCTAGATGTAGAAAGCAACAAATATATATATATACGTTTGAGTGATAACCCAACCCACAGTGCTTGAAATTCTATATATTTTAATGGTAAATTCAATTAAGCTACATGCTACATACAGAGAGAGTCTATGCTTTTTGTTAAGTATTACACATTATTGGCCACAGATGCATGCACTGCTATGTGGATACTAAAACACATATGCCAATATGCATTAAGTCCCTTACATTTAACTCAGTCTTCTCTGTACACAGTGACTGCATTCACACCCCATAGTAAGCTAGGAGTAATATTTTAACATGAATATGCAGATTACTCTCACTTTGCTCTTCCTTGCCAGTGAGCGGAAGCCAACAACTTAGCGCTGTGTCAGAACTGGGGATTGTGGCCTTCTTCCACTCCCGCAAATGACACTCTTAAGTCAAGGTTTGTTCTTGACGTACCGATCACGATTTGAAAGAAACAAACCATGTTTCCCAGTTTGGACATAATGGCTAGCCATGATTTTAAATTATTTTGTTTCCACTGATTCTCGTATTTATTTAGTTTCAATTGTTACTTTATAACTCGATAATATAAGCAGCATAATCATAGTATGCAGCCTTCTCTGAGAGAGGACAATCTCTTTGCACTAGAGAACTTGCAACATTTTAAAAAGCCCTTTTACTTCAGGGTAGCACAAGGCATAAATATATAACAGCATACAATTGAACTCTATAGCCTGGTTGAGCAACAAAGAATTGCTAACAATAATAACTCTATAAATGATGTATTTAATTACCGTATTTTTCTGTGTATAAGACGAGGATTTAGGTTTAAAATTGGGGCTCGTCTTATACACAGGTAGTGCAGAGGGGGGGTTGGTTGATTTGTTGCAGCTGTGAGCAAGAGATTCTCTGCGGCAAGGGTTGATGGTGATTGGCTGCCACTGTGGCAATAGGGCGGTTGATTGGCAGCTGCGGGTCTTCTGTGACGCATGCGATTTTCAGCAGCGGGTACTGTAAGCTATTTTCAGCAATCATTCCCTCCCCCCCAAAAAAGCTTAACAACTCTTGGAAATCTCCCCCCTCCCCATTTTCTTAATTTGGAGTCCCCCAAAATAATGTGTGTGTTATACACGGGGGCGTGTTATACATGAAAAAATACGGTAGTTAACATATTGATTTGAACTAAAGACTGCCCCCACAACTTGCCACTCTTTGACACCTTAAAATTGAGTCCTCTTTAATGAAACTCAAAAGTACAATAGTGCTGGCAAAGTTTAGGCTGTGGAGGTAGCAAATTGATTCCCCTTGACTTCCTGAATTACTGCCCCCACCAAATTCCTTCCTGCCAATAGTGCATAGTTTATTCTGTTCCTGGGCCTTGCTGAGGCTGTGCCTCAACCCTACAATCTCCTTGGCTTTCCCTTTCATCACAGATCCACCAGAAATTATTTTTTTCAGTTTTCTTCAGTCCGTTGCCCACTTTGACACACTTCCTTTAATTACACTGCCTCTTTGTCAATCTGACTGGCACCTTTACCCGCTTCTCTATCTTCAGAGACATATAGCAATGTCAGTTCTGCTCCCATCAGTCACAGCAGCAACCATTCAAAAGCTATTTTAAGTATGTCATAGGACTTGGGATGTTCTTTCTTTAAACCACCACCAACCAATGCCACACACAACCTCCTTAGGAAAGTGCCCTCAGTTTCAAAGGAATCTGCCATGTTACAAAGGATGTGCGCTATTACTCAATGAATGGAAGTGCAAAGACTCCTACTGCACACTGATTACTTGAGCAGCTCTTTGAACCTGGCCACAAGAAACATAAGTGTACAAAAGCAAGAAACTATAAACTGTGCAAGGTACTGCTTTCTCAGAGGATACAGAACTCCTCCTTACAAGATTAGGTAAAGGTAAAGGGACCCCTGACCATTAGGTCCAGTCGTGACCGACTCTGGGGTTGCGGTGCTCATCTTGCTTTATTGGCCGAGGGAGCCGGCGTACAGCTTCCGGGTCATGTGGCCAGCATGACTAAGCTGCTTCTGGCGAACCAGAGCAGTGCACGGAAACGCCGTTTACCTTCCCACCGGAGCGGTACCTATTTATCTACTTGCACTTCACGTGCTTTCGAACTGCTAGGTTGGCAGGAGCAGGGACCAAGCAATGGGAGCTCACCCCGTTGCGGGGATTCGAACCGCCGACCTTCTGATTGGCAAGTCCTAGGCTCTGTGGTTTAACCCACAGCGCCACCCGCGTCCCTTCTTACAAGATTAACATATTGCAAATTCACTTAAAATAAACGTATGGGTAAACTGAAATATTGTGTATCAAATATTGTGTATTTCATTTGTGGGCATTTATTCTATACCCTCTACTTGAAGGTCACAGGGTGGGCCACAACATCATATGGCATATATCACTGAATAAAAAGCCGTTAAAATACACTTCATCCAAAACAAAAATTGCCTGAAAACAACACAAAGGCCTGGCAGAACTAAAATGTCTTAACCTGCCACTAAAACCAAATGAGAGTGGGAGCTGGCCTGATCCAAGGGGAAAGACAGCTCTGAAGTCAAGGTGCTACTTCCAAGAAGGCCCTGCTCTGGGTCAACTAAACCTACTTCTGTCACTGATGGCACAACCAATAAGGAATCTTCCGCAGATCTCAATTCAGAGGCAGGATGATCCTGGGAAGGTGCTATTCCAGGTAGGTGGGCCCCAAGCCATTTGAGATTCATATATTAAACTCAACACCTTGACAAATAGCCAGCCGGTGAAGTTGCTTCAGAGCTGGTTCAATATGCTTGGGGCACCTAAACTCAACAGCAACCAGGCAACAGCTGCGACCTCCAAAGGAGGCCCAATGTAGAGTCATCAAAATTCCAGCTATCCTTATCCAGGAATGGCAACAGCTAGGGAATCGGGTGTATCTGGTGATCTTAGTCTCCAACCATAAGGTGAAATTTAGGAGTGCCCCTGGATCACACAACTGCTCCTTTAGGGGGAGTGCAACTGCACTCCAATCCTAATTTCTGGACCCAGAAACCAATCCATAGGGCCCGTGTCTTCTCTAGATTCAATTTCAGCTTACTGGCTTGCATCTATCCCTTCAGCTCCCGATTCCAACAGACGTAAGAGATGAGGCAAGGCACAATCAGTGTACTGATGATGTGTCACCTCAATTCCCCTGATAATGGCTCCCAACAGCTTTATGCAGATCTTAAATAGCACAGATCCCTGCAGGACCCCATGGTATAATTGCCATAGGGCTGAGTCCCACAGCATCACTACAGTCGTACCTTGGAAGTTGAACGGAATCCGTTCCGGAAGTCCGTTCGACTTCCAAAACGTTCGAAAACCAAATGGGACTGTAATTCTAAAAACAAATCTTAAGTTGAACACGGATATCAGCAATACATTTTAGAATTTGCAATGTACTTTCAAAAGAAAAACAAGCCTCATATTTCTCTGCATTTACAAGGACATGTAATATCCTGAGGCCCTAAACATGGCAGGAGGAAATTGCATTATAAAAGACTTTTTAATTGTGTATGTTTATAAAGGAAATCTGAATTTAAGACAAAAGTGTTAAGTCCACACTTACCTCTTAAACTCAATCACAACAGTTTATCAAACAGATTTAGTTAGAACCATAGAGGAAAATATGACTTCTTAGTTTTAAGTATCATAAAAGCAATATACTGAATTTATTGTTGTTGATGCCTACTGGATCCAGGAAGCAGCAAGTTTTCACAGATACTGTAGTATTCTAGAGATGCCATCTTGCATCTCATAAGGATGATCCAGAGTCCATACAGGCGATCTTGTATTCAAGATGGAGAAATTAGATGTGAAAAACTAAGTACACCCTTACTGCTCCACAGGAATTAAAAGGATAAGTAGCAGACAGGGGCTACAAATACCCTTGCTTAATTGATCATCAGCAAGTGTGCCCACCTCCATAAAAGCCAAAGTTTTAGCAGCTTGCCGGTCTGGAGCATTCAGGTGTGTTTTAACACAAGGCCAAGGAGGAAAGACAACATTCTTAGAGAAGCAAGTGCTACTGCCCATAAAACTGGAAGGGTTCCAAGGCCAACTCCAACCAATGTTCTACAGCGGAAAAGGTTATTCAAAAGTGGAAAACATTCAAGACCGTTTCCAATCTTCCCAGGAGTGGATGACCCAGCAAATTCACCCCAAGGTCAGACCGTGCAACACTCAAAGAAATTGCAAAAACCCCAAGAGTTACATCTCAGGCTCTAAAGGTCTCTGTTAGCATGTTAAATTTTAAAATTCATGACGGTATCCATAGAAAAAGACTAAACAAGTATTGTTTGGAAGCATTTCCAGATGAAAGTCTTGTCTCTCTAAAAAGAACATGGCAGCACGACTTTGGTTTGCAAAGTTGCATCTGAACAAACCACAAGACTTCTGGAACTATGTTCTTTGGACAGATGAGACCAAAGTGGAGATGTTTGGCCATAATGCACAGCACATTTAGCAAAAATCAAACACAGCATATCAGCACAAGCACCTCATACCAACTGTCAAGCACGGTGGTGGAAGGGTGATGATTTGGGCTTGTTTTGCAGCCACAGGACCTGGGAACCTTGCAGTCATTGAGTTGGCCATGAGTATACCAAAGTATTCTACAGTCAAATGTGTGGCCATCCGCCCAACAGCTGAAGCTTGGCTGAAACTGGGACATGCAACAGGACAAGGATCCCAAACACACCAGCAAATCTACAACAGAATGACTGAAAAAGAACAGAATCAAGGTGTTGCAATGGCCCTGTCAAAATCCAGACCTCAACCCAACTGAAATGCTGTGTGGGACCTTAAGAGAGCTATGCATAAACAAACGCCAGCAAACCTCAATGAACTGAAGCAAGTTGTAAAGATTGGGTCAAAATTCCTCCACAATGATGTGACAGATGGATAAAGTCCTACAGAAAACAATTACTTAATGTTATTGCTGCTAATGGTGGTTCTACAAGCTATTGAATCATAAGGTGTACTTAGTTTTTCACATATTGCTTTTCCATTTTGACTTTATTTCTGTTAAATAAATCACAACATGGTGTAATATGTAATGTACTTTTATTCATTTGAAGTTGTATTTACCTAATTTTAAGACCTGCTAAGAAACAAATGATTGCTATTATGTCCTGATATGTAAAACCACAGAATTCAAAGAAGGTCACTTTCTTTTTCCCATGACTGTAAGTGACCTTCCTTGGTGTTTCTGTATCTGTACAGAGATCCAAACAAAGATCTGTTACTTGTCTCTAATCCCACATTATTTTTGCAGTGGATATGGGCTGCAAGACCACAAAAGCTCTCCATTTTACTTATAGCATTTATGATGGCTCAATTTAGTTGCCAACCAACATGTTTTGTTGTCGTTAACTAGTTAGCATGCATAGTTGTTCAGGAGGGAAAATTCAAAATGGGAAACGTGATTTAAAACAATTATTTTTCTGTACTTTTTCTTTGCAATTTTAATTGCCAAATTAACTGCAGAATTTGGGGCCTGCCAAACTAAGCACAGCCCTCTGTCTGTTTGTGATATCCGAGTGATACTGTAAAACAGGGTTTGTTAAGTACACACCAGCCTACAATACATGGTTGATGAACTGTTTAGCTTGATGTGTTATAAATTGTGGAAGCCTGCTCTAAATCAATGGGATTACCCATACTGATTAAACTTATGTTCATTGATGAAACTGAACTTGACTGTTCTAGTTTGCAGGAAAATTACAACAACGGGAGGAAATTATAGACTCCAGTAGCTAGTTTTTTGCAATTTCAATTTTAGGTCACGATCTGAGTCTATGATAAATACCTTAATAGGAAATTCAACAACTCTATTTTTTTTAAGAATAGGGCACAAAGAAACAACCAAACTGTCATATGCTTTTCAATGCTGAAGGTGTGGTTCTGCTAGAAGAGGGCTAGATTAATAGAAGGATAAAGGTGTACCTTCTATTTCAGCCAGGCAATATAATGGAAAGTAGAGTACTAACAAAAGCAGTAAGAATTCACTGCATCATACTTAAAAAGACAACACTAAAAAGGTTTTTTTCATTCATGCCATAGATGATCAAAGTCAGCACCACACAAAATCATATGACGGACAAACAGCTTATTACAGATCCTCAAGCCTATAACTTTTTAGTGTAAACCTTCTACTTATATTGCTTTTAAGAAAGCAAAGCAAGTGTTAAGCTATTACTGGAGCTATACTAGGAGCCAGTGGGCTAGCAATAAACATCCTGAAAGGTAGAAGCTTTCCCTAGTTTATTCACAAGTGAAATGGTGGGCAAAAAAAATATTATACCTTCATAATTATTTGGGGGCTGCTGACTCAAATAAAACTGATCCTGATCCACATACATGTAACTGGCCTTCCCTAGTTTGGAATAAAGTGTAACTGAAAGTGAGAGCACAACATAGTGACTTATGGAATTCTGCTAAGTGTTTCATGCTACCCTAGTACAGCAGTATAGGCTGATGCTGCTATGTGCATGTATACCACCACTACAATATACCAGATGCACCACTACTCATCATTAGAAGAGATGATGACTTGTCATCTCTATGACACTATGCTAAAAGCATCTTAGCCTAAATGGTATGAATGTAGCCACACATACTTGTGATATGCTGCTACTGATATGCTGCACTGCCATTATGTGGCACAGGATGGAGTCAATGCAGCTAGATAAACACATGCTTATTTGCTGTGTAGAAGCAGCTACATGAATACATAGGGTAACAGTGAATTCCTATATTTATTAATGCTAGTGTTACCTTGGGCTAGTCACTGCCTCTCAGCTAACCCACCTCACCGTGTAATTGTGGGGATTACCATATACATCACCTTGAGATCCTCCTTGGAGAAAAAAGGTGGGATACAAATACAATAAACAAAAACATTATCTGTAGGACCGTTACTTACAAATATACTTACATCTTTTGCCATGTTACTTAATCCAAGAAATCAGTTCTTTACTTGCTTGATTGCCACAGGTACAGGAACAGTAGCACTGTATTCTAAAAACGATAAATTAAAAGAAAAGAACTTGGTTATTGCAGAGAAACACATTTTAAAATTGAGATGGCTACATTTCCTTGACTTTCAGCACAGGGTTTTTAAAGTAAGTTACAGTCTGAAAGACCCAACTTAAAGCCTTCATAAATTAAGAGCAGCTCCGTCTCCAAAGTGTTTGGCCCCTGATCTTCTGAGAATATAAAGGCAAGATGGCCTGAACTGACAGGATCATAGAGGTGGGGATGGGGAGTTGCACCCTGTCCAGCTATGCGCTGGATGACTGAAAAGGATAAATATGCCTCCTGCATAAATCTGCACGCAACCCCCTTCCAAGAAGAAGGGGGAGTGGGGTGGGGGGCTTTGCTCCTGACCCATTAACTGCAGAACAGTTGCTAGGCCTCAGGGGCCCAACCCCCTACTACACCCCCCCCCCAACGCTGAACAAAACACACACTGCTTCTCCATGCGAACATGCAAGCAGGCCCTGGAAATTTACATGCTGCTTCGGGGGCGGGGGGAGGAAACTGGTCCTGAGAGTCCCTGTGAAAACCAGGCGAAGCAGCATCTGCGCTCCACAGAACAACTCCCGCCAGCCCCCGCCTCCTGCACCTTCCCGCCCCCTCTCCAGGGCCTCAGAAGCCCGACCAGAGCCCGGGGAGTCTGAGGCTGGAGGGAAGAGACGGGGGGCCACCCAGGCACCAACCTCACCCTCAGCAGACCCTCCTCCTCGCCCGCCCGCCCCGGGGAAGGGGGGAGGGAAGAGACCGGGGTAGAAGGAGAGAGGGGAGGAAGGAGGAAGAGGATCCTCGCCTTAAACCGTCCCGCCTAAGCGCTTCCCACCGCCGCTGCCGCCTCCTCCTCCTCGTCTCCCACCTGTCTTACTTTTCGGTCCCTGCAACCCACTCCCCTGCCCAAGGCGCCGACGGTACCTGAGGAACTAGAGGAGGAGAAGCAGGGAGCAAACTCCATCCCCCACAACACACTCCCGAGCAATCCCCCACCCACAGCGCCGCTCTTGCACGGAAAGAGAGAGAGAGATGCCAACTGCACATGTGCAATGCACGGCCCTCCTCAAAACCCCCTCGGGGGTGGGGAGAAGCAGCCGAGGAGCAACACCATCACCTCTAGGCTTCCTCCTCCTCCTTCTCCTCCCCCTTGCAAGGCAAAGCAGCTGTGTTTGTGGGGAGATAAGGTTGAGAGGGGGGCACCTTTCTGCTCTCCCCCCCCACCAACCTCCGGCCACAAACATACACACACTCGTTCAACTGCACCAGAATGAACTCTGCCAATAATTATGAAGCGACATAAGTGTGCATGGGAAATGTTAATAAGAAGTTGCCCCCCTTCCCACACGTCTTTTCACCCCTTTCCAGCGCCTCTCCACCCCAACCCCTCGCTTTGCAAGCCTCTTTTCTTTCCTTGGTTCCAACACTTTCCAGAAAGTGTGAAGTTTTCCTGAAGCAAAGGAGGGGACACTTTTTGGGGGGGGGTGTCGCCCCCCCCACAACACGAGTACATTTCAGCCATCCCTTAAGGCTGCAGCCGTGTGCAGGCTTACTTGGAAGCAAGCTCCACCGAGACTTTTGCATGCTTACTGGATAAAAAAGCAGACATGAATAATAATAATAATAATAATAATAATAATAATAAAGGATCGTCCTCAATCCTAAACAAAGCTTTTACCTGGGAGTAAATCGCACTTAAAATTAGCCGCTCTTTCTTCTTCTACCGTACTCGGGGTGCAGAGCTGCGATCCGATGCACAATTGCTGATTACTTGGAAGCAATCCTCCCCCTCCCTCCGCTTACTTTCGGGTAAACATGCGCGGGATCGGGTTGCAGGCAACAACCCCTCCTGCTTCTCCTCCTCGCGAAAGCGCCATCATTCCCTGCCCCTGCCAAAGCTCACCCAGCCAAGCCGCGCTCTCCTTCCTGCCTCGCTTTGCTGCCTCCTCCCCCCCCCCCACCCCCAAAGCTTGGAGGTTCCCCGGCGCCGACCCGCAGGTTTGAGCCCCTTCTCACACCTGTTCGCGCTCCTTGCACGGAATGGGGCGGATGGGGAGGAACGGGGCTCGCCGCTGCCTCCGCTCGCCCTCCCCCCCTCCGCCGGCGGTCCCGCGATTCTTGGCTTTTTGGCGGTTGGCACAGAAGGAAGGCAAGGGGGAGGGAAAAAAATTGAAACTTACACTTTCGTGCGTCCCTCCCGGCGTGACGCTGCGCGCTGACGTCACGGGGCTGTAACGTGCCCCACATAGGCACACGCGGGGCGGCGAGCGAGCTCCCTCCCACATCCCATCGCCGCTCTGCCGCACGCTCGCTCGCTCGCTCGCTTCTGCCGGCCTACTGGGCTGTCGCAGGCGAAAGGCCCGCGCATGCGCGAGGTTTTCGCGCCTTCGGGATTCCCTTCACGCCTTCCTCCTCCCGGGGCCTTGAGAGCGCGGGAAGCGGCAGCGCGAGACCGGCCGTTGAGCCGCCCTCGGGTACCTCGCGGCTTCCGCTTTTGCGTGTGCTGCCGTCACTCTTCCCGCCATTCCCATGGGGGAAATGTATAATTCGTGCCCATAATACAGGCAGTAAAAAGTGTTCTGTATAACGACTACCCCGCCTCCCCCCCCATCTAAACCCATTTTTTTATTCCTTTGCAGAAATGAGTCGCTGCACTGGTCTGTATTGAGCTCACACAGTATGCATGTTTTTGCACAAAATGATGTTTCTCCACCTTTGTTTATTTGCTGCCACTAAGCATGCATAACGAGCTGTGGAAAAGTGACTTTGCAAAGCATGTACGAGACATACTTGGACATGAGAGAACAGAGGTGGTTCACTTACATGGGGTGGGGAAGGGAACAAGCTATTTTGAAAGTGGGTGGACATTTGTCCAAAGCAAATATACATCAGTTAAGTGGTAAAGCAAATACTGTACAAAGAAGATGGGTGGGGGAGGGAGTCAGCCGCCCCTTCAATATATGTTTCATTTGAGCTAATAATAGTACCTCATGCTACAAATATTGGCAAGGGATTACTGATCTTAATTATCTTTATTCCCATACCAGTCTTAAGGTTAGGATGGGCTTGACAGGACATCCTACAAATTAGACAGAAGGATGTTAGCCCCCTTGCTAACATAAATAACGTTGCAATGGAGGAGGGCAGGGGAACAGTGGCGTAGCATGGGTTGTCAGCACCCGGGGCAAGGCAAGTAATTTGCGCCCCCTAACCCGTGGATTTTAGCAGGGGGCAGAGAGCTGCGAGTGCGAGCGCGCCCCCCCCCAGATGGTGCGGCCGGCCCCCCCTGCACCCCCCACGCTACGCCACTGCAGGGGAAACAAAACTGGCACTCATTCTTTCTTGCTACAGAACTAAAAGATTTATCCACTTTTCTCCTTTTTCTCTTAGGTTGTGTGTTAAGCAGTCACCCTAAGGGAAAACAGGTCCCCCCCCCTTAGAGGAAATGGACTGATCGGAACCCGTCTGTGACATCAGCTCAGAATCCCAACCTCACTTTGCAGTTGAGGCCAACTCCAGCCTTGGCTCAACAGCCTTTGGGTGGCTTAGCTGCGACAGAATGAGAAAAGCTGGGGCCTTAATTTATTTTTAAAAATCACAAGATATTAGACAGCGAGAAAGCGGGAGTGACAATCAGCAAAGTCTGAAGATTAACGTCTGGGAAAATGGTGAGGGGACCAACAGGAAATTGCTAAGGGAGTTTTGAGTCCTTCTTTTATTCTTTTATTTGGTTGCAGTGGCAGAGGAAGGGGGTTGTGGGGGTTGGGGGCCGCCCCAGGTGTCATCAATGAGGGGGGTGGCAAAATGACAAAAATATGTTAATGTGCTGTGCTTGCTGCCCCACTCGTCCTGATGGACCAGCCCCCCAGGGCTCCAGGGCTTCCCTGGCAAGCGACTCAATGCAGGCAGTTTGGCTTCTGGGTTCCTGCCTGTCTCATTTTGGGCTGCTGTCTATCTGCCCTCTCCCCACCACCACTGCCACCACCTCTGGGCTGGTTCCTCCATCCTGTCCATGCCAACAGTCATCCTCTGAGGACGGAGATCCCTGCAACAAAATGGCTGGCAAGGAGGATGAGTCAAAGGAAGAGCCAGGCAGCCCCCTGGAGGAGAAAGGCGAAGGCAAGGAGGAGACCCCAGTGTACAGATTTGCTCAGTCCTGAATGGGTAGGTGGCAGCGGCCTAAGGGGCGATTGGCAGAAGGGGAGGGGGGCATATCAACCGCAGAATGGAAGGAAGCTGGAAGCCTTTCAAGGGCGACCTCCCCCCCCCCCACGGTTATATTAATTTATTAATTAATACTACCACGATAATCACTTCTACCCCCCTCTTCAGTAAAAAGGCTCCCAGAGCAGCTTGCAGCTCAGTAAAATGCAATACACTTCCCCTGCCCTCAGCCTGTCAAACTGAAAGGTGCAACACAAAAGGAAAGAGGGATGAGGAGGGAAGAGGTTATATAATGTGAGAAACATGAGGTTGAACTAGGCAGATCTTTCCTATGAATTATTTAGGAAATACAAGATCATCTGAGGACATTTTGGCCTGCTCTGTCCTTCATATTTCTTGTGTTGCTATTTTTGTTTTGTTTTTGTCCCACAGCTTCAGGAAATGGAAGAGGAAGAGGGGTCCCTCCAGGAGTGGCCTGGAAGAGATGCATAAATTGGAGGCGGTGGGCCCTTAAATAGGGTTGCTATATTTCAAAAAGTAAAAAAAAAACGGACACCCAGGCCAATGGCCCACCTAGTCCAGAATCCTGTTCTCACTGTGGCCAGCCAGATGCCCAAAGGGGGAACCCCCAAGCAGGATCCAAGGTATCCATAGATTTAGGAATAAGGAATGAAATTTAAATGGAAACACAAGCCATCATTCCACATTCAGGACTGAGAACTAATAATATAAGTTATTATAAGGTCAAAAAAAATGGAGAATGATTTCACTTCTTGCTTCACAATTATGGTTTCCACACATCCACAAATAAATGCAAAGATGCGAATGTGAATGCCCCAATCTCCCAGGGTTCCAGTTGCTGACGCAGGTTCAGTTTCCTTGGAATGAAGGTCAGCGGAGAACGTGGTGTCTTCAGGATGCATGGTTTTATATGCACAAGTACAACCTGAGCGGAGGATCCACAGCCCAACAGATCTTGCGTCTCCATTATGTCCTTATTTTATTCTGTTGCAGTGGCAGGGGGGGGTGCAGGGGGGGTTTACCCAAGGTGTCATCATTGAGGGGGTGGCAACATGACAAAAAGCTGAGTTAAAAAATAAAACTGGGCTCAAGAAACTTTTTAATTGCGTCAACAAACATAACAAAATGTGGCTGGCACACTGCTGGGGCCGGCACTTACTGTGGGGCCTACAGTGCGCCTGAGCCACACTGCTGTTCTGGGAGTGACGTGGTGGTTTGGGCGCTTGCAGGCTCAATGCTGCCTGAAACGGCAGCGTGGGGCTTGTGTCTGCCCACCGCCTCTCCCTCAGCCACCTAGAGCTGAGGGAGAGGCGGCGGAGAGGCTCCACGCAGCGCCCCCCTTCCACAGGATGCGAGCCTTGCACCGGGCACCTGAGCAGCTAGCTACGCCGATGTTATATTGTTTCAGTTATGGGTGCCTTGAGTTTTAATGTTTGGTTGTGTTTTTTAATTGCTTGTCTTTTGCATTTTAACGTTCATGATACTGGTTTTTATATTTTGGAACGAGCTGTTATATGGCACACAAATTACTTCTCCCTCTTCATCCGCAGTTGCCGTGATCTTCGTCAGAGTGCTCCCTTGTCTACATTTGACAGTTTTGGGGACTCCCTCAATGAGGTATGTAGCAGACAGAGCAGGAGGGAAGCCCTGCTGAGCTGCACAAAGGCAAAACTGGGGCTGGGGAGGAAGAGGAGGAAGCTGGCCCGCTGGCCAGGCCACCTTCTGGACTGGTCATGAGCAAGGGGACAGACATCTTTATCTCTCTGGGCATTATTAGGTTCTAGGACAGTGGTTAAAAACCAACTAAGTCACAGGGGGTGTTTCTTTCCGCCGAAAGTAGCGAAAGGAATTGATTTTGATTTCAAAATTTGCAGAGAATAAAGTTAGGAAAAATGGTTTTAAGTGCTTATGCTCACAATGTTAAGTAAATAAGCCAGAAAATAACACTTACAACTGTAAGTATCTTATTTTTCCTTCTTTTAATAATGTCAATGTGTGTGGGGGCGTGACAATAAATTTTCCACACCGGGTACCACCTGACCTTGCTACGCCACTGGCCACAGCACATGCAGCAACAAAGTATGGATTTTTGGAAGCTGCTCAGAGCCACCATAGCTTCATATAGAATACCACTAAGATTGTTGAATAATCACATTTTCAATATTAGACTTGGAATCAAATAAAGTGGAATAGTTCACCATTTAGTATGTGTCTATTTTTATAAGAATTAAAGAAATGGACTTTCCAGTATTTATTCAATGTGACTAGATTCTGAGTTTTTCCTTCTTGCTATATAAACGATGATTTATCCAGTGAAGCAACACAAACCTAAACGTATCTTCCAAAAATAGTTTTAATTTAGTTTCAATGTCTATGTTTTGGTTTTGAACTATTAACATGATCAACACAATAAATTCTTGCTATTCATACTAAAAAGTCATTTCTGATCACAACAAACATTTTTGTCAAAAAAATGAGACAGATCAATGTTACAAATAACTACATAATTTAAAATGCATCAATTAAGTGTAAATTTAGGCATATTAACTTTCAGTCCTTTGATACCTGTAGTAGTTTTCAAGCTTATATTTGAATGGGGAAAAAAGTAAAGTTTGTATAGCACTGAAAATATATATATACTGTGGCTGTTAGATTTGGATACTAACTTATTACATAGTTCTTTAACAGTGCCACAGGCACTATAAATGTTAATTAAACTTACTACACTGACTGTAAATAACAGGTTGTATCCAGCACTACACATGTGCAAATGGAATAGACTTCTGCTCACACTATGGGACTTCACTTTCCTCTCCCACAAGCCCCTGTGTACCTCAAAATCTGCTCCAGGAGTGATTGTGGTGGAGCATGGGGGAAAGAAAGGTTGGTGAAATCCCATTGTGTGATCAGTGTCTTTCTTATGCAGTGCAGGATTCTGCCTGATTCTCACAAAAAGGCACACCAGTCAGTTATTGGAATTGCAGACTTTTTGTAAAAGAAATAAAGCTTTTTTGTGGGGGCGGACACACAGGCTCTTCCTCCCAAATTCAGGCTATGTAGTGTGGGAAATTCTGCATTTGTTGATTATAAAGATGCTTTCTTCATGAAAGATTTGTACTAAGTAACTTTAGGAAATTAATCGTCTTTCAGGTCTTGGTAAGCATTTCATAATCGCAGCTCTCCAGAGTGCTGGTGCGAGCAATTGGCTTAGAGTAGTCACACTCAATATAAGGAGGTAGACCTAAAAATTGGGAAGCAAAATGTGTTATTTCTGTGAAGAAAAACAATCTTAGCAGAAAAACCCACTCACAGAAACATTAGGCTGCTTCTGATGCTACAGCATGAAGGTAACTAAGACAATGGCAACTAGAGACAACGTAACCTACCACCCTACTTATGCAGCAGATACTCAATCAATCCCACAAGTAGATCACCACACAATGCTTAAAAAGAAAAGGATTGCCATTATTGTTCTATTACCAGGACTTGGAAGATAGCACAACCAAGCTCAATATGCAACAAGCAACATTTTATGGCAAGCCACACCTTCTTATTCCTTTATTACCCATCCAACATGCCCTTTAATATTTGTCGATCTACAGCTAAAATGCTACTAGAAGTTGAGGCTGGTGGAGTCCAGCTTTTGGAATACATGTATTTGACATGGCCTAACGCAACTTTTGCGCAAATTTCCCATTAAAGAAGAATGAACCCCCAAACAGCCTTGGGAGGTTGCAAGGTAAAGCAAATGCAGGAGCTAGAATCTCTTCTTCCTTCTGAAGTTTTTGTTTCTACCCATGGGTGGGGAATGCAGGCCTATCACTATTTTGCAAGGGGGAAAACAGCTGGGTGGGTTTGAAAAGGAAATAGAATGGAGGTAAAACGTTAACCAGCTCTTCCCCCTCCCTTTCTTCTACTAATGAAGCATTAAGACTCCAAAGATGTTTCTGTTTAAAAAGGGAAAAAAGCTTAAAGAAGCTACTGACAACGGTGTATATAGCACCCAGTCTCAACATCCCTTAAATTGACCATTTTACCATATGGTTTTATTACATGCTTCAAAGTGTGAAATGGCTTTATGGCTGTGTGGGGATTTGAACTGTGGTCTCTCCTCACCCCTAAGTCTGGCGCTTTAACCACACCACCAGCCTGGCTCTCCGTGATATGGCTTTATGATGTCATAGCTTACCTCTCGAGAAATTATACCCGCTCTGCGTGCTCTGCTTCCCAAGACAAAGGAAAATTCACTGACTTGAGCCAAGCCTGCAGATACAATCCATTTGATGTACTGACTGCTCTTTGGAAGAATCATAGAAAGGACAAGCACTGCCAGGAAAAACTGAGAGAGAATGTTTTCAACAATGCAGTGGGAAAAACAGGAAAGTTTATGCTGCTTAAAATAAAATAAGGTTAAGAAGTTATTTAATTAACCACAGTTAACTAGTTTATACTGATTAGCAGAACAGAACAGGTCAGATTGTAATCTAGGTGATCTTTACACAGCATACTAGATTAAATTTAAAGTGTTTAGGGTTGTATCTCAGCTTTGTAACAATGAGAAAGCTGCTCACACAATAAGGCTGTCCTTTTTTCCACTGCAGACACACTGTGCCTTCCAGAGCCTCTGCTGAGGGGCAAGGCATCTCACAGGTGAGTCCAGGAATGTGGTGCAGGGGAGTTAGTGAAAACTGGGGAGATTCCAAACAAATTTTCCCATTCCACTGCAACTCCTGCACTACATTCCAGCTCTGAGGAGAGGCTTTTTGCAATGCTGGTGGCTACAGTAGTGAAGACTTCATAAGAAAGTTATTGCTTAAGTGGAGCAACTCCTGAAAGAACTGGACACAATTCTTTCTCATTGATTTCAATAAACCTGGGCTTTAACATAGAATGCCTGCTTAAATTTTATAGTTCTGGAAAAGTTTCAGTCTGGTAAAAAAAAACCTCTACAAATGTATATGAAATAAGAGAAAAAGCTTACTGGCTTGTGAGTTGCAATTCTTTCAGCAGTTTGTACACTTCTGATGGGATTAAATATTGCTTTTCTTTGTATATTTTAAGCCAATCTAGTGCTTTATACTAACATTAGAGATCAAAACAATATATTAAACATAATATATTAGGGAGGCTTGCCTGGCACCAATGCAGATATCTTTTCAGTACTACGTGAATGTATTTCTCTGTTACCAGACATTTAGTTGCTAGTTTTCCTGCTGTCATTGCTGACATTTTATCTGACTAATCTTCTGTAGTTGGGCAATTGTTCTGATAACTGAATCTGATAACTTTTTAAATATTGTATTGTTGAATATAGAATTTCAGCCTACATATCTCACATTGGTATCTTACTGTTGTTGTTTCTTTGACTAATACAGATACAGTGGTACCTCGTGTTACGTACTGCCCCCCCTTACAAAATGCTTCAAGTTACGCACTCCGCTAACCCGGAAGTAGATGCCCCTTGTTGCAAACTTTGCCCCAGAATGCAAGCGGAAGTCGTGCTCTGGCAGCGCGGCAGCAGCGGGAGGTGCCATTAGCGAAAGAGAGCCTTGTGTTAAGAGCGGTTTCCAGTTACGAACGGACCTCTGGAATGGATTAAGCACGTAACATGAGGTACCACTGTAGTAATGATTAATAAATTACTACTGCATTCTCACAATCTGCATTCAGCAGCCTGAACCAGAACCAAGGCTGCAGTCCTAATCTCACAAAACTGGGAGTAAGCCCCACTGAATTCAGTAGGACTTTTGAGTAGACATGGATAGGATTGCATTGTAAAATTGAAACCCGTGGTTAGGTTCTTGTGGGGAAAAAATCATCAGTTGTGTCCTTCATCTAGCATTCTTAAGCCACAGAATACCAGTTGCAGGGAGTGGGGTTGCAGTCACCATAGTAACGTAATACAAAATATCAACCTTATTCAATTTTATTCTAAAGTACTGAATATATATATATACCTTCATTATTACCACTGAAAGTGTAAGGAACAGCAAGACTGTGAGTTCATATATTACAAATGTAGGGAAAACATGAAGGCCTGCAAGAGAAAAAGAAGCATCTTACAGCTATTGTGACTTTTTTCTAAACATTGCAATATTTATAAAAGAGCACAGTGATGAAATATTGACAGGAATCTTTCTTAAAGCTTGTTGCTGAGTTAAGCATGCCATATTAAAGAATAATATTTTACAGTGGTGCCCCGCAAGACGAATGCCTCGCAAGACGAAAAACTCGCTAGACGAAAGGGTTTTGCGTTTTTTGAGTCGTTCCGCAAGATGAATTTCCCTATGGGCTTGCTTCGCAAGACGAAACGTCTTGCGAGTTCTTGCGAGTTTGTTTCCTTTTTCTTAAAGCCACTAAGCCATTAATAGCCGCTAATAGCCGCTAAGCCGCTAATAGCCGTGCTTCGCAAGACGAAAAAACCGCAAGACGAAGAGACTCGCAGAACGGATTAATTTTGTCTTGCGAGGCACCACTGTAGATGTTTTCATTTTACCCACGATATTAGAGAGGTTGCATAATTCAGGTGGAAGTACCATCCACCAGATGCAGTATTTCAGCCTACAGAGTCTGCTGTAGATGCTGTCTCTAAAGCATAGTAGTGATGCTTACTAGCTGGTTGTTCCTGAATTAGGTAAAAAAAAAAAATCCTGTCAGTGATGCTACTAGGTGACTATCTTCACTGAACTATCAACTGTGATCCAAGATCTCACTTTTGGTCAGTTACTGCCAGCACAGATCTCATGAGCGCATATGTGAAATTAAGATATTTTTGCCCCTACGTGCATCACTTCACACTTGTTTATATTGAACTGCATTTGCCATTTTACCACCCATTCGCTCATTAAAGAGATCCCTTTGAAGCATTTCACAATCCCTTTGAACCGACCCCAAACAGTGTTGAATCATCAGCAAACTTGGCCTCCTCACTGCTCACCTCTAACTCTACATTGCTTGTGAACATGGCCCAATACAGATCCTTGGGAGGATTCCACTTCCCACATTCCTCGATCAGGACAACTATCCATATATTCGTACTCTCTGCTTCCTGTTATTTAACCAGTTCCTGAGCCACAAGAGGACCTTGCCTTTTAGTCAATGATTGCTAAGCTTACTCAGGAGTCTTTCATGAGGTACAGTACCTTGTTCAAAAGCATTTTAAAAATTCAGATGCACTATAGCAACAGGATCATATATGTCTACATACTTTTTGACACTCAAAGTAATAGGTTAATGGGATGGGGTGCACCCTTGCATAAGCCGTGCTGGTTTTGCTTTAGCAACAACTTGTTCTTTTATATATTTGACCATTTTGTATTTAAGAATACTTTCCACATGTTTTCCTGGGACATGCATAAAGCTAACCAGCCCAAATTTCCAAGATTCCCCTGGATCCCTTTTTAAAAATTGGTGGTACATTGGCCACTTTCCAGCCCTCAGGTATAGAAGCTGATTTGAGGGATGTTACATAGGTTCCAATTTCTTGATCCACCTTGCTTCTAGATACCATGTCACCTTCGCTCCTGTAACTATTGGGACTTATTTCCAGTCCCTGAGCTGTGTGATATTTCACTTCAGTTACAAACTGACAACTCCCCTTTCCCTTAGAGAATGTGAACTGCAAACACTCTGGGACATAAAGAGCTACTTTGGTTCACATAAGGAACTTTTCTCAATCCAGCTCTTCAATTCCTTTTCTTTTTATACATTTCCGCATGCTATATCACAAACTGCTTGAAAGTCACTTTAATTTCATAGGTAGTTTGTCATGTATCATGGTGGTTACAGATCAAGAATAAGCCTAATAACTTTGGAAGATCCATAGTTCTTCAGAGTCTAGTCCAATAGTTTTGTCTACCTGAATAGTTAGAATACTCAAACATTCTGTGCCTTCATACCATCATCAGTTGATGCCAATAGGCTTCACAAGCACAATGCAATTAAAATTTATCCTAGTTATTACAAATGCACATTCCTTTCCCTTTGGCTGTTATGCTGGTAAAAATAATAATCGTTTATATATTTTTGTAATAAGTTACCTATAGATGCAAAGAATATGATGGCAAGAAAGTCACGTATTGGTTCAATACAGGACATAATTTCTTCAGTAACCATATGACCCTGAGAAGATATAAGTGCTCCTGCTAGAAAACATCCCAATTCCATTGAAACATCCAATAGCTCTGTGATCTGTTAGGGGGTGGAAAAGATTTTTATTACTATTTTGTGTCTATTAATTAACTTTTCATTAACCACCTTGCTTAAAAATTAAATATTACATGCAAATGTTTTATAACACTATCCTTATTTAATGAAAGCACTATAATTTAAATAATTAAATTAAAGAAATAAGCAATTTTAAGACTTCTAAAATTGTAATCTTTTTGTGAGTTATAAAATGGTCTCTACCATCTTTGATTACCTGTTAGCCCAGTTCCTAAACACAATTTCACTGTAGTAAAATCCACTTGAAATCCAAACTAGTCACACTAGCGCCTCTCATTAAATACAAACAAAGGAAACTTACCATATTAATGTATTTAGGATGGTAATGCAATGATCTAACTACAAGTGGCCATGCACACTTGATTTTAAGAAATGTATATGAATTTTTCAAACTTACTTTTTATGCCATATCTGACACTAGTGCACTCAGAAATAATGCCTCAACACCAAGATATTTGCTTTTAGAAGCTTGTTTTATATTACAGAGAGGTTGCTGTGTAAATCTGTAGCAGCAAGGACAAAGAGTCTTCCTGCACCTAAAAGGCTAGTTTATTGTGGCATGCGCTTTCCTGAGCAACAGTGCACTTTCTCAGATGCATGATGTAACTGTCTAAATGGACAATATGTTATGAATACAGAGAGAGCAATGATTTTCTAAGAAAGGGAGGCCAAAGGCAATGCAAAATGATTAGATACACCTTCTGATCTAATGCATGTCATATAACTGAAGAGTAAAAATGAACATAAGATCCAGTCAAAGCATCAAAGTATTTGCTTATATTCTGTATCTTTCTATGCCTCTTCATCACTCATTTCTTCAATCTACCTGGTTGCATGGAAGGACTAGTCTACATGGAATCAGTTAACATTTGGCTCTTCTCTTCTACCCTGCAGTTACCTTCCAACCCCACCTGCCTGGCTTCTTATAGCCAATCCAGGAAGGAGATGTAGCACTGCTTATCAGCTTCCTCCTCCTTAGTCTTAGCTGTAGAACCCAACAGAAAAGAAGTTGGCTCTGGCTGTCATTGGCTCTAGCGCCACCTGCTGTTGACCCCCCTGTCATCTGTCCTACTGGCCCAAATGGGTACCAGCCAACACTTGGGGGGGGGGGCACCAGGAGATTTAACGTATCTCCTTTTCATCAAGTTGACATAACTTCCCAGAGACAACCCAGATAACAAACTTTGACTCAGACATGGCAGGCGATGATTTCTGCAATAATGGCAGCTGTATGGGTGGAACTTTAGCTATACAATGAAGAAACGTTAAGCTAGGACTATGTACGCATAAGCATTTTAAGCTATGCACAAGCATTTTTATGAGCAGCCAGCTTTCTGACTGCTCAAATGTTCATTTAAAACTGGTTATTAAATTGGTTATTAAATTTGTTGACATAATGTTTTATGTAATTTACATATTCACCTATGAAGCCAGCTTCCATGAATGAAATCTACATTTTCTCCTGGAATTATTTTCAAAATTAATATATCACCATATCATGTGCAAGTTAAAAATAAAGAAATATTTGGAAAAATTACCATTAACATAAGGAACATAAAAGCAGATATTCCCAGAACTAGAATTTCCTTATTTCCTTTGCTTTCCGTATGCAACTTGCGGTAGTATGGTCCTATTAGATAAGTCTTTAAAACAAGACATATAAGCAAGGCAGCAGCCAAAGAAAAGAGAATTTGTCCAATCAGCATCAATATTCTCAGTATTTCCTTGATGGTGCTAGGGAAAAAGAAGAAAAAGTCACATTCAGTGTCATTCTAAAAGCCCTCTTAAAATGATTTTTCTTATTAAACAGGAAAATGTGTGCATAAATCTGTATCTGTCATTTACAGTTTCCTAACCCACAATTCCTGCAAATGTTAGACTACAACTCCCATCATTCCTAATCACTGGCCACACTGAAGGGGTCTGATGGAAGTTGGAGTCCAACAGCATCTGGAGAACCACAGGTTAGCCACACCTGGTCTTAAAAAAAAAAAAAGCAGACTTGGGGAATATTTAAGCTAGAATAAAAGTTGAGCCTTATCTAATAAATATTTTTGAAAGTGGTGTGTCTGTTTTGCCCTGCCCTCTAAGCATTTGAATGCCACTTGAGCTATCATGTGGAAGTTCCTGAGGAGGAGGAGCCAGTTTTTTGTCTATGTTTAGCACTGGCCACCATTTTGAATCAAGATGATGAACCAAAATGTTCCACACTGCACCAGTGCCAAAGGATCAGAAAATATCACTGCCCACTTTGGCATGATGGTTCCAGCGAATGAGGAGTGTGTTTTGGCCTGCATTTGGATACTATCACGTGCCATTTAGAATCCAGATGTCAGGCTGAACTGTTTAAATTGCACCAGTTTGGATGTCACTGAAGTTACTGTTGCCCAATTCAGCATGACAGTTCCCATGTTGAATTTGGTTTATATTTGGATACCACCAGACACCATTTTGATCCAGCTGGTATACTGAACCATTCAAAACTGCTACTAAAAACGAACTACTAAATGAGCTACTAAAAATATTTATAACCTAATTAAATTGACATCTGAGTCACAATATAAAGAGTATTAGGATGTATTTAACATTTAAGCCCTATGCATGTACAATTTCTTGTACCAATTTCTTGGCCAGTGCCCTCTTCAGGAACTTACATATCAAACTCAGTGAAATTCAAAGAGCAGTTTGAAGGTAGAAGAGCCGGACTAATGAAAAGAAAGTTGACATAGAAACTCCAATGTATTTACGGTTCCAATTCATTTGCACCTCTGAACTGCAGCATGGAAAGCCAGTAATTATGTACCATGCATGTCAACAGTAAATTAGTTATTAGATGTATGATAAAACACTTCATTGCATTCACACTTTAAGAGACACGCAGCATGAAGGAAAATAAACATACCATGTACGCAATCCTGAAATTCTTAGAGAAAAGGCAGGCTAAAAATGTAATGAATAAAAGCAAACAAATGAACTTTGTTACCTGGAATGTGTGCCGACACCCGCTTGAATAAGAGTTGGCATAACAGCTATAAACAAGCCAAGCTGTACATCCTGCATAACCAACATTGCAAGCAGAACACTGCTGTAATCAATATCTCCTGGGAGATTTAAAAAAAAAGAGGCAGATGTTCAATATGTTCAAGAACTGCAATACAGTATTAATAGCGTCCGTTTCCTTGATAATGATTTGCCACTTATCATGAACTTGTTATATATTTGGACCGAAGTCATACATGTGAAAGTATTACAGAAAGAAAAATAAAATGAGTGTCTAAGAAAATGTGTGCAAGAAGGCATGACTTTCAGAATATCTATTATTGAATGGCAAATCAATGGGAAGGTCCTTTTGAGCCCCAAAATACAAGCCAGTACAATACAAATACAAGCCAAGTTCCAACATAATTCTGTTGCCATGCAATTTATGCTGCTGCATATCTGCTGGATCCAAGATTCAAGGGCAGAAATGTAAGTGATGACCGCACTGCTTCTGTATTTGACTCCATTAAAATTAGGGTCTGATGAGGAAAGCTTTCTTTCTGCAGAGTACACAACCTATTGGGCCAACATATTCGACAGAGCATCTGGGATTCTGCCAAGCATAACCTTCCTGCAACATAGTGGCAAGACCTATGCACAATACAGTCATACCTTGGGTTACAGCTGCTTCAGGTTGCTTTTTTACGGGCTGCAGACTGCTGAAACCCGGAAGTACCGGAACGGGTTACTTCTGGGTTTCGGCAGTCGTGCATGCACAGAAGCGCTAAATCGAGTTTTGCGCATGCTCAGAAGCACCAAATTGCAACCCGCGCGTACGCAGATGCGGGTTGCGAACGTGCATCCCGCACGGATCACGTTCGCAACCCCAGCATCCACTGTACAGCCTCTGACATTTGTCTCTTACCTACTTCAGATTCCTCCCTTTTCTGTAGCACGTGAAAGAAGCTGATCTATGGTTTTGAAACACACCAAAACAAGAAATAAATTGACTTGTGGAAGGGTAGAAGCTGGTTTCAACTTGGGCAAACCTTCTGTTTTTAGAAGTCCATGATAAATATGATGGGAAATATGAAGAAACTGAAACTTATTGATAGAATAAAGACTAAATTTCACGTGGGGTTCAGTAAGTTTTGTTTCTCCTCCCCTCTTTTTCTCAGCTCTTTTTATGTCTGCTTAACACTGTGGAGGACTGGAGAAGACGTAATAGTTTTCAGAATAGTCATTTGTTCCACAATAATTTTGATGGTTTTTCTTCTTATTTTTGCCTGCTCCACATAAGCTTGCAAAATCATAGAGATGAACTTCCTTACAGTCGAGCAGCTTGTAACTCCATTTGGAACAAAGACTTTAAAAAACAAATTAGTAATTATTGTCTGAATAAAATCTTCTTTTAAAATACCAGTCATATTTCTGTGGTAAACCAAGCTATGCATAATGTATTTTATGTTCCTAAAGTATCAAACTGACTTTCAATATGTAAAGAGTACTGTTAAAATGTATTGCATTTTTTTCTGAAAATGTCTATTCCTCACCCCCACCCCTAAAAGGTATGGGTTTCTTTGCGGCTTCAAAATTCCTGGAAATTTTACAAATCCAGTAGTTCCCCAGCAGCTTACATTCAGAGGCATGCTGTCTTTTCTCTGAACCTGGAGTTAGCATACAGGGGTGGACTTTGGTAATATGGTGCCCTGAGCAAGGACAAAATTTGGCTCCCTAAATATTTATTTGGTGCCCTCCCCCCTTTTGCCTTCCATTTTGCTCTCAAGTGCACTACATCATAGTTGCAGAAATTCAATCACCTGCCTGATCAGGGCCTAACTTTGAGTAGGTACCAGCATAAATATTGATTTGTTATTTATTTGTTTGTTTGTTTGTTTGTTTGTTTGTTTGTTTGTTTATTATTATTATTTGTGCCCCCTTGGCTCAGTGCCCTGTGCAGGGGAACTGCCCACACCACCCTAAGTCCGGCACTGTAGCGTATCTCCATGACTAGTAGGCATTTATAGTCTTATCCCCCATGAATTTGTCTAATTTCCTCTAAAAGCCATCTAAGTTGGTGACCATCCACACTCTTGTGACAATGAATTCCATAGTTTAACTATGTGCTGTGTCAATAATTGTTTCCTATTGGGTGTCCTGAATCTCCTACAATTCAGTTTGTAGTATTATGGGAGAGGAAGAAAAACTCCTCTAGCTCTCATCTGCAACAGCTGTACGCAACTCATGATTCAGTTCCATAATTAGCCCATTCATCATACCAGGCAGATGACAAAATATCATTGAAAATATAAAGCTACACGTGTAGACGTATTAACAGGATTCTATTAAGATGTCTTATTCTCAAGCTTTTATATTTTCAGTAGATTATATCTAAGCCTGCATCTATGCTTTTCTAGAAGTCTATTACAATACATGTCTCTTGAGGCTTGCATTTCATAGAAACCAACTTATCTCACACAGAAAGCATTATGGAGTGCTGTGATTAGACATGCTGCAGGATAAGTTTTGTTAACTCAGATATCGGCTGAGAAACTAGGGATAGAATCTTCAGAAATTATTAACTGCATGGAAGGCACTGGATCTCAAACCTAGCCTTCCAAACGCTTTGGACTACAACTCCCACAATTCCTGACCATTGGTCATTCTTACCAAGGTTGATGGAAGTTGTAGTTGAAAACATTTGGAGGGTACCAGGTTGGAGAATATGATGAAAAGTGAAGGGCAATCCGAAAATTCGGCAAAAATAAATGGATCCTATAACTTAATGGGTAAAGAACTCAGGTCAGGACCATCAATATGCGAAACTCTCACTATTTAACTGGAAGTTAACTGATAGTTAAGAGCACCCTTCTACGACAATTAAAAGTTCATCAGTACCTTTTAAGGTTAGTTCTTTTTGCCCATGTGTCTGGGCTAAAATTAAATGGAAGAATTCAGTAGGTTAAGGATCCACCTACCTTCTTTATCTCCCCGAGAACTCCCTGCAAGGAATCTGGATACCAATGGTGTGCTTGATAATGATAAACAAGTAGCAATGAAAACGCTCTGTGTTGCTCTAATTTGTAGCAAGTGTCCCCACAGTAAGCCAAATGCGATCATCAGGAATGTCATGTAACAGGGTCCTTGCAATGATATCTTCCACACCTTTGAGAATAATGGTCACTTAGATTAGCATAATACTATTTCAACATTGCAACTGTATTTATCCTTTAAATTTTATGCTAAATTTTTATGCAATACACCTTCAGAATATATAGATCCTGAGAGTTCTTTAGACAACCAAAACTTTGTTTCTGGATCTATTTAACAATATGAATTCCAAAAAAATAAGAGTTCCCCCTCCCCGGCAAATAGATTATATTATGCTATAGATTATACTCACACCTGCTTAATGCAACCCTTGTCCTCGATGTTTAACTGAAAAAAGTGCTAGGATATATATTATTACAAGCAGAAAACAAACAATCCTACACTACTGAGTAAATTGTTAACTTGTGTTCAAACAGTAAATAAGCTGTCAGTAAGGCAATAACTCTTTAGCATGCAAGCATTCCCATATAAAATTTATTTATAGTAGCTTGATGGACTCTTTCAGCTCACAGCTCCCAAAGTGGAGTCCAGAGGCAAAGTAAGATGTGGAATGACAACCCAACGAAGTGTTAAAGGGGCTGTGATGAACACAGCTATGCTCTAGCAAAGAAGCTTGGAAAGAATTAAAAGCTGAGCGCAAGCTGGAAGGTCAGTGGAAAGAGAATGTAAAAAGGAGTAATTGAGAAGAAAGAAAAATGGTACAAACAGGTTTGCCACCTCGGTGAGAACCCAGGCAGAAGAGCAAGATTAAATTGCCAGGTTAACACCACCCACTCTGCCTATCCCACTTTCAGACTTTCAAGACTCTTGCACTGCCCTGGAGGTACTTTCCCATTCAGAGCTGTTTCTGTAGCATCCACCTTACCGCTCTTCTGACTTGCCTACTTATGATGCAGTCGCAATAGTCTCTCTTTTCTCAGTCTCTAGCTCTGTTTTTTGTCCCTAGGTGGCTGCAGCCTTTGCACCTGAGGGCCAATCATGCCCTAAATACGAGTCCCACCCACTTCAGACTATGGCTCTATCACAGTGTTCTCCTCAGCATGCTAGCTTTCCACGTGCAAGGATTTTAATTTGGACAGAAGAGCATCTGAGCCCACATGTGCCATCTGATGTGGTATAACCCAGACACAAATCTGCCACCTCAGTGAGAACTAGGCCTCTGTGTCTATGTATTCTAGGAGAACACGTGTTTATTTTCAAAAAAATAACCCTCCGGAAACTGTAGAAGTCTTTTAAAAAGAGGTGTTAAGAGAACAAACAAAAAATTCTTAAAACAAAATGTCTAGTCAAGCAACATTTTTTAAGAAATCATGCAAATTTGAACAATCCAAAATGCTGTTTTTCTCTTGGATTATTTGCAATGCTGATGCACATACATTGTATGGAGCAATACCTTTCTTAATCTTTCCGGGGAAAACTCCAAGCCAACGAGGAACAGTGTGTAGAACACACCAAATTCTCCCAATGTCTCTACTTGCACAATTGACTGAAAAACACAAGTTTGTTCAGTTGCCACAGGTAAGTCTTTTTAATTGTCTCAAAATATAGTCAGCTTCTGCAAAAGTAGTAACTGGAAGTTCAGTCATGCTATACATACAGTATCTGCTTACATCTTACTTCCACAATAAGGAAAGCATACATAAACCCCTTAATTCCCTTACTTCTCCAGAGCAGATTTTGGGGCTGTACAGGACTGGGGGGGGGGGGGGAGTAGCCCTGGTGCATAAATTAATATCAGCTTATGTAGCATTGTACCTCTCCAAAATCTTACCTTAATGCTGTTTAATCCTGATGGTCCTAAGAGTACTCCACAAATAATGTATCCAAACATAGTTGGTAATCCTATTGTTGTACATAACCATCCACAAGGCAAAGATAGCATTCCTATGGTGACAATATCCTAATAAATAAAACAAAAATAAAATAAAAATGTTCCACACACATATGTCAACATGCAAAGCAAGGGAACATACTACTGATCCAGGAAGGAAGAGGTTTCATGGATCGTCACTGGGCCTTTACATGGAACACTGCATTCCTGAAACACTACCTGGAGTTGAGTGGGACGAGGAGCAAGCCTTGGGCTCACATGCTCTCCCTCTGCTCTTTCTCCAAGAGAGTGAAACCTCTTGGGAGAGATTAAAAAACTATCACTCATTATGCATATGAAACATGAAATGGAGATAAAGCTGGTGTTAATATCAGTTGGAAAATGCTTATACCAACATTTTTACAACAACAAAATACTGTATTTTTGTCATTAGTCCTTATAAGTGTTGATTTTCGTTTGTTCAGGCTAACTCCTAATACTAATATTCAAGGCTTTCCCCCCTAACGGAACAGCGTTCTGTCACCTCTCAGCTGGGCCCCAGAAGTTGGGGGAGAGGCTTGACCAGCAAAGCCTCACTGCACCCCCAGCTCATGAGGACATCCTCCCCACAGCCTGAATATGAGGGCTCTGGAGAGGGTCTCCTTGTGAGCTGGAGGCACAGCAGGGCTTTGCTGAGGCTCTTCAGCCTCCTGGCTAACAGCTGATGTGTGGGAAAGCCATGCCTCAGCTGAGCAAGCCCCAAGCTGCTCTGGCTCACACTAGTCAGAGAGACATATGGGTGGGGGGTTGCTCATTAAGCTGGTCAGCTGAGGCACAGAAGCCTCTCCACACTTCAGCTGAGCCGGAGAGGTGCATGGGTAGGGGGGCCATTAAGCTGGTCAGCTGCGGTGTGGAAAGCTCCCCTTGCCTCAGGTGAGCAGCCTAAGCAAGCCTCTGGCTGGCAAGGAGAGGATCACTGAGGTGGGTTCTGCTGAGGGATGTGCATTCCGACACCTTTCTCTCTAGGAAAAAAACCACAACTAATATTGCCCTTTGTTGGTACTGGTTTCACAACAATTCCATTTCATTTGTGAGCTGGATGAGCAGCCCAGGGTGCATTTATGGGGCATATCACATTCTTATTTGGGTTTAATTTTTTTCCATAGCTGTGAATGGAATCAGATCACAAATTCTAAATTCATTTTTTATACCAGCTGTCACTAAAAACTAACCCAGTACAGATCTATAAGAACAGCTGCTGTAGTTATGGCACACAGAGATCAGATCGGAAGCTCTTGCATATGCAGGAGCTCCTATATGAGCAAGGACCTCCCTGCTGCCTTTAGTGTCAAGGGGAGGCATAGGCAACCTCAGCCCTCCAGATGTTTTGGGGCTACAACTCCTATGATCCCTAGCTAACAGGACCAGTGGTCAGGGATGATGGGAATTGTAGTCCCAAAACATCTGGAGGGCTGAGGTTGCCTATGCCTGGTCAAGGGCAACTCAAAAATAAACTCAGCTTCTGCAAAAATTAGGGTGATGGGATGGGAAAGAGCTTTGACTTGGAGCCATAGATCCAACCTAGAATTTTTTCTGCATTAAAAGCAGATGGAGGGATCATAGTAGTATTTTATACTACTTTCAGTACCAGATCTCGGACATCTCATATATATATAATGGGACTGTAAAAAGGTTGACATGTTTAATAATGGAGCCTACCTAGAAGTCTCTTTCAGTTAAGGCAGAGTGATATCTACATGAAATAGCTACATTGTATATGACAATTATCATCCTGTTGAGGGTATTGCTGGTGGCAAACACAAGTTTGTGGTTGAATAATGTCTATAACAACCATCCAAGGCAAAGTCTAAGAAGATGCTTCACAGTATTTCAGATAAAAGAATGATCTTGAGATAATCATATAAGCTAGTGCAGTCCAATGTAGCACCTAAATTCACAATTTTGAATTCTCAGAAATAGAGGAAATTAATATTCATTATTTTCTGCCATTTTTGCCAGGTTTCAATAGCAGCATTTTTTGTTTTGGAAAACCCAGTAGTATTTTAAGATATGACAGCAATAAAAAGTTCCTGACACCCGGATATAACACAATTACAAACTGGTATTGGCAAATAACTTTGATATGTTCATAATTGTTGTTTATATTTCTGTCTTTGAAATGTAAGTATACAGACAATACTCACTTTTAATTTAAGTTTTATTAATATGCTCAGCCCTATTTTTATACATTACCTTTATAAAATGATGATCCGCACGTGGAATGGTAGAGTCTCTGGGCTTAGTAAGTATGTACTGATTGTTTTGTGAATCAATAAGCATGCTTAGACCCAAATCATCTTCTACTACCCGTTTTGAAATATTTCTTTTAGTATCTGCTTCATCTTCTTCTACTCTTAAAACAGCTTCAAAATTCACTCCCCTTACCTATCAAGGAAGCAAAGGTTTTTCATTATTGTCATCTATTAATTATGCCATTTTTTCTTTGTTTTTAGAGTTTAAAAGGAAATAATAATAATGAGCAAGCAATCCTATGGTCTCAGAAGGTATCCTCAGGTCACAGAACAGTGTGGACCTCCCTCTCTGTGGGCAGAGATCTGGCCCTGGAAGCCTTCTGATTGTGGCTGAAGAAACATCCATAGGTACCTCTCCAATGTGGTTTTTATGGAGAGAGATGGTCCTTGAAGTATTGCCGTCCTGAGCTGTTTAAGGCTTCATAGGTCAAACCCAACACTTTGAATTGGGCCCGGAAGCCAGGATCGGTTTAATATGCTAAAACCCTTTTGCCCCAGTGAGCAACCTAGCTGCTGAATTCTGCACCAGCTGAAGCTTCCAAACAGTCTTCAGAGGCAGCCCTGCATATAAAGCGTTGCAGTAATCCTGTCTATACTTACAACACCAGGATTTCAATTTTTATAAATTGTTTATGTTGCCTTAATAACCTCTAGGTCAGAGATATCAATCTTGTGTATCTGTTACATTGCTATTTTTTATTCTAAAAGTTTCTAGTTTTGCTACTTTTAATTCTACAGTTATGTGGGTAACCTACAAGCTACTATGTATTTCTCGCCTCTCACCACTGAAGAAAACTTGCAGTGGCTGTCTTGGAATCCTCCCCATTGCATTGGATTTCAAATTAGAATTTATATTGCAACAAGAAGAAATGAAAGTCTTCTTATTTATTCTGCCAATATGCCACTTAACTGGAGAACATAACATAAAAATACTTAATAAGAATAACTTTGATAAATTGTTATATAAGATAGTAAGTAGCAGAACTCAATCGCTATAAAAATCCCTCTCTAGATAAACTTACTGACTTGTTGTCATCAAAGGCATGCTCTCCTATTTCCTCTTCAAGCCTATCAGCTGCTTTTCTTACATCTTCAAGAATCTCATCAAGAATGGATAAACTTTTATTTTGATGCTGCATGTTTTTCAGGGCTTCAGCCTGGTGTTTCTCTGCTGCTAGAAGTTCAACGTATTCCGTTTCTTCCTGTTAGAATTCATTAAAAAAATTCTAAGATATTTTTTCAAAGCTGAAATTCACAAGATGAACATTTCATTTTGTCAAAGTTCTTACAAAACTTTTTAAAAGCTGCAGAACAAATACTTCATACAAAGAGCTTCCTGAGGTCCTTGAATTGCCTTTCAGCTCTAGATCCTCAATGAAGCTGGAGTGAAATCCTTAAAAAGGCCATTTTATAATAAGGACAGTTAACATATGCAGAGTGTTTACTCCCTTCAGTAGCCATTATTTATTAACTGTATTTATATCCCACTTTTCACCCAGGAAGTACAAGATGACATATATGTTTTAAGGGTGAAATATAGCAATTTACTCAACATCACCAGTGATTTTATGGGGAACTATGGGGTACAACGTAACATCTCTCTAAGTATAAAAATGCAAGCCAATATTTCTCTTCTCATTTCATTATGTGGTTATTGTCATTCTGCAGCCACCCCTTCTCATGACCACACTGCTGGAAAAGGAGTTACAGTGGTGCCTCGCAAGACGAAATTAATTCGTTCTGCGAGTTTTTTCGTCTTGCGAAGCACGGTTTCCCAAAGTCTTCAAAATCACCAAAGTCTTCAAAAACCTCAAAAAAGGCTACCACACCGCGTGCTATGAGTTGCTCCTCGAAGTCACCCTAGGTATTAACAGTTTTAAGAAAAAGGAAACAAACTTGCAAGACGTTTTCGTTTTTCGTCTTGCGAAGCAAGCCCATAGGGAAATTTGTCTTGCGAAGCAACTCAAAAAACGAAAAACTCTTTCGTCTTGCGAGTTTTTCGTCTTGCGAGGTACCACTGCACAATGAAAAAAGAGAAGTCACTGATTGCATATCCTCTGCTGACATGGCAACCTTTATGGGCATGAATGCACTTCTTCCTTCCTTACTTAAGAAAGGCATCTCCTTGCCCAGCAACAGTGGAAGTAACAGATTTTTAATTCTGGATGATTTAACGTAGGGGCTTTTGCTACCTTTTCAAGAGCTAATGAAGTTTGCTCCTATCAAAGGCTTATGAGCATAACAAATGATAGAACTGAACACGTTTGAGAAATATTTTGTCTCCTATTTGGACAGACGGAACAAGAACTTGACACTTAAGAGAGTATAATATTGCATTTGAAAGCAGAAGAGTAGTTCTTACTACTGAATGTCATAACTTGCTATGGGTCAGTTACTGGGTATTTTTGGTTGTGGAGTATGCAGCAGCCTACCCAATCAGTCATGAGTCCCTGTCCTGTCTCTGGGCATCATACATAGATGTGCCATTTGCAAAGCATCTATGGCCCAAATATGACCACTGATAATATGGGAAATTCTGCACGCATTGGCTTTTTTTGCAACTTTGGTTCTAAGGGCGATATCCAATGTTGATCATACTCAGAATTGAGCCATTGAAATAAACAGACTTAATAGGTCTACTCAGAGTATAACTAACACCAGATATTGCCCTAAGCCAGGCTTCCTCAACCTTGGCCCTCCAGATGTTTCAAGACTACAATTCCCATCATCCCTGATCACTGGTCCTGCTAGCTAGGGATCACGGGAGTTGTAGGCCAAAAACATCTGGAGGGTTGAGTTTGAGGAAGCCTGCCCTATGCAAAGCATTATCTCAAAATTAATGTGATGGGTGTGATTCCCCCTCCTCCACCAAGCACAGCTGGCAAGTTTGTTGAAACCAACCTAATACTTTGTTGAAACCTGTCTATAGGCAGTAGCTACCTTGACATCCTTTAGTTCTAGAATATTACCGTAATTTTTCAACTGTAGAGAGAACTAACCTTTATTGCTGCTTCCCTCAAAGCTTCCAATCTCTGCCGACTACTTTCCTTCATGTTCACAACATCTTTATAATCACCTTGTAAAGCTCTTTGGAGTCCATAGATTGCTTGAAATACAGAGTTTTCACTTTCATTCAGCTCCTTTTGAAAAATTTCAAATGTGTGGACTTGAAAAGTTCTTTCTGCAAGTGACAGTGCCGAGTCCTTTTCTACTGCTCTTATTGCACTTTTTAGTTTGTTGAGAACCACATTCTTTTGACGCAGGAGTCCAGATAGCTTTCTGCAGTTTTCTACAAGCCATTGTTTCCTCTGTGTAGCAGCAACTCCTCTTCCACGATGCAGTTTTATTGCATGTTTCACTATATCCTCATGTTCCACAGGTGTTATTAGTTGACAGCAAAACAATGAAGCCAACACCCATAAGGAAATAAATCCAGTTACCTTCATGGTCCAATTATTACCAATCATAGGAAAGCAGTCAGAAATTATCCCAAACTTTCCATCATATGCTTTTTGCATCTCAAATATATATGCAGTATGATCAATTAATAAAAATTAGCTGTAATTCTTAGCATACTGCTGAACCGCTGAACCAAATATGAATTCAAATTCCAGAAACCAGGAGATGAAAATACCTTAAGCACTGCACACTCTTCTTTCTTCAAGGTTACATTGTTTTTTATGAAAAACATCTTCTTTCTTGGTCTGCTTTTTGTCCAAAACATAGCACTAGCTAACATCTATCAAGATGGAAAGAGTTCTACTGAAATTTTTTTTAATATATTTTCCTTGAATTATATCAAATACTCTTCAATTAATTTTCACTAATGGAATGGTTGCTTGATCTTCTTATATGGACAATAAATGATGATTCCCAACTCTGCATTTCAAAACAAAAAGTAAAATGGCTACTTACTGAGAGTTTTTTTATTATAATCAAGCAGTATTCAAATATTGTTAAATGAATAAAATAAAGTACAATTGATTACAATATTTTAATTTCCTAGTAACTAACCTAACTACAAAAGAATATGAAGAGAAGGCACCTTATAATCCCAGGACCCTTCCTGCTTCTCTCATCTTTCTCGATCACGACTATGTCCTTCCTTAGAGCCATATACACATTAAAGTTTCTAATTCTTACAAGTTACCATGTCTTTTCACTCCTCTTCCACACAAACCATCAGTTACTTTCCCTCCCTTTGACTTCTCCCACCTCCATTGCTTTTGTTATTGTGCTCCTCCTTTTCTCTGCAACACCTCATGCTCTCTACTTGTCAAGCAACTTCCTTCTCGCAGTCAACAATACTGAACATTTCCCTGACCTCTTCCTTTCCAAATCTCTCCAGTCTACATAGATCGTAAACCCATTAAAGTCAAGGGCTGTGACATGGCTTTGTTCTGTACAATAACCAGGAATATGTGATGCTGCAAATCCATATTGTTATGGAGTGGTCTGGAGACCTGAGTTTTGGAACTCTGGGGCAGCTCCTTGATCTCCTGCTGTTTGCTCTTCCCAAAAAAACCTGTTGTTGTTTTACTTTGATGATAAGATGGTGGATCATAGTGTTGGTGAGATCCCAATGTACCCACTGTCTTAATTTCCCAGAGCCCCGCCCTTAGCCAACCAGAACGGAGGGCTCCGCCCCCTCTCCATAAAATAAGGACATGCGTAATTTTGCTCAAGTGCTCTGCCAAGTGTGTTAAACAGCAGTGGATGGCCATTAAAACTTCAGATCCATCAATCCTGTCAAGGATATCTCCAGGTTTTCAGGTACTCCCAAGCAAGACTTATTCCTCAGTAAGATCACATTCCTTACTTCCATAATACTTAATTCACTAAATACTGGGAAAAGAGGAAGATTGTGCTGGAGCTATGGCTCAATTCAGCATCCCCTTCAAACATCTATGGACCCCAGGGAGTAGTCTGATGACCTTGATTGCTGCTGGCACCAACTACTTACATATATATGAGACAACATCTAGTCCCAGGAAAGGCATTTATGAAACGGGTCATCAAAACACTAGTTATAGCAGACCATTTACATCAGCCCTGACCAAGGTGCATAAAGGTGTATATCCTTTCCGTCCATTGGAAGGAAGAAATTCTGAAGCGGCGTCCACTTCCCAAGCTCCCAACCCCGCTTGCTTTAAAGGGCAGGGCACGTCCAGCAGCAGGGAGAGCAGCAAGACACACCATTATTCCCTTGGTGCTAAAGATGTAACAAATGGTGGAGATTTAGTGGGGAGGAGGGAGGGAGAGGAAGAAGCCACCACCACCACACCACCCCTCTTTTTTGGGGGAAGGATCCAACTCGCTAACCACCACCCTCTGGTCCCATACTAAAAATAACAAACGCAGGTCCAGCACTGCCTCCTTTATGACGCCACCTTAGGAACCAACTCCTGGGGCTGAGGTCACTTCAGGGCCCCCGCCCAATAAAACATTGGAGGGGTCCAGGCTTGGGTGTAACCATGATTTTTTTGGGGGGGCAGGCATGATGTTAGGGGAGGCAGAACCAAGTTATCTGTGACGCAACTGGTCAGTCAGTTATATTTATTTTATTTTATAATAATAATAATAATAATTTATTATTTATACCCCGCCCATCTGGCTGAGTTTCCCCAGCCACATTTACTTGATTTTTTTTTGCAGGGGTGTCCAGCCCCATGGGTCTAAAAGACCCCCGGCTCTGAAGTTGATGGAAACTGCCACTCAAATCGTGTGCATGAACCGTGTCATGAGATCACGCGCGAGGGTGGGCCGCCGAAGGCGATTCAGGATCCGGTTTCGGAGCCTCTTCCTTCTTTCATTTCAAACCTGGATCCCTCAGTCTCGTCAGGGCCGACAGGAAAGTGAGGGAAAGAAGCGGGGGAGGGAGTGGCGAACGACATAGCACTTCCTCTCTCCCCCCCCCACTCTACCCCACCTCGCATCGCCTCACCTGCACGGGAAGGTCCCACCGCAGCCGAGCCACCGCCGGAGAAGCCGAGCCACGTCCCCATCCTCCTCACCTCCACGCCGCCTCCCTTCCTCGTTCTCTCAGGTGACCAATCGAATCCCTCGGAGGAGCCGCCTAGCCAAGCTCGCGCCCCGCCCTCAGCCAACCAGAACGGCGGGCTCCGCCCCCTCTCCATAACGAACCCCCTGCCATTACCTCACCCGTCAAAAACAACCACTCGGCTTCTCTCAGCGTGAAGGAGCACAGCGGAGCTACTCGCCGGCGCTTTCCCTCGCTTTCGTTTCTTTTTTTAACGCCTTGTGGGAAATGTAGTCCTCCTGGTGGACTGTGGGAAATGTAGTGAACGGGGTTGTTTATATATACATGTACAGTAGAGAGGGGTACAGTAATCGCAACCGCCTCCGTTGCGGTGCATTGTGGGAAGTATAGAATTCCCACTCCACCCCTCCCACGCTCGCATCGGCCATAGAGGTAAGATATTTACAGAGCTACAATAGAATGGAGGTGGGACTTCCTGGTTTCCTTTGACGCTCTTTTTTGCCGCTTCACTATATGACGGAAGGGGAAGGCGTCGGTAGAAAAACAATGGGGAAAGGCAGTATTTGGGTATAGCTGCTCCTGAGCAGCAGTATGCCTAGCCAGAAACAGAAGGTAACAGCAAAGGGCATGTTATTTTCGACTCGGCTCTTATTTTGTGTGGGAAATGTGGGTGGGAATTCTTAGAATTGCATTGACTGTACCAAAACAGCCGTCGTAGCCTGCCTTCAAATCTGGGCTTCTACATGCAGTTCTGCGCTGAACTGATCTGAGGGCGGGATTATCTTGTTGCAACATGGTGTTTTTGTACGAGGGATATTTTTGAGGCTGTAAATGCAAACTGGCCTCAGCATCCCCATCTATAATAGTGAAGTTAAAAAAGGAGGCTGGACCTTTCCAGGTTACGGCAAAAAACAACAACAGTCCCCACCTTAGATCTCCTCTCAGCCCAAATCCAGCACTGAACTGCGTGCAGAAGTCTTGTGCTTCAACAAGCTGCATACGAGTGCATTGCCCACTTAAAAATCGTTAATAACTTAAAAAAACAAAAAACGGCAAGACCAGCGCTAAGAAGCAAATAAATCCTTTGTAGAAGGCTTGTAGTTGCCCAGTTACAGGGGACGGGGAATCCCGAGTTTCTCCAGCTTTTTGTCTCCCTTGTGACGCTCGAAGCAAGCAAACAAAAAGTTAGCCCAGAAGTGAGACGCTTCGCATGAGTCTACTATTACACATCTACGGCAGCAGCCGGTTGAGAGCGGAGTGCACCATGGGTAACGTAGTTCCTCCTTCCCCTTCTCTCTTGTCGGGCCTTGCAGGATTCCCCCCAGCGCTACCTCACGGGCGCGGTAGCGTCGCACCTTTTAGTACTGGAACCGCGGGAAAGAACACAACTCGGGGGCGGGAGTTTCCGAAGACGATCCTAGGCGATGGCAGGCGGTTGAGGGTCGTGAGGGAGCGGGGGGGGGGGAGGCGGCCCGGTACGCGCGTGCGCAGGAGGACGCCGTAGCGGCGGCGGCGGCGGCGGCAGCAGCAGCGCTGGCGCTGGATAGTGAAGTTGGTTGAAAGCGCCGCTGATAAAATGGTAGGTTGCGCACGAGCGGGGGGGGGGAGAGGGAGAGGAGAGAGGAAAAACTGCACCGGTTGTTTAATAACAGCCCCCCCCTTTCCCGCTTCCGCGAGCAGGAGGAGGAAGCAGCGGAATAAAAGCTCCTCCCGCCGGGCTGCCGCCTGAGGGCAAAGTGCAGCGCAGCGAGCGACCTTGCTCTCTTTCCCCTTTAGGTCTCTCCCGTCTTCTGGCGCCTCAGTCAAGGAAGGTCACGAGGCGGCCGGCTTTTTTTTTTTGGAGAGGGGGCGGCAAAGGTTCTTTTGAGACTTAACCCTGTCTGCCTTCCTCTCTCCTTCCCCGTCATTGAAGCTCTCCAAGCCCCGAGGCGATCCTGTAACACTAACCCGGACACACGGGTGTGCGTCTCGTGTGAATGAAAGGGAGGTTGTTTTTTTGTGCGTGCGTGCGTGTAATGGGATTCTTGGGGGAGAAGCTAATAGCAGAAGCACCGCAGCTACAGTACTTACTGCCACCACGGCTGGCTGACGGGCTCTCACCACCACTAACTCCACCACGTACCTTTCCCTTTTTTGGGCAGCGGAGAAGCTGGCAGGGTGCTGCAGCCTGACGACCTGTCTCTCTCTCTCTCTCTCTCTCTTTCTCTCTTTCACACACACACACACACACACCGATTTTGTCCGGCTTCTTACAGACCGGCCCCCAAAGCTATACTTCTCTCTTTGCCTTTCTTCCCTCTTTTCCCACCCGCACCGCCTCCCCTCGGCTCTGGGGAGAGGGGTTTCTATAGGGGGGATATAGGCCGGGGTGAGCTGTCCCGCGGGGGGGCAAGGAGCCGCAGGTGAATGAGTTGCCCGTGAGCCGCTAAGGTGCTCTTCCCTCCTTCCTTTTGCGCTCCTAAGACCAAATCGTTCCCACACACACTCGGTTAGGATCTGGCATCGCTCAATTTCCCCTCATTCGTCTTCTGCTAGGTATGATAATGAGTGGTTTATTTGGAGAGAAAGCCGAGTTTAAATGAGGATCTCAAATTAGAATCAGAATAAATGTATTTTAAAAACCCTGATTCAGGAAGTTCAATAAACTGCTTGCTTGCTTATTTATTTATATTTTATTCATTATTTTTGCCTGTGAAAGCTCAACTTCTCACATTATCCCCAAAAGTGAATGATGAATCAAAACAAGCAAGCCTCTCTTTACTTCAGTGATAAAACCTTGAATTCCTGGATCTTGAAATTGGCTGGCAAGTAAGGATACAGGAGCCATGTTTTACTTGGATTTATTTTCCAATGTGGTGGTTCTCAGGACTCTTTCACAAACATTTTTTTACATGGGGCTTCTTTAGAATAGGAGAGAAGTCTTGCTGTAGTTTTGGTCGTGCAGTTTCGTATGCTAAGAGGATTTTATAAAGAAAATGCCATCGTGAATGGTGACACAAAATATCACAACTGTGTTCATCTTACTGAGAGATATTTCAAGACTGTACTGGCAGTAAAGAAATGCAAATGAAACATTAATGCAATAGGAATGTACTGTTAAAGTGACTTCATGTTACTGTGTTTTTGGATGATACATTTATTTATTATTTATTTTGGTTTCTAACCTGAAACAATACTTTTAGAATGCTGGCTTCTGATTTTTATCATGATTATGTATCTCCACTGATACTGCAACTAAGTGCAATCCTATGCATGTTTGCTTTCAAGTAGCTCATTCATTTTAATGGAACTTAACTCCCAAGTAAATGTGTAAAGGGTTGTATCTTCAGTGTTTTTAGACCCTTGAATATATGGTAGTGTAATTACATGTTGTGTAATTTATGCTTTATAAGGGCACAGTTTGGTTCTTAGGTTTATCATAACACCACTACTTAAAAGTTACTTGACTAAAGATTTGGCCCCCTTAATGAATAGCTACTGTGTAGATAAAACTGGATATTCTAATGAGGAAAGTTGATGTATCTAGAATTGTAATGCTAAGACTGAAATGAATTGCACTCAGAATTTTGTTTGTTTGTTAAAAATGTACATATAGATGCTGTCATTTCAGTTTTCAGAAGAGAGTGCTGTCTTTAACTACAGAAGAACAAGGATTTCTTTGGGTTATTCTGGAGTGAAATTTGTTACCCAACAAGAGAAGTAAACCCTTTTAAAAGATAGGCAGTTATAGTAGAATTCTGAAACAAACGACTGGATTAGCTTCATTGGCTTTCCTGCTTCTTTTGCATCCCAAAGCATAAACTTAAATCGTCTCAGAAGGACAAGGTCCGCCAGTTTATGGCAGTTACCCAGGCTGGTGAAAGGACTGCTATATACTGTTTAATGCAGAATGAGTGGAAACTAGAAGTGGCAACAGACAACTACTTCCAGAACCCAGACTTGTACTACAAAGAATCCATGAAAATTTCAATAGACAGAAAGAAATTAGAACAATTGTATAACAGGTACAAAGGTAAGGTTTATTTTTTCATTATTTCATTTGGACTTGGTTTCAGCTTTTGCCTAAATCTTTGGGGTTTGGGGAATCTGTAATCCTGAACATATCTACTTGGAAGCAACACCCATTGAATTCAGTGCATTTGGTTGTGGGTAAACATGCATAGTATCAGGCTGTAAACTAAATGTGAATGTAGAAGTCTGTTCTAATGATCTCTGTATATACTACTGTAATAATCAGAAACCTCCAAGTATAAAGCTCTCTCCCCCTGCTTTATCTTTGCCATTCAATATGACATAATTCTATTTTAAAATTGAAAACACTGTAAGTGCAAATCCAGCATGCGTGCTAAGGAAGAGCAATCTAGCTGCTTAAATTTGTATGTGTGAGATGTACTAGCAGTATATTAAGTGCTATATATAGCTGTAGCTAGCAGGGTCATATGGGTAGGGCTGTGTTGCTCTCTGGCCTTCCCAGTGCCACAGGTCATTGCTGGTTACCAAGGGTGGGAGGGGTAACATAGTGAGATAATCAGCACGTTTTGGGTGCAGCTGCAGGGTCAATCCAATGATCCCAATTCTGCCCCCTCATGGTGCAAAGCAAGTTGGAAAAACGGGAGCGCAATGCAGCCCCACCCACACTACCCTGTCAGCCACTACGGACTGTGTGGATCTTGTAGTATCTGATTCATTACACATGAACTGAAGACTTTTTATAATTAAATTGCATCACCCTGATCCAGTTTCTATTGTCAATCACTTGCTGGTGTTATGGGCGTAAGAATGGAGGTGCTGTTTATACTCCCTGCATTGTTTTCCATAGAATGTGTGTTCTAATGTGCATTCTCATTCACATTGGAATGCCTATGTTGATGGTTATATAAGTGTATACTCCTTTGAAACCAGGTGAGGGTAGCCGATGGGTCTCAAACCCCTGGTGAGTTAGGGACTTCCGTTGCATAGGAAGACAGGCTCTGGTGGATTGAACGGACGAGACAATATTGGGTCCACTGGTCAAGAAGGCAGATTCTGCACATGCTATAGAGCAGGGGTCAGCAAACATTTTCAGCAGGGGGCCAGTCCACTGTCCCTCAGACCTTGTGGGGGGCCGGACTAGATTTTTTGGGGGGATGAACGAATTCCTATGCCCCACAAATAACCCAGAGATGCATTTTGAATAAAAGCACACATTCTACTCATGTAAAAACACGCTGATTCCCGGACCGTTCACTGGCCGGATTTAGAAGGCAATTGGGCTGGATCCGGCCCCTGGGCCTTATTTTGCCTACCCATGCTAGAGGGAAGTGAGAGGCAGATGGGACTTGTGAACTTGGGAAGGTAGCCCATCTAGAAGAAAGCTGATCCTAAACCTCGGCTGCCTTGCTAAATATCTTCAAGAGAAGAAAAAGCTAAGGAGCAAACCCTACTCAAATCCAGAGCAGAGTCCCTAAAATGGTTAGATGGCATCTTGTACACCTCCTTCGGGCAACTCCTGCAGCCAGGCTGTTGCCAGATGTATTGCTCCGCTTCCCTTTGGACCACATCAGCGAGGCTGAGAGGGGGTCCTGTCATCTGGGCAGCCCAGGGCCTCCATACACACTGCTCAGGCTTGCACCCTGGGGAAGTCACTGGTGCTGTTAACACAGTGGTTTGACTCCACCCTTGGAGTTGCACTCCATTGTCTCTTGAGAAGGACAGATGCCAACAACTCCTTTGAAAGTAGGGGTGGGGCTTATGTGCACTCTGCTAACATGCATGATCACCCAGAACACAACCCCCGTGCACACTTGGGGTTGTCTGTATTTTATTATTGTACAGGCAACCCCCAATTTACATGGGTGTTGCATTCTGGGTAATCGTGCACAATGGCAGAGTTCACATAAGCACGTTACACCCCGGTTCATTCTGTTTTCCGGGTCGATGCAATGCACGCAGTCGCATGTCAATTGGATGCACGCAAATTGGTCTTTGCCTGTATGTTATGTTCATCACAAATTGAGAGGTAGAACAATATGAATTTTTAAAAAAGGTTTAGTATCCAGTGAAGGAGTGAAAACATACTTAATTTTTCGCAGTTATATGTGAGACTATGTCACTGTTGAATTATTTATATTTAAATCTGTAATTTGCTTGGATTTATATTCTGTGCTCTCTTTCACAAGTAATACAAAGCTAAAACATGGCCCAGTGTGCAAGCTCCAGAGGAGATCATGGCTGCATTGCTCCCTCATTCCTGCTCCTGCTGCACTTCAGTGAGCTTAGCCCCATAACGCCCCTTTTTGGGGATGTATACCAGCCATAGCTCAACTGGCTGAGCTGGGATGTGCAAGGTACACCAGTGTATCTTGACTGAACCAGGGTTGGGGACTTTATGCCATCTCAACCTGACTGAACAGGAGATCTGTATCATAAGTAGCACATCTTGCCATTGGTTTGTCCCTATAAAGCTTTTTAAAAAATAAAAATAAATCAGTCACTGTCCTTTGGAGGTTCAAATCTGTAAGATTTTTCACCCAGCCTTGAATCCTTGCCACTTTGAGTGTAATGTTTATCAGTGCTTGTGCTTTAAAGTTTAATAGTGTCTCCCAGTACTATGGATGCAATCTGATTGTTAAACCTCCCTGTTAGCAGAGGAACAGCGCTCAATCCCTCTTCCCATGGAACTCTGGGAATTTTAGTTCTGAGAAGGGAATAGAGGTCTAACAACTCTCAGCACCTGTAACAAACTACAATTTCCAGGATTCTGGGATTTAAATGTCTGGTGTTAACACTTCTATTGTACTATTGTAAGAGATTGAATATGGTCTTTTCTTCTAAATTGCTTGGTAGCTTACTCAGTCTTCAGTAAGCAATCATTTGCTAAACTTTATCTCAGAACGTACATATGTTTGGGTAATATGCAAATTTACTTAAGCAATTGGTTAAAAGACAGATTGTTAACAAACCAAAATACTTTAATCAGCTGACAGCTCCAATGAAATGTGTTATAATAATATGCTGGTGTCTGAAAGACGTTGTTAGTTTTACTTGTAAAAAAAAAAACAACTATGTCACAAATGGCAGAGTTGTAGATCACATTTCCACTAAGCATATGCAGAAAATTGGAGAGCTCAAGGTAGCTTATTGTCCTTTATTAGTATTATAGGGACTTTAAACAGAAGCAGACTTGAAGAGGACATTTCATTTGCACCTGTAGTTAACTGCTTCAAAAGCAGGCTCTCAGAGAGATGAATGAAAGACTAGAGTGATCCATAGAATTTAAGTTAGAAAATCTGTTCTTGTGTGTATGATTGTCTAATAACCTCTTACAGCAATCATCTGTTTTTCAAGCCCTTAAGAGATTTATGGAGATGTGAAACACATCCAGTACAAAGGTCTATTTTAAATATCATTACAACTCTTCAGTTGGAATTTTAAAAGTAAGACTGTCTTTCTTTGAAATTTCAACATATACTGTACTATAAAATGTTGACATACTATTTATTTAAATTTTGGAATTCAATTTTAAAGAAAATCAGAGAGGATGGTCTTGTTGGTTAGTAAGGTTAAGGTGTGTAGTTTAGATTGGATAGAAAAAAATGTAGTGCCCTCTAGCTGTTGTATTACAACTCCCATCAGTTCCAGGCAGGCCAGGGATTATGAGAGTCCTAGTAAAACAATGTCTGGAGGACATCATGTTGTTCAGATGGAGGATACCTGATTTAGATTCACAACCCAGTTGAATTTTGTAACTTCATATAATTCCGTTCTATCATATGAAACATTTAAGTGTAAAGAAGACAACAGGAGTGAGCTTCTTTAAAGTCTGAAATTGCTTTTATATCAGACACAGAAAACAGAAGTATGTCTGGAAATTTCTTGGATTAAAGCTGTGTGTTTACAGCCGCATCTGTAGGTGGGTTCAGCTAGAGTACTTGGATTTAAGGTTTTTGACCACTTGGCTTCAAGTGCTTTAACTTAAAAACTTTGTGGATTGCAGATCTAGGCAGGTGCTCTGCTCTGCCCTCATGACTGAGGGGCCCGTGGCTGTGCAATGTCACCACGCCCCATGGTGTGCGTGAGCCCTGGCCCCCTCAGTTTTGTGAAAAATGGAGTAGCAGGATGTTTTCTGATGGTTAAAGAGCTGCAATTCTTTGAACTGTGATTCTTCATGAAAAAATATAACATTCTTTCCTCCCCTATATACAGATCCGCAAGATGAGAATAAAATTGGCATTGACGGGATTCAACAGTTTTGTGATGATTTAAGCTTGGACCCTGCTAGTATCAGTGTTTTGGTCATAGCATGGAAATTTAGGGCAGCCACGCAGTGTGAATTCAGCAAAAAAGAATTTGTAGATGGCATGACAGAACTGGGGTGAGTATGCTTTTCTTTAATAGGACTTCAAAATGTTCTTAGTAAACCAAAAGTAACTTTCTGAAATATTTCAAAGATGTGCATACTGAACAATTGTATTATTTAATCACACATGTCTTATTTATACACATATAACCTGAGTTGTGGTCCAATGAAGCTATTTGTTATCAAACAAACTGTGCATGTATCCAGAGCTTTCTGCGTAGCATTCATTTGCTGCTCAACCTCCTATAGCTAACTGTAGACGCTTTTAAAATCGAACATTGGCTTTCCTAGTTCACTATGGGAACTGTCCTAGTAAAAACTACCCAAAGATGCTCTTAGCCATTCACATGGTTTCATTAGATGTATGTGAATTTCTAGAGTTGGAGCTTTTCCTAGTAGGGACAATTTCATTCCCCAGTCCTTCTGTCTGTTCCCTTCAGTTAAGACCATATTTATGGCTCTTTTGGATTCAGTTGAAGTGTCGTGGAACACAGAAGACCTCCAGCTAGAGGTTTGACCCATTTAAGAGTTAGTCCTTTAGTGGTGCATCAATAAAAATACTAGCACATTTGCGAAGCTAAGCAGGGTCCTGTATGGTTTCAGTTTGGATGGGGGAACCTCGGGTTGTGAATCCTGCATTGCAAGGAGTTGGACTAGATGTTCTTCGGAGTCCCTTCCAACTTTACAATTCTTTGATTCTGTATAGTTTTCCAAAATAGGGTGGAGCCTAGGAGAGGTGGACTGGAAACAGACGCCCCAAACGTCCCAGTTCACTTTCAACCCCTTTTGAAATATTGCTCACTAGGAGCTCTCCATGGTGCTGTGACAACTGCCTTGCTCCATTGGCTCCTCCACAGAACCAGAGCAAGACAGTTCATCTCTTCCTGTTATGTAACACATAATGTCTAAGATAACAATGCTTAGGTTCATCTTTCTAATGTCCTCTTGCCTCTTTCAAACATGTGACCAAATGTTTTTTTAAATGTCATTTGAAGTCACTAAACATATATTTGGCTTTGTTGACAAAAAAGGTCAAAAATTCTCCCATTCTTACCCATACAATTAGTTTATCACAAGATGGACAAAATTTGATGTTTTTGTTTGGTTCAGTAAATAGATTTTATATTTTCTTCATAAGGCCTGCTTGAATTTATTTTCCTCTGTTGCCCTGGGGCAGTGAGACCTTGAATGGTTTTTGAGTTCTCACACTTCCCCACAGATGTAGAATTTAGCATTTAAGACAGGAGTTAAAATAAATACAGGATCATAATGCATGAAGTAGATCATGGTGCAAGAATGAAGCAGAAATGAATGAAAGAATTAGGAGGAAGTCGCCAACCCCACAGTTCGAAAGCAGGCCAAAAAAGTGCAAGTACTGCTCCGGCGGGAAGGTAAACGGCGTTTCCGTGTGCTGCTCTGGTTTCGGTGTTCCTTTGCGCCAGATGCTGACCACATGACCCGGAAAAAACTGTCTGCGGACAAACGCCTGCGCCCTCGGCCTGTAAAGCGAGATGAGCGCCGTAACCCCAGAGTCGTCTGACTGGACTTAACTGTCAGGGGTCCTTTACCTTTTACCTTTTAGAGGTGCTGGAAGACAGTATCTCCGCACATGGACAGCTAGGGAGTCTGTAGTGCCTGATGACAAAGGGGCGAAGGCTCTGGCTGCAGCCTCTCCCCAGACTTGTATATTGCTGATTGTTCCTGGTAGAGCTGTTTCAACTAGATATTCATGCTGCTAAGTTAGTCCTATTGGACCTAAAAATTCTGACTTAAGTCAAGTAGCCTGCTGGAGGAGGGATGCCAATTTGACATCAGTTTTTATTAGTGCTGTAACAAACCTTTGGGCTTTGCCAAGGAAGGCTGAGCTTAACCATCACCAAAAATAGCTTAGGTGGAGAATAGCTGGTTGCTTTTTGTCTGCTGCTGTATTAAATTGCTGGGTTGTTTTTGTGTTTTATTTTTAATCTCATATGCTACTTTGAGTCTTCCTGCGCTGAAAATAGTAGTAAAGTACTACTGTTTTATTTCTATGTTAGGTATTATTCCTCCTGTTTGTGTTTTTAAGCTGTCAGCTTATTTTATTTATATTTTTATACGTTGTTGAATGGATATTTTGGTATTTATTTATAAACATTATGATTCTACCTGATAGGGTTTTTTTAAAAATTGTTTTTCTTATCACTCATTTGATACATCGGAGACTACTCAGGGCACAATTTTGTTCAAAAGTGGCATACAAGGTGATGATGATGATGAAATGTGTGGTAAAAATAATATATAAAGTTAACCAAGTACCGTATTTTTTGCACCATAACACTCACTTTTTTCCTCCTAGAAAGTAAGGGGAAATGTCTGTGTGTGTTATGGAGGGAATGCCTACGGGTGGCATGCCTACGGATTTTCCTCCTCTAAAAACTACGTGCGTGTTATGGTCGGGTGCGTGTTATAGAGCGAAAAATACGGTATTTGTCTCAGAATGCTAATGTGGACCTGGAGACAACTAGCAGGCTCAAGAGAATATTTAAACATTCCTCTGTCTGCCATTTTTTTCCTGTACAAATGTTTCAATCCAATATTCATGTTACCATGGTAAATGCTGATTGGTGTTCATGTAGTTCTGTCCTGCTTTTAAATGGTTTTAATAACATTTTATTGATTTTTAGCTGTTTTAAATGCGTATTTTGTGGCCTAGAGGCAGGGTGAAAATGAAAATAAATAAAGCAGTTGTGCAGGTTTTTTTGCATCCCAGCCACAGCACTTTAATGAAGAATTGTGGAATAATTCATAGTCACTAGTTCTGTTAAAGTCTTAAATTATCATGCCAGTTAGTCTTATGCTGATCCTTGCCTTGTATATAAAAACTTTGTAATAAAGATGATTACACTCTTTTAATAAAGAATGTATTTTATCTTGAACAGTGGGAGCATATTTGTCATGTTTTTGTTGGTGTATTTAAACTGTAGGGTTTTTTGTTATAAAAAGAATAATATTTTCACCAGGTGTGATACTACGGACAAGCTAAAAACTCTTTTGCCAAGGCTGGAACAAGAATTAAAGGATCCAATGAAGTTTAAAGATTTTTATCAGTTTACCTTTAACTTTGCTAAGAACCCTGGACAAAAAGGTTTAGGTGAGTTATGTTGTGCGGTTTTTTTAAGTTGAAGATAAAAATCAATTAATGTTCTTTCTGTAATCAGTTCCCTTCCCCAAGTTTTCATCTTCAGCTGGAAAGTTCAGATGTACAGTTGTGGCTTCAATTTAAGTAGCATTATCTTTAGATTACAGTGGTACCTCTGGTTTCGTACTTAATTCGTTCCAGAGGTCCGTTCTTAACCTGAAGCACCACTTTAGCTAATGGGGCCTCCCGCTGCTGCCACACCGTCGGAGCACGATTTCTGTTCTCATCCTGAAGCAAAGTTCTTAACCCAAGGCATTATTTCTGGCTTAGCAGAGTCTGTAACTTGAAGCGTATGTAACCCGAGGTACCACTGTACAGTTTCGTTGCAACTACACTCTGCAAACAATTGCAGGGAAAGGTTGCCTGAGAATCTTTTGGGGACACTTTCAGGTTCGGTGCGATGCACATCTGTGCTGTCACGCACATATCAGACACACCTAAAATGGTCACTGCCAGCAATAGTAGTAGTAGTAAACTGCTATCTAAGAAACCTTTAAGTAAGGAAGTAAGCCTGCAAAAATAATGTTTGTTCTAATTAACACAAATGGAAGATGTGTACATTAAGACACTTTTGAACAATAAGACTAATGTGTTCATGACCACATTAGTTTATTGAAAAATGACATTATATGCCAAGAATCATCTTAGAACTGCAGTTGTTCATATGCTCCATTAGAGTAGCATATGAGGGTAATTTTTCAGAGATACAGGAATGTTTTAAAGGACGTTCGTACACAGTCATACCCCAAATTGATTGTAGCTATTGCACAATTCTCCAGAAAGTGTTATTCTGTTGTCATTGCTAATACAGATACAGTGGTCCCTCTGGTTGCTAATGGGATCTGTTCCAGAGTGTGATTTGGCGCTTGTGCGCATGCACGAAGCACGATTTAGCACTACTGCGAATGCTCGAGTGGTGAAACCTGAAAGTAACCCTGTCCGGTACTTCTGGGTCACCGCAAGAGCAACCTGAAAAAACGTAACATGAGGTATGACTGTACCTCATCTACACTTAGGAGGCTAGACTTGCTAACGTTGGCAACCTTTTTTCAAATTTTGCTAGGTGTGTGTTTCCATATGCAAATTGTTTTGGGAGGGGGAACACAGATTGGTGTGAGCAAGTTTATTTACTAGGTGTGCTCCTGAATGTGGATTATACTATTATTAATTAATTAATTAATTAATTAAATTTATATACCTCCCTATACCTGCAGGTCTACAGGGGAATGCAGAATCTTCAACAACTATTTTATGTTTAATGTTATCAGAACAATAGTGTAGCACATTTGAATAAGAAGTTAAATGTGGGTTGCAATAGTCTTTTCTAAATATGATTTATATGCTTTACTATGACATATATTTTACTTTTCTGTATTTCACCATTATCATGAGTACACATGAATGAAGATAGTCTGGTTCTAAGTTTTGTTTTAAATTTATCTGCCACACCAAAGGAATGTTAGTTTTATCTTTGCGGCTCAGACACAGTAGCTGTGAAGATCGTATACCGGAGGGCAAACATGATAATGTGTACTATCTTGAGAAGGAAATATTTGTGTTCATGCTCTGGGAACCAAAATTGTTGTTTTGTTGCTGATAATCCAGCCTTTTCTTGCAACCAAAACTGGGAATGGTCAAAGCTAGAATTAGTAATATAGACCTCAGAAGAAGCAATATGAGAAGCAAATACAGCACAGAATTAAATTCAGTTCTCATGTTGTCTTAGTGGGTGCTGGTATGAAGGGGAAAACAGGTTTAAATGGAGGGAGCCAAACTTACTTCATTAATGAGGTTTGGAAGTAGCCAAACTCCTGGCTATCTATGACCACACTGATCATTTGCATCAAAATGTCATTGACCTCTGATAAACCTAGTTGTAACAAAGCCCAAGATAAGGTTACAATCCTGTTTCTTAGTTCAATGGGAAATTTTTCTGAGTAAACATACATAAGATTGGTTTATAAGAATTATAAATGAAGAATTGTTGCCTTTGCATCTTACGTAAACTGAAACATCATTGATGTTCAAACAAGGTTATTCTCCTGGCCATGCACATTATTTTGGTATAATCACTCGGAGTCACAGGTTAAATCACATTTGGAAATTAGTACTGGATAATTATGTGTTTTGCTAAAAGTTAACAACTTGAAATCTTTCAACCTTTTTCTCTTCAATGAGTTGTATTGCCTTGTTCAAAATAGCCAGAGGTACCGTATTTTGTTCTTTCAAAACTTAAAGTGGTAAACAATGAATACCAAAAAATAGTATTTTTAAAAGCAAGTCTTCCATGTTTAGGACTAGCGCTACACACATACAAACACCGAGGCTTTACTGTAGAATCACCAAACGATATCTCCAAACCTATATTGGTATTTATTTATTTTTATCTTGGTTTTAAAAATTACTCATTCTATATTGGCTTAGAGCGCAACATCTTTCATATGATTATATATTGTATGTTATGCTTATGTATTTCAGATCTAGAAATGGCAATCGCATATTGGAATTTAGTTTTATCAGGGAGATTTAAATTTCTAGATCTTTGGAATAAATTTTTATTGGTAAGTACAATACTGGAAGTCCATAGAGGCATCTGAAGTCTTTACCTTTTCATATTAAGCATTTACAGTGCAACAAACTCAGAGCTCGGCCCTACTCTCCCCGATGGGGAAGGGGGTTCAGGATGGTGTGTTAGTGTCCTGGCAGAAAAGAATGCTGCTGGCGGGGGTTCTGTCGAGGTGAATATGTCAGCTTTCTCCAAGCAGGTGATAAGCTCCTTCTGGAGGTTGGCAGCAGAAAACCCTGATAAGTGTGAGAGAGGCATTAGTAGCTTTGGATGCACTTGATCCAAAGCCCCATGGATCCCCTAAGGGGCCTGATCCTTGGGCATGTCAGATCTGGCAAAGCAAAAAAGGGAGGATAAACATGCCCTCCCTTCCACCATCTCTGGCATGAGCAGTAGGGCGTTTGGGTGCAGCCGTGGATCTGCTGCTCCCAAGCCAGGTTTGGGATTGATCTGCTGACCTTATGACTTTTTACTCAGATGTTGTGCCCAGCTGAGATTTTACAAAATTTGTGACAAAATCTAAAAATAGTTTATACCAGCTTATTTTTCTTGTGTAGGAGCATCATAAAAGATCAATCCCCAAAGATACTTGGAATCTTCTTTTAGACTTTGGAAATATGATTGCAGATGATATGTCAAACTACGACGAAGAAGGTAACTGATGTAGATATTCAAAATTAAATGGAGTGGTGCTGAAGTAATACTGTCCATAAACATTCGCCCTGTGTGTCCACTAGGCGAAGTGTGTGTGTGTGTGTGTGTGTGTGTGTGTGTGTGTGTGTGCTGCAAAATAATGTTGACCCTAAAATGTAGCTGAAGCGTTTTGTAATTTGCACTTGGCTATTCAACTTGGCTTCCCTCTGGAGGATTTCATATGGATAAAATCTGAGTTGTGAACACGTGTGCAAAGATAAATGCATTGCTTTTTAAACATTCAAAGGTTTTGACTCAAAGCTGTTTAACTTTTTTTTTTATTTTTAGGAGCATGGCCAGTTCTAATAGACGATTTTGTGGAATATGCACGACCAGTAGTCACAGGAGGAAAACGTAAAGCTTCCTAACCATAGACTCTTCTCAGTGGACTTAATAAGTTTGCAGTCTGAACTGCATCAGGTAATGAAGACATTTTGGCCAATAACTGTGCGCACTGTCACTGGTTTCGATAGTCGTGGTGGGATGCCACTGACGAAACAGGAATCACTACTTCTGCTTCAAGAAAATGATGGCTGACTCATGGACACTGCAAGAAGAAATTCAGAAGATAGCCCAGGCTGTTTGTAGGATATTGGCTTCAATTATTGTACTGGTTGTATCATATAGGATGTAGATTTTGCATGATTTTATACTTTGGAGAAGTTTAACTAGAGGCCATTTTAGTAAAAGTTTTGACAGCACAGCATGCCATTCAGTTCATGAACACCAGCAGTTACATAATTACAACTGTATTATATTGTACTTAATATTAAAAAGCAGTATTTGTGGTATATAAATTAAATCCCTAAATAAAGTATGTGGTATGTGGTATTTTTATATGAAGTTAAAGCTGATGAAAGAATGCAGTGAAATGTTTATTGACACATCTCTTCAGCATGGTGCCATGATTCTAAATTTATGGAAAGGCCAAGCTGAACCATTTTTTAAAACAGATTTCCTCATTCCACACTGACCTTATGAGAATTTGTTTGCACTTGATCAATAATGAGGCAACCAAGTATCTGTATTGTGGCTATTGTTAATATTTTGAATGTAGAGGAAACATTCAAGAATCATTTGATATTTCATGATTGCCTATTGAATTTTCCAAGTATATTATGTATACGATCTGGCTCAAGACCATTTTAAGTTCCTCTGATATTAGTGGAAGCAAGACATACACATGCTTAATTCTCCCACTGAAATCAAAGTCACTTAAAAAGTGCTTAAGTTCATTTGATTATGTCGTTATATATGCAGCAGTCTGATACTGAGTGATTTCCAAATCGTGGCCAGGAACTCAAGGTGTATTGATTGTCAACTCATAGATTAAGGACTGAGAAATGCATTGCGCCTTGACCTAAAGTGGGTTCCACAAATGGTACCAGCATCATTTTATCTTTTTTAAACAGTATAGATGCAAAGGAAGACAGGACTGTTGTGCCTCCTATGTAGAAGGAGTGATTTCAGCAGACATATCTTTCTCAGCCTGCATGATTTCCCTTCTTAAATTTCCTCTTCTGTATGACAGTTGAAGTTGCAGGAGCCCATCTCTTCATTGTAACTTGTTATCCTAGAAAGAAATAGAGGAAGGTGAACATTTGCAATAAATAAAGTAAAGAAATTAAATTGGGTCCCATGTTGCATCTGATAAGGTTGAAAGCATGTAAAGTGGTGGATTTCACAAGCCTTCCTTTTGAGTTACAAAAGAGCCAATAGAGGGTAATGTCAAGCTATGTAGTACAAGGTGACCAATTTCACTTTTAGACTAGGTTAACATCATCAGCTGTGTTCTGCTAAGGTGAAACTTCAGTAAGAAAAATAGAAACTACAAACAACAGTAGTGAATTGAATGTTGCCTATCTTTCATTTCACCACTAGATGCCAGTATGACAGCTTTTAGATATCTCTTATTTTTCTAGCCAGGTGGTTAGGCTAGGAACTGTGAAAAAGCCAGGTACAGTATTCTCAAAAGGTCATTCAGCTACCTTAATGCATTTGCCCAGAAATGTATCTGGACATTAAATGTCTTCAGATGGGGTCTACAGCAGGCCTTCCTAATCTGTGGCTCTCTAGATGTTCCTGGACTAGAATTCTCATCATCCTTGAGTCTTGGCCATGCTGCCTGAGGCTGATAGCAGTTAAAAGTCCATATGGAGTGCCACAGATTAGCTATCTGTGATCTACAGCAAAAAAAAGACCCTAACAGGTTGCACTAGGTTTGAAACTGTCCTTGCAAGATCAGTGGGCTAGAAATGCTTTGTCTTTAAATGTTAAACCCTTGTTTTTTTCTAATAACCAGTTACATTCATCTACCGCTTCTTAATCTAAGTGTTAAACAGTTAAAATGTGATATTGGATACAGACATGTATTGCAAGTTAAACATGAAAATCTTAGCAGCATGTTGATAGTTTGTATTAGAATTTAACTTGCAGCTTAATGTATTTGAGCATGCAGATGGTTATCACAACCCTTACGTTTTCCTGTTCTTATATTTTGAGGATATATGTCCTTAATACAGTTTAGTATGATGGGCAATATTCGCAAAATTTAACATATCCCTGGTACATTGAGAATTCTAGAACTTCATGGGGATCCCAGAGTTGATCGAGGGACAAGATTTTAATTAATGGTGGCCAAATTCCTAAATATACGCTGCATAATTTTCTGCAACATCTAGTGTTCAGTTAACCTTAAAACTGCAATGAAGAGAATGATGATTGATAGAACTGTCTCCATTCATCAGAGCCAACAAAATACTTGTTATTGTGCACCAAAAATGATAATTAACAAGTCATAAAATGGGGGGTGGATTTATACGTTAAAGGCAGTAAGCACAAAACACAATATAACAATCTTTATTTTCAAATCACAGCAAACTTTTGAATCAGGTTATAATTTCCAGTACATGTAACAGGAACATAAGCTGGAATGAAAAAGGCTTGCTCAAGAACAAACAATGACTCCGAACTCAGGTGTTCAAAGCAAATCCATCTGATTTATCAGTAGTGTCAATTGGACTCTAGTATGTGCATGACAGTTGTGCAATTGAGTAACAGCAATCTTGATGGCAAAAGAGATATTACTACCTGATGAAATAAGTTCATTTAATTAGTAACACCAAAATTTGGTTTGAGTGCTAAATTCTCTGCAGAAAATGTATGAATGAAGATTACTGTAATCTCTGAAAATATGTTTTGGGACAATCTTACACAAATGTAACCCATGCTTTGTTAAAACTGCCAGGTTTTTTCTTCTAACCCTATGCACTTCAGGGAATTAAAACAGGAAGTGGTCAGTTGCCATAACTAATTCATATTTTTAAATATGGATCTTCCAAAATACCGATGGATCATCATCTTGTTTGGCTTGTAAAGCTGTTTTTGTACTACTATATTAGGAAATAATTTTATATCCTCAGAGGTGGAATGAAGAGAATATTAAAAGATGGCCTTTCCTTTTAGCAATGAGTAGCACCTTTTTGTTAGCTTGTGAGTTGCCTTACAGAACTACCCCTTTCCTTCACAGGCCTGTGAAATTTTGTGTCACATTTTATTTAAATCAAATTGTTCAAAGTTTACACTTCTGTATTTTCCCACAGTGGATAACATGTAAAAGTATTTTCCTACCTACATGCTCAAGTGTGAATCCTGCCAGAGATTTTATTTTTTTTTTAATGAGAGAGAACCTTGAATTATGCTGGAAATAGAAACCAAAGCTAAGCATCCTTTGGGAAACGCCTAGTTGCCCCAGAATAACCTAACTATGTGTGTACCTAATGTGATTCTCATGTAGGAGCACTAGGAAGGAAACACTGTTCAATTACTTCTGTATGGCTCAGTGTTGTTTCACTGCAATAAAACATTTATGAGTGTGCTGCAGGGCAGCAAACAAACTTAAAGCCAGCTCAGTTCATTGATGAATTGGCTTTCCATTTTCTTCTTTTTATTGATAGCTTCCTTCTCACCTTTATGGTCTTCTCCCTCTGGTGTCTATAATCGCTGTCCTTGTTTTGTGTTTTTCTCAGTTCCCCCCCAAAAGTAACTGAATACAGTACTACATAAGTCAAAGAAAAATATGCTCATTTGCACAGCTGTAAAAATAAACCTCCTGATTACAGCATGTGTTTTTCTAGGTGTAGAGTTACTTGAACTGGATAGCCAAAATATTTCTTGGCTTGCTTTGTCCAGGATTGTTAGGAGGGTTTTTGATTTTTGCTACTTGCATGGACTAGTGCATTGCACACTTTGGGAGCTTGCAGCTTAAAAATAAGTCAGAAAATTCTTGGACTAACAATTTCTATCCCTTCATTGGATGTCAGACAAGTGGTGGCATCTGCAAAGCCAGAAAAGGAAAGCCTTGCCTTATACAGACAGCTCTGTGCAATGACACAATGGCTCCGATATAAAGTGTTGCTTGACCTGAGCTTGGAAGGCAAAGGAACAAAGAAACAAGAAGTGACAGTTTTTGAGAACCGAAGAAGCACTGAAGTCCCCTTATGATGGATAAATTTAAGGCTGCTCTGTTGCTGGCAGGGGTAGGAGACGCTCTGGGCTATCGAAATTTCACGCGGGAAAATAATGCATTAGGTGCAAAGATTCAAGGGGAACTGAAAGAAATTGGAGGACTCGAGAACCTGGTCCTGTCATCTGACAAATGGCCAATCAGTGATAATACTCTTATGCACATGGCTACAGCTGAGGCTCTCGTCACAGGTAGGAAAAACTTCAGGTTGTATGCAAGCTGGGAGGGGAAGGCTAAACCTGGAGAACAGCATTTAATTATTGTGTTCTGTTACCTAAGCAGCGAGTTTGTGCAGAAATTCATGCTACCTTCAGTTATCAATGCATATGATGTCTTGGTTTTGCCATTTAACTAGCATGGTTGCTGAAAATGTAAATGGTACAAGGAGTCTTCCCTTCAAATACCACCTCAAGTGTGAGCTTGCTAGGTGGCCAACTATTTCTCATCTTTCTATTTCAATATGGAGAAGAGAATACTGGTCTACCTTATTACTGAGAATAATTGAGTCTCAATGTTCTCACACTATATATATATATATATATATATATATATATATGAATGAGAGAATGAATATGATTTCCATTCACAGTAAGAAAGTTACATATTCTCTTCGTTGGTTGCATAAAATTTATTGTTCAAAGGTATAAACTAAGAGAACACATTTTTCTTTCACTGGATGCATTGATATAAACTTGCCTTGAATGAAACATGGATGGGGAAAAGAAAACCTTAAGCCATTTTCCTTTATCAGAGTTGCCTATTCCTGACTGGTATATAGACAGCTGCCCATCATAGTAAGTATCAACTCCCTTTGCATAAAAAGCATCCAATATTGTCAAGTTATTGAATGCAACGGTATCTTACAACCCAATTTATGTGTTGTTTTTATGATACTTCCAAGATAACTGCTGAACAAAACATCTGTATCTTCACCGAAGACAAATGCTCTCCAAATGTGTTGCACTTCTCAGCGTGTTTTCTAGAATCGGGAAAGTCAATGAAATTTCTCTGACATTCCACTCTTATCTGACTGCTGCTGAGATGCTCTAAATTTAGCCACCAGAGGCCTGTTGAAGAGAATCTGGGATATTTCGTGTCTAGCTACTGGTTAGCCAATGATGTGAGCAGGAGCTAATACCCTAAAGATAATGGCAAGATGTCAACCTATCATGGAAAAGGATGACTAACATACTTCTGAATATAGTCAGTGATTAAATGCATGTCACATGTTTCCTGCTTCTTGACCTCTGTATGAGCATAAATGTTATCTGCAAGGCTTATCAAGCTGCTTTGCAACCATTTTTAGCTGTACAAAAGCAAGCTACATACATATCCCTCTGCCTATAGCGTATACAGCAGGGGAGCTGCTGTTTCAAAATCTCGTTTTTGAACTTCTGTCCGAATTCCATCAATTGCAATTGCAAGCACCAGTTGTTATAATACATGTGTGTTTTAGACATAGGAACATGATAAAATCAGTTTTTAGCCATTTAAGACAATACATGCTTTCCCATTTTGAAAAGCAAAATGCACCTTAACTTGCTCATCATGAGTTGAGATAGTACAAGCCCCCTTTTACACGTGTTCGATATGTGCATGACTGTCTGGAAGTGACCCAAAAACATCACAAAAAGGGGTGGGGTGGGGGCAGAACAGGGTTTTTGCAGGCTTTTCCAATGGTGTTTCAAATATACACAATTTAACGTAAGCACCTACCCCCCATAGCTGTCAACTTTTCCCTTTTCTTGTGAGGAATCCTATTCGGAATAAGGGAATTTCCCTTAAAGAAAGGAAAAGGTTAACAGCTATCCCCCCCCCCCCCGTAAATGGGGGTTGCCTGTATCACCATTTGTGTCTCTTGGACTGAACACTGAATGAAAGATAATTTGAAATCTAATAATGGCATCTAGTTTTGTCTTAAGTGTAAGGTATCTATCTAAACCCTTTCTTCCTTTGTCCTCTTGTAATATCTAAGTTGATTTACCATAACTTATCTTTTAGGGTTGTTGAAACCAGAACATAAAAATCTCAGGCTGGACAATAGAGTGGCTGTTTCTGCAGCTTCACAGTCCTAATGTTTTCTAGAGCAGGAAACAGCACTTTTCAGTTGCCTCCCTCCTTAAAGCAGCTATACAATATTATTTCCCTCCATATCCTTACCATTTTCCAAATGTGAAAAATCAATAGTGTCTAAACCATAAAGTTGAAAATATAGCTGCCATTGATCAATATCATCTCTTGGCCAAGATAGTATTATGGCTTTGTGGTGGGGGTAAGGTAAAAAAAGGGACGCGGGTGACGCTGTGGGTTAAACCACAGAGCCTAGGACTTGCCGATCAAAAGGTCGGCGGTTCGAATCCCCGTGACGGGGTGAGCTCCCATTGCTCAGTCCCTGCTCCTGCCAACCTAGCAGTTTGAAAGCACGTTAAAGTGCAAGTAGATAAATAGGTACCGTGCTCTGGCAGGAAGGTAAACGGCATTTCCGAGTGCTGCTCTGGTTTGCCAGAAGCGGCTTAGTCATGCTGGCCACATGACCTGGAAGCTGTACGCCAGCTCCCTCGGCCAATAAAGCGAGATGAGCGCCGCAACCCCAGAGTCAGTCACGACTGGACCTAATGGTCAGGGGTCCCTTTACCTTTAAGGTAAAAAAGTAAGCTGTATGCAAAGACCCTCCTAACCCCTGGATCACAGCAAGCTTTTAATATAAGCCAAGCTAGCTTCCTGGTGAGGTGATTGCCTGGGTGATGGGCCATTAAAGGAAACAAAGGAAAGAGGTGTATGTGAGATGGGAAATGGATGGTTAGTTAGAAGGAAAAGCAGAGTTGAGATGTGACTTAGAAGGAAAACAGCAAGCTGGGGAGAGAGTCAGATCAATGTTTAGTTTCTGTTTGAATTCAAGGCTGCAGCTATGGGAGAAACAAAACCCTCTAGGGTTGCTAATGCTGCAAACCCATCCATTGTAGGCTCAGGTTATATGCACATATAAATAAACTGTATAAAGGAACCACAGTCTGCACTGTGCCTCATTCCAAAAGGAAACAAACTCTGGGTTATCTCCTGGAGCCCCTAGAATCTCGCATCACTGAGAGATCGTGGTGGCGTGTAGACATGTGATCATCTGTTTCTCCTACATCAAGGCATATGGACCACTGGCATTCATGGCAGAGTGGCTGGGACCTATGATGCTATCAGAGCCATTGACCAGGTGGTGTGCATCAGGTGTATCTGTATTCATACTGCAGGATTCAGTGTGACCTACTGTAAATCAACAGCTGCAGTGGGCAGAAGGGCTGTATTGAGATGGGCTGCCTTGAAATTACAAATATAACAAGTTGCAGGAGGCCAAACAGGTCTGCATATTCCCCCATCATCTGTCTGAATCTCCAAGTGCCCTTTTGCAGCTGCTCATGCAAGCTCAAAAACTGGTGGCTGCCTCCTTATATTGGCAGTAGGTACACACACATGGTTGAAGCTGATAGCCATGCTCTGGGAACCTCTTGGAAGCTACCTCCAGCATTTCTGTATTTAGGCACATACATCGAGTTAACAGAAAAACAGAACTGGAAACTGTTAAGTCTGTGTACCCCTTCTTATTTTGGCTGTGTTTATACTACTGTTTGCTATGCACTTGGGACGCGGGTGGCGCTGTGGGTTAAACCACAGAGCCTAAGGCTTGCCGATCTGAAGGTCGGCAGTTCGAGGGTGAGCTCCCTTTGCTCGGTCCCTGCTCCTGCCAACCTAGCAGTTCGAAAGCAGGAAGTGCAAGTAGATAAATAGGTAGCGCTCCGGCTGGAAGGTAAACGGTGTTTCCTTGCGCTGCTCTGGTTCGCCAGAAGCGGCTTAGTTATGCTGGCCACATGACCTGGAAGTTGTACGCCAGCTCCCTTGGCCAATAAAGCGAGATGAGCGCCGCAACCCCAGAGTCGTCCGTGACTGGACCTAATGGTCAGGGGTCCCTTTACCTTTACTATGTACTCAGTGCATTTCCAGTGCTGGGCTTTTAACCTGTGGTCACATGATGTTATCAAAAATGTGCCCTATACTAAAAGTGAAAATGTGGACACAAAAGCTTTTTTCCCCCTCTTTTTTTTCAGAATCTAAAAAAAAACAAGACATTTCAAGTGACTGCCGAAAATTCTGCCCAGGCACCATTTTTGATGGGAAAATCCCGGCTATGTCTGGCAAATTTTAGAGCGCAGTAAAGTTGTTTCTCCCCCCTTCCCAGCCAGAATGTTTCACAGCACTTTGCCCCCAAGCTAGTCCCATCAGCCAGGCTCCATTGGATTTATTTCTGTTTGTGTACACATCCAGGAGTGTTGACCAGGTTGAGGATGTTTTTACCCTCTGCAAAGATGTTCACATCTTGACTAGAGATGAATTAGGAATGGCTTAACACACTTTTATTCATTGTTTTCTATAAATATCTCTCAGTTCTGTTGGAACGTTTAAAAATGGCTTTGCAGGTCGATTCCAGACTGGTGCTATTTTGGAGTGGGTTTTAAGCACATATGGACTAATTCAGGTTGTACCTTTATAGCTGATGAAGAGGTCTTGTGCAACAAACCCACTTCTTTAATAAGGAAAGTGACAGGGAAATGCTTTGGAACACACAGGACAGCACTTGCTTGGTGAAAGGTCATTTAACAGCCCTAGAAACACATGAAAGCTAATTAAATAACCAATGTCATCGTTATCTAGTCTCCCTGGAAATTCACCAGGATGAATATATTAAACTGCATCCCTGTTTTGGCCAGTCCATTTTCTACAAATTTTTTTTGGATACAGAGATCCCAAAAGTACCCCTGTTCATATGCAGAGTTTTTTCCACCATGGTATCCAGTTTATGGAGTAAGAACCCCAAAGAGTTACAGTTGTCCCCTCATTGCCTTGCAATAAAAGCTTCAGTGGTAATCCGTTCTGGAAGTCCGTTCCAAAACCAAAGCGTTTCAAAACCAAGGCGTGCTTTCCCACAGAAAATAATGCAAAATGGATTAATCCGTACCAGACTTTTAAAAACAACCCCTAAAACAGCAATTTAACATGAATTTTACTATCTAACAAGACCATTGATCCATAAAATGAAAGCAATAAACAATGTACTGCAGTCACACAATCAATCAGTAGCTGAACTGGGTTCCACACAGTCACAAAAACAAAACAAAAAAGAGCTGCAAAAACAAAACCGCAAAATAAATAGCAAAAACAGACAGACCTCAGCATAACACTCAAAACGGAAGTGTGGCACTCAAAACGGAAGCGTAACACTCAAAACAGAGCATGTTCGGCTTCCGAAAAAAAGTTTGCAAACCAGAACACTTAGTTCCGGGTTTGCAGTGTTTGGGTTCCAAGTTGTTTGAGTGCCAAGGTGTTTGAGAACCAAGGTACCACTGTTTTAAAGGTTAATTTTCCTCTGATTATAATTTTTGCTCTTCTGCTTTTGTTAAATTTTATTGTATTGTGTTTGATGGTATTATGTTAGCTACCCCTGCTTTATGTTGTTGTGTAAGCCACACAGAGTGGGCATTTTGCCTAGAAAGGTGGGGTGTAAATGTATATGCCCCAGCTCCAGCTTTTCTCTCACCTGACACCTCTAAGTAAACATGCATAGAATTGCACTATACATTATTTAACCTCCTAATTGTGTTTATGATGGGCAGCCTGCCCCCCAGCTGGAACTCACCACAACTCAGTTCCGGCACTTCTCAGGTGCCATTGCCATTATAAGAGAACAAGGGAGGTGTTCGTGGTGAGTTCCAGCACCTAGTTTTTCTAGAAAAAGAGCACTGATAACAGAGTAGTTTAAGGGTGTTAAGGTGTCACTGATCCATCTTTAGCAACCTTGAGAAATGAAAAAGCAGCAGCAGGAGTGATTTCCTTTTCTCCTTTTGAACATTCCCTGCTGCTTCATCTGACTATATAACACTTTTCTTCCCTTGAACAGATTACTGGTGTTTAGAAGACCTATATCGGGAACTTGTAAAACGTTATGTGGATGCTATTGACAAACTTCCTGGGAGACGGTCAGATCCTGCTACTATCGAAGGCTGCTCCCAACTGAAGCCAGACAACTATCTCCTGGCTTGGCACACACCATTTAATGAGAAAGGTAAGGTGGTGGTTTTTCTGAGTTGAAACTTATCCTACATCATTGTACTTTAAAGTAACCTACAGTGGATTGGTAAGGAATAATAAAAGTCAGGGCCAGCTCAAGACATTTTGCTGCCTGAGGCAAAGGACAAGGTGGCACCCCCCCCCAACCAAATGCATACACAGAAGCCGATCTGACTGGTAGAATCATAGAATTGTAGAGTTGGAAGGGACCCCAAGGGTCATCTAGTCCAACCCCCTGCAATGCTGGAATCCCAGATAAAGCATCTATGACAGATGGCCATCCAACCTCTACTTAAAAATCCTACTCCAGTACAGTGGTACCTCGGGTTAAGTAGTTAATTCGTTCCGGAGGTATGTTCTTAACCTGAAGCACCACTTTAGCTAATGGGGCCTCCCTCTGCTGCCGCGCCGCCGGAGCACGATTTCTGTTCTCATCCTGAAGCAAAGTTTTTAACCCGAGGTAATATTTCTGGGTTAGCGGAGTCTGTAACCTGAAGCGTATGTAACCTGAAACATATGTAACCCGAGGTACCACTGTACTACACTTGAGGGCAGCAGGCTAGGAGTGCCACTGAATTCAGTGGGTTTACTTCTAAGTGTAGGATTGCACTATTAGGCTGCGAGTTCATGGACACTAACCTGATAGGAAGCCCCATTGCACAAAGGAGGGCTTACTTCTGAGTAAACATGAATGTGATTGCATTATTTTTGCAATCTGAAGAGTTTCCCATTTTGCTGCTATCTCAGCACTAACTGATTTAAATCAGTGTTCATTACGTTGTTGTTTTTTTACATAGCCCCAAAGAAGTACTGTTGGTTCTGGAGGCAACCACAGCTTCTTACATAGAAAGCTGCCTTATACTTAAGTCACATTATAGGTCCATCTGGCTCAGTGTTATCTACAGTTGATGAACAGTGACTCTCTTGGATTTAAGACAGGATTGTCTCCCATCCCTTCCTGCAGATGCTGGGGACTGGACCTGGAACCTTCTGCATTGCAAAACAGATATTCTACGATCCTCCCCCTACATTCTCATTTAATCTACTTCTGACTATAATGCCTCACTCAGTAATGAAGTATATAATTATTTTGATTCTTTATATGCTTTATAAGTTGCCTATAGTTACACGTGTTGATGCGTAAGGGCAGGTTTCTTCCTTGTATGGGCACTATGACCATGTGGGGAAAGACTGTACTCATTGTATAGTTTTTCAGCAATTCCATATTTGCCTGGGATGCGAAAGGCAAGCCGCCAGGAATTCCTTTTGTAGGGCACTGCGTCCTTTTGTAAGTTATCTCTGTCCAGTTTAAATGTCTATTTAAAGAGTCTTTGTGCTTGGCACGATGCCTTCTGGTCCAGATTTTTTTGTTCTGGAATTTGTGTTTCTTTTCAGGAATACAATCTGTCGTGGATCCTTTTAGGGGCCTGCACTAACCTGGACATTTTGTCCATGTAAAGCAAGTGTCAGCAAACTTTTTCAGCAGGGGGCTGGTCCACTGTCCCTCAGACCTTGTGAGGGGCCAGACTATATTGGGGGGGAATGAACGAATTCCTATGCCCCACAAATAACCCAGAGATGCATTTTAAATAAAAGGACACACTCTACTCATGTAAAAACATGCTGGATTCCTGGACCATCTGCAGGCCGGATTGAGAAGGTGATTGGGCCGCATCCGGCCCCCGAGCCTTAGTCTGCCTGCCCATGATGTAAAGTAATCTATTTAAACCAAATTGCCCGGGGAGCAAAACAAGGCATATGTGATGCCTCTCAGAGTATGGGCCGAGACACAACTTCACTGTGGTAGTTATTGTATTATTTAGGCTTCAAATGCAAGTACTGTTTTTGGGGGTACAGGGTGTGGGTGGGTGTGGGGGATTCCCTGGTCCTGAATGGGGTAACTGTGCCCATGAAGGACCAGGTGCGCAGCCTGGGAGTCATTTTGGACTCACAGCTGTCCATGGAGGCGCAGGTTAATTCTGTGTCCAGGGCAGCTGTCTACCAGCTCCACCTGGTACGCAGGCTAAGACCCTACCGCCCGCGGACTGTCTTGCCAGAGTGGTGCATGCTCTAGTTATCTCCCGCTTGGACTACTGCAATGCACTCTACGTGGGGATACCTTTGAAGGTGACACGGAAACTGCAATTAATCCAGAATGCGGCAGCTAGACTGGTGACTGGGAGTAGCCACCGGGACCACATAACACCGGTCCTGAGAGATCTGCATTGGCTCCCAGTACGTTTCCGAGCACAATTCAAAGTGTTGGTGCTGACCTTTAAAGCCCTAAACGGCCTCGGTCCTGTATACCTGAAGGACCGTCTCCACCCCCATCATTCAGCCCGGACACTGAGATCCAGCGCCGAGGGCCTTCTGGCGGTTCCCTCATTGTGAGAAGTGAGGTTACAGGGAACCAGACAGAGGGCCTTCTCGGTAGTGGTGCCCACCCTATGGAACACCCTCCCTTCAGATGTGAAGGAAATAAGCAGCTATCCTATCTTTAAAAGACATCTTAAGGCAGCCATGTTCAGGGAAGTTTTTAATATTTAACACTGTACTGTTTTTAACACTTGATTGGCAGCTGCCCAGAGTGGCTGGGGAGACTCAGCCAGATTGGCGGGGTATAAATAATAAATTATTATTATTATTATTATTATTATTATTATTATTATTTGCATTCTGCAGAGAGATCACTTTCCAGTCTTTAGTACTAACCATTTAGAAGAGGCATTGTACGTCTTCTTCACTGACTGCACATGGCCTCACAAGGAAAGTGCAGATTCCAGGGCCAGCACTGTGTTGATGTGACACTATATCACTGGAATATAGAACCACTCAACACCAGCATCATATATTGATGCAACTTCATGGCATAAACATTGTAATGCAATACGATGATTATTTTTGTCTCTCTGCAATCAACCTCGTTTGACAGTGCTGCTGCCTCTCTCCCCACTATGTCCTTCTCATGGCAATTGCTGGAAGAGAAAAGAAAAATACCTGGCAGTTTTAGCTCACTTTCCCCCCTCTGGCCCCGTTCCATGAATGAATAGTAGTGTGGTAGTGAAGCAGTTACAAGCACACTGCTCTCATTCATGCATAGATTGAATAGAAACCTCAGAAAGTGTTTTGAGAAGGTATGTGTATCTCTCAAAGCAAAATCACAATAGCTGTTTGAGATTCCATGTAGGATCTTTGGTATATAACGTGATATATATGTAACAACTAATAATATATATAACAACTAGTAATATATAATAATATATATAACAACTAAACCCATATAAGCCAGACTTTAGGAATGGTGCCGCAAAGGTGGCTGTCTTCTGAATTGCTTCCTTAAATGATGTATATGAAGACATGTGAAGTGAGAAATGGCTATATTCATAGCCACTAGAAGGCTAGCAGACATTTGGTTGGTAATTTCTGTTTCTATAAAGCATGGACTACGGGAGACTTGGGTTTAGAGGCTTTGTCCCTTAAAAAGTTAGCCTCTGCCCCCCACTCTCTTTCCAGCTTCATGTCATACTACCACATATATAAATGGGTGGGGGCAACCAATTCAACAGCCGGACACCTTTTGTGTAGCCCCAGGCTTAAATACGATACGATATGATATGATAATAAAACAAAACAAGCTAAACATATAGAAAAGACTATTGTTAAAATGTAATTAAAGGTTACATTGGCTAGGGGATATTATAACAACAACAACAACAATAACAACAACAACAAGAAGCTTTTTACCTAGTCCCTGCCTATCCCTTGTGAGGTGACAACAGACTATGAGGCTCTAACAGCTTAATCTTATTCATAGCTTAACATGCACCAAGCCATTCAGTCGGGTGTGAAGCATTAAACTAATAAGCAAATACCAGGACTAAGTTCCACTACTAGGGTTGAAGCACGTTCCTGTGCCTGACAAGCTGGACACAGCACAGTTGGCATCCCAAACTCCTAAAAACAGCTGGCACCCACGGTTTCTATGGAGAAAAAGGCCTCATAGGCCTAGTGCTGAATTTTGAAAAGGGTCAGGGTTTCAGGTTATCCTGGCAACCTTATTCTCCGGCCTGGAAACCTTGTCTCTGTATCTCTGGTATGGAAATGAACTCTGCTACTTGTTTTCTTTATGTATAACAATGAGTGGCTATTTACCCCTGTATGAACTTAGGTTGATGACACTTGAGTTGTCATCAGAGGCCTTGCTTCAGACGCCTGCCCTTTTGAGATACTGAGAGTGGTGATGGGAGACAGTCAGGGCCTCTTCTGTCATGGTCCTGGGTCTTTGGAAAATCCTCCTCAAAGAGGGCTGCTTGGCACTGACAGTGCTTTCCTCTAGACAGCTAATTATTTTATTGTTATTTATTCTTACCACTGCTTACAATGCTGCTGTTACAATTTTTTTAAATGTTTTGCTTATCTTGCGACTTTATATGATGGGAGCTATATTATGTTAAGAGGTGGCCTACATGAGTATTTGGATTTTGGGGGTTTTTTTGTATGGTGTTGCTTATTGCTGATGCTTTATATTGTTGTTGTTTAATCTGCTGTTTATTAATTGATGTTTTTTGATTGGGGACTCAGCTATATGGCTGCAAATGTAATGTTTTAAGCGCATTATACAAATGTGACACTAGATGGCTCTAGTGAGCTAATGGCAAATTCCACATATATTTTTAAAATATATGTGTGTAGATTCAGCCTGGCTTTTATGTCTTTATTATTGTTTTAACTTATATTTCCACATTCCTGCCCTTTAGACACCTTCAAGGTGGCTTGCAAAAGTTCATCTAACAATATCAAGATAAAACTCACTTCAATTAATGTAATAATAATAATAAGAAGAAGAAGAAGTCCGAGTAGCAATACAGCTGTATAATGGAGGGGTGTGATTGCCTTCCCTGCTGCGGCCTAAGCAATGGACATTGGTGCTTGGGGAGAGGGAACTCGCTGCTAGGAGCTGTTTCTAGGCTTGGTGTAAAAGTTGTTGCTTTCCTTCCCTCTGAGACCCCAAATCAGCAACCTCCAGCTTTTATAATTCTTTCAAAATACAAGTATTGTAAGTTACCTCAGTGGGGAAAAATGGGATATAAGCATAAATTCACTCAAAATATATTACATATATAACAATCCAGCGAAAGTGAATGTTTTCTTGAATTGATTTCATTAGGAAATTCAGCAAGAGAGAACACTGAACATGTCTACTGAGAAGCAAGTCCCACCGAGTTTGGTGGGACTTACTCCCAAATAAGTGGGGTACAGAAATGTATAGTCACACCCAGCCTATGCAGAGCAGGGTGGGGGCAGCTAGGTACATTTGCCCTGGGCCTTGGAGGGCTTGGCTGGCCGGGGGGCAGGGTGGTTTGGCCTGCCAAGGGACCGGCTGCTTTTTTGTTTGAGTTAATAATAATAATAATAATTTATTATTTATACCCCACCCATCTGGCTGAATTTCCCCAGCCACTCTGGGTTGCTCCCAATCAAATGTTAAAAACAGTACAGCATTAAATATTAAAAACTTCCCTGAACAGGGCTGCCTTCAGATGTCTTTTAACGATAGGATAGCTGCTTATTTCCTTCATATCTGAGGTGAGGGTGTTCCACAGGGTGGGCGCCACCACCGAGAAGGCCCTCTGTCTGGTTCATTACAACCTCACTTCTCGTAATGAGGGAACCACCAGAAGGCCCTTGGCGCTGGACCTCAGTGTCCGGGCTGAACGATGGGGGTGGAGACGCTCCTTCAGGTATACAGGACCGAGGCCATTTAGGGCTTTAAAGTTCAGCACCAACACTTTGAATTGTGCTTGGAAACATACTGGGAGTTTATAACTTTATTCTAAGACTCCCAACTAGGGCCTCAGACAAGCTCTGCACGGGCCCGGTCACACCCTTAGCTCTCATGTTAACATCAACAGGACTTTAAAGGTGTTTCATTTTGGATTACCACACCCTATATACGTATGTATACTGAATTATAATTACTATCTTCCTCCCAGCTTAGCGATGAGCCACCTGTTGCCCCTGGGCCGTGCAGCGCTTCTCTCAGGTTCAGGGTGGTTGGGAGGTATGGGGCATTCTTGACATGACAGTTTAAGTCTGGCGTGCCCCTGGTGGAGGGGCCCTGGTCAGCTTAGCCCCGTGGGGTCTAGGGCAAGTGTACCTGTCTTCCCCCATCCCTCTTCATGGGCCTGCCTCCCTCCTTCAGAGTTCTCGGACTCTGACTATCAACTTCCCAGCAGCCTTCTGGCTCCCACACCACTTCAAAATTCACTAACATCATCAGCTACAATCAAACGTGATTCAAATTATCGTTCATGACTCGTTTGCCTTTTTGTTGCTGTTGACAATAGGTTCAGGATTTGGAGCAGCTACAAAGGCCATGTGCTTAGGGATGAAATACTGGAAGCCTGACAGGCTGGAAACTCTCATTGAAGTGAGCATTGAAGTTGGACGAATGACTCATAACCATCCTACAGGTAATGTCTATGGAAATCAACCTGTTTTGGTTAGGATGTACTGACTCTGGGTTGCCCTGCCCCTTGCAAGACTGGCACTCCTGCCAAAGCTCTGGTTGATCTGTGTGTGCGGCTTGAGGTCTGTTAACAGCATTTGAAGGCAATTGAAAAAAATGCAAGTAGCACAGAACGCAGTTGCCAGGTTGTTGACAGAGACGGGGCAATCTCAACATAAAACACCAGTCATGGTGAGCTCCCGTTGCTCTGTCCCAGTTCCTGCCAACCTAGCAGTTCAAAAGCATGCCAGTGCAAGTAGATAAATAGGTACCACTGCGGCAGGAAGGTAAACGGTGTTTCCGTCCGCTCTGGCACTAGTCACGGTGTCCCATTGTGCCAGTAGCATTTTAGTCATGCTGGCCACATGTCTTGGAAAGCTGTGTGTGAAGAAATACCAGCTCCCTCGGTGAGATGTGCGAGATGTGCCACAACCCCATAGTTGCATTTGACTGGACTCAGCCAGCCAGGGGTCCTTTACCTTTTATATTTTTACCTTACCTGCACTAATTGCCAATTTGTTTCCAAGTCAAATTCAAAGTACTGGTTTTGATTTTTCAAAGTATTGCATGGCTTGGGAGCTCAGTACCTCGAGGACGACCTTTCTCCATATGAATCTACCTCGATTTGAAGAAGGGAATCTCTGTATGTTCCCTGCAAAGATGTTCAGAGGGTGGCAATAGGAAAACAGATGTTTTCTGTGGTAGTCCTATTCTTATGGGACACTCTCCTCTTGGAAGCTTGTCTGCTGCTAACATTGTCATCTTTTCAGCACCAGGAGAAGATGTATTTATTTTTCTGGCATTTACCCAACAATAACAGTCTGGCTTTTAGCAGCTATTTCTTTTGGGACCATTCTTGGATGGTATGGTTGCTTGTAAGTGATTATTGTAGGAGAACACATTTAGTATGTTGCATTGTTTTATATGGACATGTCTCTTATAGATTTTTTTCTTTTGCAAGTTGCTTCAAGACTTCTTTGATGGTGGGAAACAACACATAAATTCAATAAACTAAATTGTATTCAATAAACTACACTTACCCTGTGTTCTCCTCATAATGCAGGGGTGGAGAGACACTTGCAGGGGAAAGCTGGTGGGTGGGGAGAGGTGCTTAACCCTTCTCTGCCCTTCAGTTTCCCCTTGCAAATGGCCCTGTGTAGTTTTTAATAGTTCCCTGTCCTCATCTGGGCTCCTAAACTGGAAGGAAGCCCAGTCAAGGGGGTGGGGGTGGGTGGATTGCAGTACCATTTGGACAGAGGAAACCTAATATAGTGGTTCAAGTATGAAACAGGAAAGAAATGCGTGTACACACACAACAAATTTAACATGTTCACCTTGAAGCTCCTATTGTTTCAGTGGGCATAACTCTCAAATTAGCATACATAGGCCTGTAGCAAACTTAAGGTGCTTTTTGCTCAGGGCAGTTGTGGCTGGAGCTTTGCCTGCATAAGTGCTTGGGGGCTCTTTCTTGCAAGGATTCTGCAGTGTGCCATATCACAATTGCAATATGTCAGATTCAAGTTCTGCACTAAAAGCACACACACCCCAACTGCAATTCTTGATGCATGAAGATAGGAATAGGGGTGTGAGCACTGGAGGAAAAAAGGGGGAGGAGGAAAGACAATAAAAGCGCTAATAGGATGGCTGGACCAATAGGAAGAAGAAGGAGCAGGTTGGAGAACCACTGGCAGTAAAGACAAACCTCAGCTTGACTATATCTCCTACTTCTGAGATCTGGGGGGGATGAGGAAATGTTGTTTCTCCCAGCCAGCCAGCCACACTCATTTATGACTCTTCCTCTTTCTCTATCCACTAGCCTGGTAAGTGGAACAGCAGTGGTCTGCAATCTGAGAGCCATTGCTTGGGGCACACATCTGTTCTGCAGCTTCACCTGCCATCAGTCTGGGGGGGGGGAACAATGCAATATGCCCACCATCAGAATTGCAAAATTACTGTAGGTCAGTAGAAGCAATAACCAGAAACAGTTGCATTCTGAGACCAGGTTAGGCTGTAGTCCAGTCTGACATGAAAACAGTGACACCGTGCAAAACCACTGGTTAATCAGAGCAAGAAACTTTTATGGTTAAACTTCTGATCAATCTGTTTTAGGGCTGTTCATACAGAGTTCAACATGCAACATATTATGAATTCCTTTTAATTTTCAGCAGTTCGTTTTCATGATTTACATTTTCGGTAGCTCTAAGGGCCACAAAAGCAGTTGTTTTAAACCTATGCACCATTCTAATGTTATCCTCATTAAGATCAGTTGGACATGTAAAAGAAGTCATCACCCTGGAATGTTAATCTCAGCCAACAATCATCACATATCAGATGGCTCCCTCCTAAGTAGAGACACAAGTTGTAAGTCATACGTATTTGCTGAAGTATTCCATTATGCCAGTTCTCCCCAATCTTGTTTCATTACTTTAAATGATAAATGCTCACACAATCTTGCTTGTTTTCTAGGTTTTAAAATGGCAAAATAAAGTTGCAGACTATGTGACTTTTAAGTGTTTGGCACACTACATGAAGGATCTGTATTGAATGCTAAGGATGACAGGGATTACTTGGATTCAGTAAATCTATCAGAATTGTCACCTTATTTATTTTTTTAAACTCATGCGCTTTTATTGGCAGTCTAGCTCTCAGGAATAGAGTAGATGAAGCATCTCCTCCAGTGGAGATTAAATGGTGGAAAAAAGGCTCACATGGTTTCTGTGTTATAAAGGCACAGTATCTCAACACGATACATCACTAAAATAACAGGCACATTGTAATTAACACAACAGCCAAATCGCTCATTCTTTGGAGGACATCAATGCCAGAATCAAAAAGGAAAAGTAATTGTCCGAAGCAGTGCCACCAACACTTGACCAGCATTTCATAGGGGAAACCTCTAACTAAAAATCCCCATTTAAAATAAGCAAATAGAAAAAGAACCTACCCAAGTGAGGCTGGCAGAAACCTCCACACATACCCTCTGTAAAAGAATCAGGCAGAGGGCCTTCTCAGTAGTGGCACCCTCTCTGGAACGCCTCTCTTTGGTCAGGGGTTGAAAGTAGTGATGAAGGCTGCAATCCTAACTCCACTTGACCTAAGAATAAACCCTTCTGGGTTCAACAGGACTTCTGAGTAGGCATTGCACCAGTCAGTTATATACACATACAGTAATGCTATTTGAAGTTCAATACCTGTTTTATAGGGAACAAAAAAATATTCCCGAAGAAAGGCATATAGCTTGAAATGTGTGCATGTTGTCTTTCTTTGAGCTTAATAAACGTAGTTTCTTATGCATCTGTACGCTGATTTCTCCTCCTTTTTGGTGCTACTTGGTGCCATCGTCATCACCATTTTTCTATGCTCCTTTCAGGGTTTTTAGGATCACTGTGCACAGCTCTGTTTGTTTCATATGCAATACAAGGAAAGCCACTGGTGCAGTGGGGAAGAGAAATGATGAAGGTTGTCCCAATGGCTGAAGAATACTGCAAGAAGACAATTCGGCACATGGCAGGTAACACTGCACAATATGCAATTGCAAATTCACACGTAAGGTGCATAATTGAAGTGTTTATGCTCTGGTAGCTTAATTTCCCTAACTGCCATTTCAGGTGTCTGAACTCAGAAGGTTTTATCATGAGCCTAGAGAAAGAGAGATGCTACTTGTCAAATGAGCGGATAGGGACAAGGACGTTACTGCCCCTGTGGCTTCCTTTTTAATCTCCATCTTACCCAAAAGGGTTCTTAATGAATCACCCCTGTAGGGAATAGACAGGGTGAAGAAGAACAATCAAGTACCTTCTGATCCTCAACAGCCTCACTCCTGTCCCTTTTAAATGTATCCTAGTGTTTTGAAATGTTTTAACTCATAATGCCAGTAAAGGTGTTTGTGTTTGTCAATTTGCTACCTGTCCCTCTTCTCTGAATCCTTGCTCTAGGAATATACCTATATGCACAATTTTTAAAAACGAAACCCATATTTGGATAGTGATGCAGGCGACTACTGACAAATAATAGGCCCTGTGTTCTTTCTCAGAAGTTCTCTGGCTTTTAGCTAAACTTCTTCTTCTTCTTCTTCTTCTTCTTCTTCTCCTCCTCCTCCTCCTCCTCCTCCTCCTCCTCCTCCTCCTCTTCTTCTTCTTCTTCTTCTTCTTCTTCTTCTCCTCCTCCTCCTCCTCCTCCTCCTCCTCCTCCTCCTCCTCCTTCTTCTTCTTCTTCTTCTTCTCCTCCTCCTCCTCCTCCTCCTCCTCCTCCTCCTCCTGACTAGACCAGGTGCAGGATTAAGTTGTATAGGTCTGGTCTGCTTTTGACAGAAGGATGCTGTCACTCTTCTTGCACGATTCCAACCCTGAGTAAAATATGCAAGACTCCTAAAGCATGCATCTGTCATTATGGAGTGGAGTGAAGTGCAATGCTATTTTAGAAATAAATAAAGGGGACGACATTTTAAAAAGCCTGCCTGAAACAAATGTGAGCCCCTTTTCTCAAGGGATCTCTCCTTTTGAATTATTCATTCAATTTCTTTTGTTTTTGTTTTCTTTAAAAAAAGCACATTTGTTTAATGTTTCCTGTTCTGCATATTCTCACTCTGTAGTTCTCAGAGGCAACTTTACTGCTAGGTAGCCACAAGTGATCACCTGTGGTAGCACTTAGTACAGACAGATGTTTGCTATATGCTGCAGAAGATGATGCCTAGAACTTCTTTGACAAAAGTCAGCCTTCTGCTCAGGGACAGCATAGTGCAAAGGGTTTCAGGGCTGTAAAGAAGAAAGGAAGGGGAATGAAGCAAGGGAAAGATGGGGAGGAAAACCATATGTCTAAGGCCATAGGTAAATAACAAGAGGCTAGTAAGAAGCATCTCTCAAGTGCCTTTGGGGGGAATCCCAAAAGCAGAAAGCTGAGCAATGTGACTGTGAGGGAACAGGTGTTGGGAGGGAAGATCCTGACTGAGCAAATAGTCAGGTAGGTGGATGAAAATGACTGGCAGGTCAAGGATTTCCAGGATCAGCTGTGATACAGAATGTGCGACATCAGAGTTTCACCTACTTAAAAGGCCTAAGGTATCCCTGGCTCCCTCCGGATTGCAACAAGAGATAAAGTAACTTTTCAGTCAGCAGAGATCAGTAAGCTATTTGCAGGTAATAAAATTGTATTTTTGTTCCTGTCTTCAAAGTGCAAGTGGTACACATACTGAGAAAATGAGCATAGCCTGCCTTTCTCAAACTGAAGCAACTTCACAAATGACTTTTTCATAATCAGCAGCAATCTGGTGTTTAGAAAAAAAAAAGTTTTCCTCCAGACCAGCCTTTCTCAACCTTGAGTCTCCAGATGTTTTGGGACTACAGCTCCCAGCTTCCCTGTCCACTGGTCCTACTAGCTTAAGGATGATGGGAGTTGTATTCCAACAACATATGAGGACCAAAGGTTGAGAACAGCTGCTCTAGACTCAGTATATAAACTGTGCTGCAAATGTTTGTTTTGCTACAGATACAGTGATTCAGGAAGGTATGCTGAATATTGGTGGCGGAAACAAAGCTACAGCAATGGATGCTGCAGAAGTGGCAGGGATGTTGCTTCCTGTAGGAAAATGTTTCATGTGAAGCACCACCAGTTTACAAAGTGCACCCTCTCTACTTTTAAGCATCTTTTGGGTGCATACTCGGAAAAAGCTGCACAAATGGGTAGAGATGCCCATCTTAGTTTATTTGCAGAGGCTGCCTTCTGAAGATCATACAGAAAAAGAAAAAAAAAGGTGTTACTGCCAGCTGCCTTATCAGGTAGCATACAGCCTGCACTCAAAATAGCTCCTGTTGAGACTTGGGAGGGCTTCTTATGCTTTTTCTCAGTATTCAGGACCCAGTAGTAATTGCTGAATGGACTACAGTAAAAGTTTGTTTGTAGGTTTAATAGACTCTGTGATCTTCATTCTGGTTTTCCAAAATGTGTGTCTGGTGGCCCTATTTATTTGTATTTAAATCTATTGTATTAAAATCTATCCCCCCCTTTTTTTTACATTGTGAAGATAAGCTAATTAGTATTGTTGAGAGGCTAAGAATAGTTGGACAGGTTTTATTTAATTTTCTTCATGAGAGTTCTGTAAATTGGATTTTGTCATTCATGATGTTGCACTGAAAGAACCTATTCAAGATTAAATGTACCATAATTAATTTGTTTTTCATTCAGAATATCAGGAGCATTGGTTTTACTATGAAGCGAAATGGCAATTTTACTTGGAGGAGAGAGAAATCAATGAAGACAACCAGAATAAACCCAACTTTCCTGACAATTATGATGCTGAGGAAAGAGAAAAGGTAAACTCTTCAACCAAAAATTCTGAAAGTATTGGGGACAAATATGTACTGATACTTTTCCATCTGAAAGTGGGTCCTATTTTCTTTAATTTAGAAACAATTGCAACCAAGTACCATAAAATGGTTTACTGAATGACTCAAGCCTATGGGATAAATATTAGATTGGTGCTAGGTTTAGTGTAGGGGTGGACTTCTATATATGATTGCAGTCCAATTCCCATCAGCCCCATTATAGACATTGGCCAGGGATGATGGAAGTCGGGATCCAGCAGCTCTTGAAGTTGCTGGATCAACTTCATATTCCATGTGAGATGGGGAATAGGAGATCCAAGGTCACACCATTGCAGCTGGAGGTGAAGGGAAGAGCCAGCAGTGTAGCTTAATGCTGTCAAAATATTGGGTTCCAGATGTGGCAGCTAATGTGCAGATGGTCTAGAACGACACACATTGCAGTTCAAAGCAGGAAAAAGATCAGGTTACAGAGGTAGAATGTGGGAAATGGTGGAAAGCAGACATTCTGGCAGTCTCCTCAACAGAAAAACAGTATGCTTAGATTGGGGAGCAGAATCTAACAAAGCTGAGGTTTTATAGGGTCAGATGGAACTGAATTAGCTGTCCAGGTCACCAAGCAGATGCTGAGGTTGGGTAGCAAGGACTGTCAACGTGCCTCTAGCAATCTAATTCTGCCTACCACTCTTTCAGCAGACATGCTAAGTTGGTGGCACAAGAGGTAAGATGTCTATGTCTGCTTGCTGGTGGCTCCAATTATATATCCCAGGCACTCTATGAAAGCTGCAGTTTCTTCAGACCTGTGCGCTGCTGTGCTCTCTTTATTTTCTTAACTGAGATCTGATTCAAATGCTATGACTATCGTACTCCTGCATGACAATGACTCCACGGGGTGCCTCTGACATTTGAAACCCCCTCACCACCTGTCTCATCTGGGTTGCATAGATAGTCTTCATTACAATGCCAGTATTCTTTAATGCATTATCCCAGTGTACGAAGATTATCCACAAGATCAGGTGACCTACCTTGTGAAATGGCTCTCTTGTCACTCATGCAAGCCCTTTCCTCACCAGTATTCCATACAAAGTTACAATATGCACAATCCATTCTGTTACTTGGAGACTTGCCCCAAACAGATTGCACCCAAGTAAAAGGCAACAGCACTTAAATAGGATGCAAATTTTGCCAAGAACATTATGGTAGTATCTACTTACATTTCAGCATTTCACGAAGTTGCAGTACAGCAGAAGCTGCTGTTAGAAAAACTATTACTAAGAATTCCAGTATCATCACTGGATGTAGATGTGACAATTGCTTAGCGGTCAGGATGTTTGTTTACTTGGGGCACCACTTATAGTACATTAAGATCTTCTATATGGCCTTTGTTGCTCATTCTGTGAAGGCTACAGCTTTCAAAAAACGTTGGCTAACTGTGACCTTCTTCTGTAGAAATATACATGTATGCTCAGTATAATGTGATACCCATGCAGGAAACCATCATCTGTGCAATAAGGACCTTCAATCAGCAGATAGGACAAGTCCCGGTTAAAACTTTCTGGATCACACACTGTCTCTCTGTCTCTCTATTTTCTCCACCTCTTTACAGAAAGTGTTCAACGGTCAGTGAATGAAATAAAAAGGTTTGCCAAGAACAACAAAAACGGTAACATGCAGTTCCCTCTCTGAGGAAGCAACCTTGTGGGATTCCACATTTTTATAGACCTAAGTGATAAACTGTAGGCAAGTTTTGAAAACGCATAGGCAGTGTTGCAAATGCCATCATGGTAATGTCAGAGAAGCAAATGACATCATCATCACCATCACCACCATCTTCATCATACAGTAATCTCAGATAAACTGATGGAGGCAAATGGAATCCTTATTTGTGAAGGAACCCAAGAAAGATGAGCTATCTAAGAGATTGCCTTAATGTGGTTCCCCCAAAGCCAAGAAAGGCCATTTTCATCTTGTTTCAGATTAAATATTTTTTTAAAGAAATATTTAATGTATGCTAAAGCAAGGCTTGACTACACACAGAAATAAGGAATGAGCAAATGTCGCTCCAATATTTTTAAAAAGAAACAAAAAAGGGAGTATTTTAAAGCACAATCTGCAATTTACCTCATGTTTCTGTGCCATGCTATGAAAAGAAAAAGAAAAAAGGCAAAGTAAAAGAGTGGCATTTAAATCTGTATATTCTGGGTTGCGTTGCCATCAAATTCACCCAACCAAACTCATTAATTATCCATTCAGACTTATAGGAGATGGAGTTCTGAAGGTCGTGGTGGAAGGAGAGGTCATGATGCTCCCATGATTGCATATGATGCTCTCTTAGGATGTGGTAGTGATTGGACCGAGCTCTGCAACCGGGCAATGTTCCATGGCGGTGAGTAATCTAGTAGTTCCTTCATGTCGGTTCCTTATAACCATAACAGCAAAATATATTCGGCATACATACCATTATAATTTTTGATTAGGGTCAGTTTGGCTACATTAGGTGACTCACTAATAATTCTAGCTCTTTCCACTTACTACAATCATTGAAGTATCTTGCATCTAAAGCACTTGTTGTACTTTCCAATTACAGTGGTACCTCAGGTAACATACGCTTCAGGTTACAGACTCCGCTAACCCAGAAATAGTGCTTCAGGTTAAGAACTTTGCTTCAGGATGAGAACAAAAATCGTGCTCCGGCGGCGCAGCAGCAGCAGGAGGCCCCATTAGCTAAAGTGGTGCTTCAGGTTAAGAACAGTTTCAGGTTAAGTACGGACCTCTGGAACGAATTAAGTACTTCACTTGAGGTACCACTGTAGTAATTATTGCAGTAATGTTGTGCTGGTTGGGAAAAGCTTCATTTCTTATTCCCATAAAGGAAGTGGCAATCCTACTATCAAAGAAAAGTTAAGCCACAGGAATTGTGAGGTGTGTTTTTTTAATCTACGAAAGCTTATATGGTCTACACCTATGTTTCACAACTAGTTTTACAGCAGGAAGGAGATGACAGGCAAAGTGGCAAAGTTTGTTAAAGGCACTGGCCTTAACAAGCTGTGGTTCCCATAATTCTTTAGGAGAAGTCATGACTGCTAAAGTAGCCTAAGAGTGCTTTAAAGGTATGATGTGATTGTGACATGAAAGACCAATTGTCAGCATGGGAATTGGGCATGTCTTCTTTGGGCTGTTTCCACCTTAGAGTTGTTTCCCCCCCGCCCCAGTGACTTTTTTAAATGTTTCTGCCAACCTGATACTTGTCTCTTGGTGGTGCCAATTTGGACCAGCGCTCAGAGAACTGAGATTGCTCTTAATATAGATGATATTATTTCACGGAGAAGCTAAAAGGGCATGCAACTGGGTTCTCGTTTCTGCTTTATTTTACAGGTGAGAGTGCAGCAACTGGAACTATTGCTGGCTGTTTGTATGGCTTGCTTTATGGGCTCAACAAGGTCCCTAAAGGCTTGTACCAGGATCTTGAACAGAGGGAGAAGCTAGAAAACTTGGGAGAGGCTCTCTTCCGACTATCTTCAGAGGAAAAGTAAAGATGTTTTTGCCATTTCATTTTATTTTTAAAAAGATTATATTATACCCTGCAGCCAAATTCCTAAGAAGCAACTCTAAACAGATTTGTAAAAATTCAGGAAAAGAATTGTCTGCCCCTAAGTCTCAGTGAAGTCACACTGTCTTTAACATGATGTTATTTTATTCATTTACTCTGAAGTACTCCCACTACTCCACAGATAGGAGTTTCTTGACCCGACATAAGGGCCAGTCCACACATTACATTTTTGTTAGCAAATATAGGGACAGAATTAGCTGCAGCTAAGTGTACATTGGGTTGCAAATCTATATTTCCATGTAATGTGTGGAAAACTCCCAAACTATGCCAATATTGTTGCAGGCAGCATTATAAAATGCTGCGCAGAGGTAGAATAGTAGAATTATACTATTAAATTTATTGTAAGCCACTCCAATAATTTATTTGAAGAAAAGGGTATAGTAAATAAAATAGATTAAGGGTATTTAAATTCTGTCAGTATTCAATACTTAAGAATGTCTTCTAATATTAATTAATATTAATCATACTACTTTAATTATAGCACCTTGGCATTATAATTCTTGGGGGGATGAAGCAGTTTAATAACCCATTTTTGTTATAAAATTCTGCATCACATCAAAATGTGACTGCATGTACACATATGCCAATAATATATATGTAAAACTAATGCTGTCTGCACCCCTATTTAAGGCAAACTAATTTTATCACCCTTTGAAGGAAGTTTATCTGAGATTCTATTTCTCCAGTCCATTTTTATGCACTCTTTCCAGTTTCCTCTCAACTCCGTAATATCGACGTTTCTGTGATATCACCTAACTGAAAATCAATTAAATGTATATCCTTTTTCAGAACTGTAGTGCCTAAATATTCTAGGAAGTTATCTGAGATTTAGCAGAACACAAATATATATATATATGCAATGTAACAAAACACAACTCTACAACTATTCCTGGCTTCCTATATATTTTTGTGGTGATTCCCCCCCCCCCAAGAAAAAACCTTTACAAACTTTTTAATGATTTGGGTGGCTAAAATACTTGTAAATAAATTAATCTTATGCCTCTTCATAAGCATCATTCATTATTTTGACATTGTGTGCATTGCATGTTACTGTGTCATTGCTGGAATTCTTGCTTGCAGTTGTCACTAAGTCATTGTTGGTCAAGGTTACAGTGAGTTTCTTGGTGCTGAGAATCTCTTCTACTACAAAATCTAGAAAGTGTTGTTCTGGTGTAGAAAGATGTAGGATATATAGTGGCAGATAAAGAGTTTCAAAGTTAGTGGGTTGGATCCAGACTGAGGCTGCAATCTTACATACATTCAACTTGGAGTAAGTTCTGTTGATTTCAATGTGGTTTTCTTCTGAGTAAATATGGAGATGGCTGGTAGTTGTGGCATAAGTTAAGAGCATTTAGATTCTGTTAAAATCAATATAGAAAGTTAGTAATGACTAATTTAAGTCCTACTGATTTCCATTGGACTTAAAGTGTGACCAAGGTTGGCACTCAACTAAGTCTTACTCAGAGTAGACCCACTGAAATGAATGGGCCTCACTTAGTCATGTTCATTCATTTCAATCGGTCTACCCAGAGTTGAATCTAGTTGAATACCACATAAACAGTGCAAGTCTTACCATGTCTACTCAGAAGTAAGTCCTATTCAATTGGGCTTACGAGTTCCAGGTGAGTAGGATGGATTGCAGCCTAACCTAGTCTAGATGCAACCAAGGCAGCAGATATCCCTGTGTAGATTTTTATTCCCTCCGTTGTTCCTGATGTAGATCTTCACTCATCCCTTCTTCCGTGGTGGTAGGAGGCATGCCATTTTGTGGTTTACCTCAGGTGCCAAAATGTATTGGGCCAGCCCTTTGTGTAAATTTTGACATACACTGCCAGCTTCCACCTTAGTTCTTCACTGTGGTCAGGTCCTTCACTCTCTCCTGAAATTTTAAGGTGTTTTGCCAGTCAGAGGTTGACTCCCAAATGAAAATACACTGCTGGCCTCTTTCTTCTTCTCCATGTTGAACGTACTCTCTTAAACAGTCACCTTGTACGTTGTAACAGTAACCTTGTAACTATGAATAGTGACTGAGGCAGCCTACAAAACAATCTCTGTATAATATGATCCAAATTATGAAGCCGCATTTGCTGTTTTATATTATTACCTTTGTTTCAAAGCAGTGCCTTGGGCAGTTTATTTTATATGCCCCCAATCTATTTTAACTTTCTGAGTAAACCGCTTTGAAGTCCGATTGATTTCTGATATCAACTTTGTGCCTCAGTCCCCTTTTACAGTAAATAGGATGTATAGACCGTTCCTATGTACTTTTACTAAGAAGTAGCCACCACAGTTCAGTGTGACTTTACTTCCTAGTAATCATGCATAGGATTGCATTCCTAACACATAACTTTAATTCTTTCCATAGAATACCCATTCCTAACCCTTTGTCAGCAGCTATACTTAGTTGCCCTAAGAGTATATGCAATTTGCTTTCATTTGTTGAAACTGCTGAAGTGAAGAATATAGGTGCTGAAACATACAAACAGGTCATTCATGACAAGACACTGATTTAATTCTGGCCAGGAAAGAAAAAGGAATTTGCCATATCATTAGCAAATCTCTAATGTGATCTTTGGGTTCTTATGTTACCACAGCAGCATAGGAAAGTTTCCTCACTGCTGAGGTAACACTGAAGTGAGTCCTATGGACTCTGACCCACAGTGTGAGTTCTTTGTTTAAGATTGAAATTTTCTGCCTCTTGACACCAGAAGACAATTAAATGAGACCCAGGCCCACAATGCTGGTTTCAAGACCTCCTGAATATGCCTTTTGTGTGTGGGCGTTGATGAAACAAGGATTTCATATGGGGGAGGGATTGGAGAGGGACTGAAGAAATGGGGAACAGATATTTCCCCTTCATTCCCGAAGCTAGATTTATAAATGCATCATAGTCTTTGTTTGAAATAAAACTCTTGATGTGTTCTTTCCATCTGAAGGCTCCTATAACTTGAAAGGGCAAATTTTTTAAATCATCGGGTATATTTAATATTCATCCTTGAATTCATACTTCGGTAACGGGAAGAGAATCCAGTGAGTGACATGGCTTGAGATTAACACCAGTTCCAATAAATCCAAACCTTGAATCAGTGACGTTATCCATTCTTTCATGTGTGCGTCAGGCATGGCCTCAGCAGAAGCTGCTTTTTATAAAAGTGTTGTATACGTGTGTTGTCATGCAATGGGGAAAACCCCAAAACACAGTGACATCTAGCTGTTCATCCTTATCCTCATATGCTGCATATTGTTTGTTGTATTCAGTGCTGGCCAACTGTCAAAGTTTTCATTGCTTTGTAGTCTTTTTTTTTCCATTATGACAATGGTAATTATAAGCAGAACCTGTGATGTTGAGCACAACTGTTTCATTCAGATGTTCTTGTGTGCAATGTTTACCTGTGAGAAAAGCTCTGAGGCCTAGATTTTGCCATCTTCATTTACAAGCAGAGGGGTGAGGGGCAGTCTGCCACTTACATGGGATACTGTTCTTCAGGAACATCTATATTTCTGGTTATTGTGAGGTATAAAAAAGTCACCATAACATGTGCTGTTAAAATGCAACGTTGTTGTGTGTATTTCTGTCTGAAGATCTATCTCTCCAAAAAGCAGTCTTTTGATGCTTGCTGTGAAATCTCTTTCTGCTCCTCCCTCCTTCAAACTTGAGCTGGCATCCCTGTTGATAGGACATGACCATTAAAAGTACCTTTTTTTAAAAACCACAAAGCAACAACAACTCTTCATAAAATGTCACAGCTTGTTGAGAAAGGAAAAAAATAAATAAATGGTTGACTATCTTATAGTGATGTGGATGGCAGAATCTATCTGAATTTAGCAGCTTATGTTGCTTCTCGAAATCAGAAAAGCACCTTCATTGTATGGTCTGGGCATCTTACGTGGTAAGGATGAACTCCTGATCTGCTGGAATCAAAGCTGGCATTTGCCCTTGCATTCACCAGTGCCAGGATTTCATCCCAAGGCGATTTGTTGTCTTGCTTTTGCTTGTATATGAAGAGGTATAAAAACTTAATACTGTCCTGGTATGCAGACTGAATCCCATTCACATACTACTTTATTATTACGTGAATTAACCTTCCAAGTTTTTTTATGGTGCTAGAAAGTTGAAACCTCTGGTGCATTTTCCCCCCTCCGGGCTATTGTCTATTACTGTTGACTTCACCATGTAGCTTTCACACTGAGTTCACTATTTTATTTAGTAACTGATCCTCACCAGTTAATGCATTTCCTAAATCCTCAGCTGCCTGTAGGCCTAATTCTTCAAACAGAAGTAGGCTTATAACCATGCCAGACTTCTATCTCTACCCATGTTAATAAATGAAAGGATAGAGAGGTCAATTGATACTGTGTTGGATATCATGGTATACAATGCTTTTATCTCTGGCTTTCCTGATTTCATTGGGATTCAGAAAAGGGATTTTAAGAGAACATTTCCCCGCATAATTGATGGGAAAGCAGGTCAGATTTTCGCTTAGGACTAGATGGATTTTATTACACAGTGGAATGCTGCAAGCTTTCAAACTTTGCTAGCTCCCTATAGAGAGCAGGCCAGGCTCCAAAGCGTTCTGTGCATTAAAAAGTAGGATTTGGACTTGCATTTCTCAAACAGTATCTTCATCACATCCTACTATCAGATGACAAACTGCATTAGAAACTGAGGGTTTCAATAGTATGGCATGAGAGTCGGTTGAAATAAAACAAGTTTTTTTGTTTTGTTTTTTAAACCCCACTGAATGAATGAACTATGTAATCTTTTGCTAGTATCCTGTTCCTCTCTGGTTTCTGCCCCTTTCAGAAATGCACAGGATTTAAAAAAAAAATACAGACAGAACCTCACACTACATAGTGTCATGCTCCAGACATGACACATAGTCATATTTTGTTTTCTGGTACTTCAGCTGCATGTTAAGCCACTATGCCATTATTTGGAATGTGCCTGCAGAGGCGCATCCTGTGTTTCAAAGAAAGTTTAAAAAAACACCACTCTGTGCTAATACTATGTATGCTTACTGTTCATAACAGCCATTCCTGGACAGGTATCAGCAATCATCTGTTAATAACAGTCATGGCTAAGACAACTGTTGTATATCATCTTCTGCACTGGATAAATGTGCCTGGCACATTAAGAGGAGTGCCGATGTAATTTTACTTCTAAAATTAATGCTCATTTTTTATTATGCATATATTATGGTTTTTCACTTTTAAAAAAACCTGTTGATTTTATCTATATCTTGATACATTTTATTATGTCTACCTGTTTTTAAGTTTACTTTTCTTGGTAATATGAGTATTTTATACTGTGTGTTTTTTTAAGGAGGAGGACTGTAGTTCAGTGGTAGAGCACCTGTATTTCATGCAGAAGGTCTTAAGGTCAATCTCTGGCAACTCCAGATAGGGCTGAAAGACACCCTTGCCTAAAATTCTGAACAGCCATTTCCTGTCAGTGTTGACAGTCCTGAGCTAGATGGACTTATTGCCTGACTCAGGCAAGTTCCTGTGTAAAAATAAAAAATAAAGCGGTATATAATCTTGTTTAATAAATATAAACACATTAAAACCAGTAAGGAAGTAAAAGCAATGTTGATGACTTTCCCTGGACAAAAACAACAACATTCGTTTTCTTTTATGCAGCAGAAGTAAAGGTACAAAGCTGGGCAGTGATAAGGTGCTGGTTGACCCCATAGTGCTGAAGAAGAAGCTCAGTAAGATGTCCACAGAACTAGGTGCATTTGCTGTCCTCAGCAGCCTTCTACTTTACCTCACAGACCTCCTATCCAGCCAACCCCAGGTCGAGAGCAAGAAGGCCAAGTGGCTCGAAGGGATAGAGAACAAGGTGAACTCGAGGCGCGAATGCCATAGCGCACATGGCGGCATTCGTCCCACCAAATTCCAGCTTCTGCAATCGAGGTTCATGAACAACAACCGCGAGGCCTACAGGAAAAGGTCGAGAGAGGTTGGCAAGCTGGTCATTAAAGAAAAGCAGAACAGAAATGGGCTAAACTCCATTGTAAGCAAGCTGGACAAAAGCTCCTCAAAAGAAGGAGAAAGCCCAGAGATAACACCCCACGATAAAGTCAAATGGGTCTGCTCAACCGGGAAAAATACTGTGAAGAATATCCTGAAGAAATTCTTAGTTGCTGAGGAAAAAGAAGCTAAAGAAAGAGAAAAGCAGGTGGCTCCAAAAAAGAAGACCCCAAACGATAACCTGCCCAAGATAATCAACAAAAACTCTGTCTTGTCCAAACTGAAAGAAAAGTTTGAACAAAGCAGTAATATCTGTTCAGCCATTGAGGTGAAATCTTTGCTGCCGCGCAAAGGCGAGAGAAAGAGCAAAAAGGGCCCAGAGAGAAAAAAGATTTGCAAACCTGAAATAAGAGTGCTTGAAAGGAAACTAAGGACAACCACAATTGTCAACAGCCCTCAGCCTCAACAGCTGGTATGCACAACTGTCCCTACACCTAAATTCTGTGTTGCTACTGAAATTAGTCACCCTTGGAGCTGGGCTACAAATGCCAAGTCCACCACTCAGACTTCTGAAGTGGGGAGGCCAAAAGACACCCAGAAAGCACCTGGCATTGGGTCTCATGACAGCAGGATACCAGAAAGCATGACACATAAAGGGCAACTAGGAGGACAGTTGCAAAACAAGCATCATGAAATGTCTAAGGTGGTGGCTGACAAAAAGGACATTGTCGAGAGTAATGTAACTCCTACAAGCCCGGGTTCTAATCAAGACAGTGTTCTTCCTTCATGTGAAAATGTGTCCCTTGTTGATGGCATTCCTCCTTTATCTAAGAACAGCTTAGATCACAAAGAGAACATCATACCGCCTGTGGATGATACCTTTTCCAGGTCCAGAGACAAAAATGCAGCAAAAATCATGAGCAGAGAAAACATACCTACTAACGACCTCTCTTCTAATCCAGCTGAAGGAGTTCATGTACATAGTCACCAGGAAATGAAAGAGGATGGGATTCCTGGCATACCAGAAGGCATGTTCAGGCCAAAGGAGACAGAAATAGAATTAGCAGAGCCTATAAAAGATCCCCCATTCACCAGCCAAAAATGTTTCTCTGAAAAGAAAGTGTTGGAAAATATTCCACCATTTCTCTCTCCTGTAGCTCAGGCATCTTGTAACAGAGAGCCTCCAATAAAGGACCAGCAATCAAGTGTTGAACCTGCAGCTGTTCACAAAATGCCTCCGCTTAAGCCAAGTCAAGATAACGCACAAAGTTTGGGGAGCACATTTTCTGACACGGTTCAGAACAAAGAGAAGCTGCCTGATAAGGAGGAACTATTTCCTAGCCTTAACAAAAGCGACCATGCGGGTAAAGCAAAAAAGGGAGTGCTACAGCCATCGAGAAGCCAAGGTGAGCCATCTGATCAACAGGCAGAAAGGGAGCATTTGCCCAAGGAGCCACAATCACATCCAAAGCTGAGCCAACAAAATAACCCTAGCTCAAACATATCAAAACAGACTATAGATCAACCACACCAAACTCCTACTTCAAATAGGAGCCAGAAAGACAACAATGATTTAAAAGGAAATGATTTTGAAAAAGAGCTTTGCCCTTTGACTGGCGATTTAGATAAATCCAGCTGTGTTAGAGCAGCAGAGAATACTAGCAAAGCTGAACTGCGCTCAGATAATGAAAAGACAAATTCTGAAAACAAGAGCAAAAAGGGAAATAGTAGCTTGAGCCATTTGGATACCCCTCAGAGGCTGCCGGAAGAATTCATCAGACACGAAACTGGCAATCTGGAAAAGAATCCTACACCTCCTTTTCAAAAATCTCACTCATCCTCACTAACTGACTCAGCAAATCCAGAAGGCGATACTCCAGAAGTCGACAGACCTTGGTGCAGTGTTGGAAACCTCCAAACCCCAACATCAAATGCAGTGAAAAAGAAAGAGAGCTGTATTGTAAGAGATAATGCAGCCACTCCTAATTCTGAGAAACACCACTTCCCTTCTCCAGCTGAATTGCTGAAGCCCAAGGGGGCACCTGGGCAAGACAGCAAGCCAACAACAAGCAATTTGTGCAATGATTTAATTAAGAGTGAAAACCATGCTGTAGAAGTTGAGGGTATGAGTCCCCAGACCAGGAAGTATCAACCAGCCTCAACAAAGGAGACTAGAAAGCGTGAAATTAGTCCTGTAGGGGAGGCAAGCCCCGCGCACAATGTGGAGAAGCAGCAGGTGCCCTTAGGAAACAAAACTGGGAAGCAGGAAAGCATAAAAGTGATGGCAGAAGTAAAGCCTGAGAAAAGCGGATTTCCCTCCCCAAATGAAACAGTAAAGCAGGGGAACAGTGAAGGAGGAGAAAGAAATCTACTGAAAGAAGTACAATGTCTAATTCCATCATCTGTTGACAGAAAGGGGCAAGATGACAAGGTAACAAAAGAGAAAAACTCTATAGTGGGAGGTAAGAAGTTGGTGCGTAACTCCAATATGCCCCAGAAATTAATAAAAAGTGACCTTGCAGAGGGTGGTGGTGAAAGAGCAGGTTCACAGCAGCTGACCCCACCAAAGCATAAACCTAGCAGGCCGGGAGTGTTACCTTCCCCAGATAACTCAAAATGTCAAACACCATCAAGAGATCCAGAAAAAGGTGGAACTGTTGCATCAAAAGATGAAAACGCTGCAAAACACCAGCTCTCCACACTCAAAGAACCAGTGAAGTGTGATGATAATGCTAACCAAAGAAATGCCCAGGATAGCCTTAAGACTAAGAGTGACAAAATACCATTATCTGGCAAGAAAGTGAAACCTGAAAGCAAATCGGGGAAGACGAAAGAGAACACTAGTAATTCTGGGCAAAACCAGTTACCTTTGGAAAATGAACTTCCAAAGAGTAAAAAGGCTGAGCCAATGAAACCTACAGCAGAGAAGTCACAGAAACCATCTTTAGATGACTCTAGAAATGGACTTCCAAAGAGTAAAGAGACTACTGTAAGCAAATTGGGGAAGACAAAAGAGAACACTAGTAATTCTGGGCAAAACCAGTTACCTTTGGAAAATGAACTTCCAAAGAGTAAAAAGGCCGAGTCAATGAAACCTGCAGCAGAGAAGTTACAGAAACCATCTTTAGGTGACTCTAGAAATGGACTTCCAAAGAGTAAAGAGACTACTGTAAGTAAATTGGGGAAGACAAAAGAGAACACTAGTCATTCTGGGCAAATCCAGTTACCTTTGGAAAATGAAGTTCCAAAGAGTAAAAAGGCCGAGCCAATGAAACATGCAGCAGAGAAGAAACCATCTTTAGATGACTCTAGAAATGAACTTCCAAAGAGCAAAGAGACTACTGTAAGGGAGAGAGGTACTTTGTGCAACCTTAAGGAACATCAGATACCAGCACCAAATGAATCAAAGACTGAGCCAGTAAATCTTGCAGCAGGGGAGCCGCAGAAACCATCCTTGAATGACTCTAGAAACCATGAGGATATTGCTAAGAATGAAAAACGGGCTTCATGGAATTCTAAGAACCAGCAGCTACCCTTATCAGATGTGAAACAGGAGAGCCATCAATATAGCGTCACAGCAGGGAAACAGCAGCAGCAACCACAACCACCAAAGGATTATGTCAAGCCTAAATCTAGTATAAGAGATGGAAAGCATATGCATCATAAATCAGAGAAGTATCGTCTTCCTGCCTCAGATGAACTGGGAGTGCATGAAAAGAATGCTAGTGAAAGGAAGGGTTCCTTGGCTCCACTTTCAAGTCACGATAGGACCATGCAAAAGAAGAAAACACTATGTGAGACTGATACTGGTCCCAGATTGGGCTCACCGAACAAGACATGTCCTGCAGAACAGAGAAAACCACAGCGTAGTCCTCCTGGCAAGTACCAAACTCTGTCAGCAAATGTGCTATCAGAGCAAGGAAGTGGGGAATCTCAAAAGCTCGGGGCTGATGCAATAAGTCAGAAAGCTAGATCACTAGCCTTGGAAAAATACATAGCAGAAAGCTACAGTGAAGAACTAGTACCTTTGTCTATTAAACCAATGGTTGTTCGTGTGATTGATACAATTAAGCTTGATAACTAAATGCAGCTCAAATGACTGGAATATAGACCTGAATTTTTCATCCTCTGGCCACTGTTTTACTTCAGAGCTTTAAATATTGGCATTGAAATCACACTAAGTTGGCTGTCCATTGATCAGTTTTGGATTTTAGCGGTTTATAAATTGGTGTCACCTGGAACCTCAAGTATATTACATGTCAACCCAGAATAATCAGAAGCCAATGATTCATGTATGGTAACTCTTAGATGTAATAACTATGGGAACAAAGGCCCGGTCAAAATATGTGGCAGAATAAAGTGGCCTCATGCCGCCATAACACTTATTTATATTAGGAATAAACAGATAAGCAGCACAGGAGGCAAAGACTAGACTAGAACCTTTCTTCCAGATGTGCTTAACAGAGGCAAGTTTACTAAAACCTGTGCCCCTCACCTGGGAGATGGAAGTGATTGTGTTTACTCTGCCTCCTCAATATGCTGCCTCCTGTTTCTGCTGTATGGGAACCCTCAGCCAAAATTAAGCACTTTTAATGGGAGAGGCTTAAACAGTAAAAACAACAAAGAAGTATTGTGGCACCTTAAACAGCAACCAGTTTATTGAGGCATTTCCATGAAAGCCACAACTTCTTTCTGTTGCTCCAGAGGGCAGGGTGACAACAAATGGGTGGAAGTAGCAAGGAAGCAGATTAGAAGACACTTCGTAACAATAAGCTGTCTGACTGGCGTGGGCTGCCTTGGGAGATGCTTTCCTTCAATGAAGGGGTTGGGTTTTTTGTTGCAATTTTGCGAGGGTATATTACAAGGCAAAACCATAAAACTACAGAAGAAACACAAAACAGAATACAGAGTGAATGCAGGAAGGATACAATGTTACACCACAAACAAGCATCCTTAGATAAGGTGGAGCTGACAAAGTAGTAATTATACTGTAATTGTTATTCTTTGTAAAATATTTCAGTGGAGGTTTTTCAACAGAGGCTGAATCTGTCAAGGTTGCAGCAGTTCGTTGGGAACCTGTGGATACTGCCAGACTACAAATCACCCCAGACCACTAGCCATGCTGCGAGAAGCAAAGTTACAGAGAACAAGGCAGAGGGCCTTCTCAGTAGTGGCACCCACCCTGTGGAACGCCCTCCCATCAGATGTCAAGGAAATAAACAACTATCTGACTTTTAGAAGACATCTGAAGGCAGCCCTGTTTATTTTTAGTATTTTGTTGAAAGCCGCCCAGAGTGGCTGGGGAAACCCAGCCAGATGGGCAGGAAACAAACAAACAAATGTTATAATTATTATAATTATAGGGTTCATGTCCAATACTACCTGGAGGGCCACATATTTCTGTCATGGTTGCATTGTAGGTTCTGCCCTCAGTAGGGGATTAGACAAGACTGAGCAGGAGATTAGACCTCTAAGATCCTTTTCCAACTCTGAAATTGTATGATTCTATAATAAAAGGTGCCAGACTTTAAGGTTTCACAAGTCTTTGCCAGATAGCTTTCTGGGATTAATCATGATGGATGACAGCTTAGAAGATCTGTCCTTAGGACTTTGCTTTCTTTTCTCCCAGTCTCTCACTTTCTGTGAGGGGCAGCTGGCATCTTACTCTTGGAAACAGGATGGTGGGTTAGACAGGTCTTGGGTGCGAAACCAGTGGGGCATAAAAAGTGCTTAACTTCAGCTGCATCGTACCCAAAGTGTGTTTCTCTGCTAAAGGCTGAGGTCAGTGTATAACTAACTAAAGTGACCCTTTTGAGAGTGCACTTTCTCATTCTAATTACTCATTACTCATTCTAATATAATGCTGTTTATTAGTGCTCCTGGAAGGCTTTTGACATTGCAGGCTATTCAGCCACTGAAATCATGCCTGTATATACATTTTTGTGTGTGTTTTAATTGTTTTCAAAAAAAAAGTGAAAACAGTGATGCGTAATAGTGTGCATAAATAAGACAAGCATATAAAGATAGAAGAGGCCTGTAAGAAGGTCTTAACAATGCTACAAAATGTAATAAACCGCAAGTCATTTTTGAGTATTGTAATTAAAGGCTCTTTGTGACAATTAAATTACGAATACATCTGCTCTACAGGATGATACAGTAAAATCCTGAATGAAATATATTTTATCACGGGGAAAATATTGATCGAATCTCTTGCAGAGGTAATTTGGTATCTTCCATGTGTTCAATGCATTCAGATTCCTGTATAGCTTTATCTTTCAACGTTTATTACATTCCTCATTGTGATCAACTTATTAATAAAGATTTGGAATGTGGCAAGCATGCCAGATCCTAGCACTTCCTGGAATATGCAGAAAAGGCGCTGCAGAAAATGATGAAAGTCATTATTGTGAAATCTGGAACAAGAAAAGTCGCCTGAATCCACTGCCTAAAATTATGGGACAGAATAAAGGATCATCTTCTTGGTCTCCCTTCTTCCAACTTCTTTGTCCACAAAGAGAGAGTGTCTTGTTTAGGAGCAGAAATAGGCCCATTTTTCCTGAGGCACTTCTGTAATGTGAACATACCAGATGGATAAAAATCCAAGACAGGACCCAGGTGTCACATTAAGGTCAAGACTTACAGCAACAGAATTCTGGTCTACAAAATGAAACTTGATACTACATAATAAGCAACCAGGATCTCTGAACTGTCTTAAAAGAAGGTGACTTTCACAATTCAAAAAGCAAACACCTGTAACCCCTGTCCAAAAAAATACATTTTGTCAAGTTCTGGAAGGTTCTGTTTGCTTTTATCTTTTCAGATATTAGTTATTGCCAGATATCACAATATCTCTTAGAGCAGAAATATACTGCACTGATTTCAGTTAAATTTGCTTCCAGGTAATAAGTCTAAGGCTGCAATGGACTTCTCTACCTGCCTAGAAGGAAATAAAACTCCGTGGAACTTTCACCCTAGTAAATAAGTTGAGTGCTGGAGGGAGACTCACAGATTGCTTATTGTCAGTCTGTGGGGCAAAACTAGATGTGATGTTAGTCATATGTTTAAACAAGTATCATAAAGTTAACCAGTACTATTTTTCTAGAAAGAGAGGTGCCGGAACTCACCATGAATGTCTTCCTTGTTCTCTCATCACGTCAACTGCACCCACCTGAAAGGTGCTGGAACTGAGTTCCTGTAAGTTCTGGCTGTAAAAAAGCCCTGTAGTTAACCACGTTGCTTTTACTTTGGGATGGGGGAAACTGGGGCACCGATCCACAATATGCATGCAATTCGGTTGATAGTTTTCTGCTGAACATTGATCCCTTCTGGCTGCTTTCTGCACCCCCCCCCCAAAAAAGGTGCTGATTACTGTAAACTACACCTTTGAGATCAAATAGCAGTAAACTGTTTTAGGGGCTGTTTTAGTAAACTGTTTTCAAGATTGGAGTCTTACAAAATAAAATAAAAGTGGCCAGGTCATTAAATATGTGAATAATGTTCCTTTTAGTTTGGCCCTGAAGCATTTACTACTGATAATATAATGCAACGTTTGTGCACCAATATTCTTTTGCTACCTCTCAGGTAAATGTCCTCTGGGAATTCCTAGGACTTTGCTATGATGGTTATTTGTATGAATTATTTGGAATTGCTAGTTGAATATAAGACTTAGGGCTCATTCCATTATACTTGGATGTCACTGAAAATGTTTCTAGGTGGCAATGCAAATTTTTTCAGCTATCTGAAAACATGGGGTGGAGCAATGATCTTTGAACCAGTCTTCAGGAAACTGCTATGGATGGTCTTTGAGAAACCAACTGGAGACAACCACATACTGTAATTTTATTTTGTAAATGCTATGTCAAAGTAGGTACTTATGTTTAGATACTGTTTTTCAACACTGATGAGCAGGAAATGGACTTTCTGTTGATGGAGAATTTCTGCACGACTACAGTCTCAACTGGAAGTATTTTTGAAGAACACGACAGTAAGCTCAAAGCAGATACTATTGTGGATATGACAGCAAGTTTTGTATGAACTATGTTATAAATCTAGACTCGTGTAATATATTTAATTGTAAGTCTTTTGCACAACTTGTTTGTGTAGTTTGGAATGAGACTATTACATGTGTCAGACTTCATAATTTGTCTTGAAACACAAATATTTCTTATTTTATTGTATTATATAGTGTATGCTTGTTGTTGTTTTTAAAAAAAGAATCCCCTTTTATATGGTACTGTAATGATTTATCTTTGTGTGTAGTTTTGTTTAATAGGAATTTATTTATTTATTCTGAAGTTTATTTCATAGCCATCCAGGCCTAGATAACAATGGGTTCTTGTGGGAATCACATTTAAACTTTTTTTTTTAATGCTGTGACACAGTCCACCATTTTGCAGATCATCACAATAAACCACCTCAGTGAGGCCCCATGGCGTTATGTGATGTTTCAGGTGTTTTTCATGATTGGCAGGTGCATGAGTGCAAAGAGATTGGGGAGGCAGGGTTCACAACAAGCTTCACAAAGGTGTACCCTTAGACAGCCACAAGGTACAGCAAATAAATAAGTAAAATAATTTATCGGAAAGAGTAAGTCTTAATTTTTGTCACCTTTTTTATACTATAAATAAGGATCTAAGGTCTAAACCACAGCGAATCCCCACAACGGGATGAGCTCCTATTGTTCGGTCCCTGCGGCTGCCAACCTAGCAATTCAAAAGCACGTCAAAGTGCAAGTAGATAAATAGGTACCGCTCCGGTGGGAAGGCAAATGGTGTTTCATGCTGGCCACATGACCTGGAAGCTGTCTGCGGACAAACGCTGGCTCCCTCAGCCTATAGAGTGAGATGCGTGCCGCAACCCCAGAGTTGTCCGCGACTGGACTTAATGGTCAGGGGTCCCTTTACCTTTAAGGATATAAATATTCATTGCTGTATCAGACCAAGATCTATGCAGTTTTGCCAGAGTTCAGCATTTTTTGCCAATGGTGTATACAACCAAATGAAATCTGCAGTCTTTTATTAGCTTGTTGTTATTGTTCAAAATGTTGGGACAGCCACTGTTAAAAGGCAATCAGATTCACCCTTGATCAAAGACTGAAAGAGCAGTTACATATATTACAGCTCTTGGACAGACAAGACAGGAATACTGAAGACATGACACAGCACACGTTGTTCCCTGGGACGTTAAGTAAGGCGTCAGTTTTACATTTTTTTTCAAAGTCAGAGGATTAGCAGGTCTTCCTGGCATCAGAAAAACATTCCCCTCCCCTGGCCTACACATCTCATAAACACGGGATTAATTTAAAACAGGGCTCACTGGGACAGTAGCCTTAGGATCTAGGTCCAATGCCAAGCGGCAAAACCTGAATATATGAAGCCAGGATATTGATCCACTGGATTATCTAGAGATAAAGTTATTTCCTAAGTTTGGTACTTCTTAAAAAATGGACAGAGGTTCTGTGCCTTGGGTATTTAAGGTGGGAGTATAGCTCATCTGTTGTACACACTATTGTTGCCAACAGTTAAAATGAGCTTTGCTAGAAGGTATGTATGCCAAAGGGATAAATCCCTTTTATTTGTGGCTAAAGAAGATGATCTGTGTTGACAACCTTGCTGCCATTATTGTGAAGGATAAAGAAGCGTAACAATCCCAAGTGCTCTGAAAATATTTCTGTCCTCTCTCTCTCTCCCACCACTCCACAATTTTAGCTGTAATATATCAGTATGCGGAGCTTTCTGCCTCGTTGTGCGTCTTGGTTTGTTTGTTTTTGGCACACAGATTTGCCATTCCTCATTAAAATATTGATAGAATCATATAATTGTAGCATTGGAAGTGATCCTGAGGATCGTCTATTCCAACTCCCTGCGATGCACGAATCTTGAATAAAGCATCCATGACAGATGGCCGTCCAACCTCTGCTTAAAAACTTCCAGTGAAGGACAGTCCACAACCACCTGAGGGAATCTGTTCCACTGTATTCGTTCCACTGATTGCTGTACTCGTTATGACTTGGTTTAAGTCTCTTTTAAAGGTATTCACTACATCTTGTAATATATACCCATCGCGCTGGTTGTTGGTTCCTACTCAGGGGAATGTTATATCCCGGTATTCTCCATCTTGCCATAGCTAGAACTACACTATAGTAGAATACAACAATTGCTTAGTTTCAAAGCTCACCAGTGTCAGACCTCAAAATCTGTTTCATACTCCAGCATTTATACTGCCAATTCTCCCCCTACCCCTGCCCACCTCCCCACAGGTTGGGAGTGCCACATGTACAGAGTGCCTTCCTAACCCTATGGAATAACCACAGCCATAGATCAGGATGGGGGGGGGGGATAGAGGGAGACCTGTGCTCTGAGTTCAGCACCTCTCAGCTAATTTTATTCAGCTGCAACTCTACACCAGGGATAGCAAGTTGCCTGGAAGTGACTCTAGCAAAATAAGCTGACATAAAAGGACTAAACTTTTTCAGCAGGGGGCTGGTCCATTGTTCCTCAGACCTTGGGGGTGGACAGACTATTTGGGGGGGGGGGTACTGAACGAATTCCTATGTCCCACAAATAACCCAGAGATGCATTTTAAATAAAAGGACACATTCTACACATGTAAAAACACGCTGATTCCTGGACCGTCCGCAGGCCGGATTTAGAAGGCGATTGGGCCGGATCTGGCCCCTGGGCCTTAGTTTGCCTATCCATGGACTAGTCACTAAGACAGTGTCTCATATTTATCCTTTTTTAAAAAATGCAAATGTACAATATGGGACAAAATGCTCTTTGTTAAATACACAACACAAACAAATATGCATTGTATAAGGCTCCTCTCCCTGGATCCCAGTGTTATAGGAATTTATTTTTTAAAAGATAAAATCTGATTTACTGGCTATTAAGGAAGGGAGCAGATTCAGTTCCCCAGGTTCCTTATTTCTGTCCAAACAGCAGACTGCAGGTGAGACATAGGCCTTTTTTAAAAAAGGCTGCATTTAGCTGTTTTTAAATAATATTTTTTTTAATTTTTTTGTACCCTGTCCATCTGACTGGGTTTCCCCAGCATATGGCTTCCAGCATATATAAAAAACATAATAAAACATTAAAAAGCTTCCCTATACTGTACAGGGCTGCCTTCAAATGTCTTCTAAAAGTTATATAGTTACTCATAACATCTGATAGGAGGGCATTCCACTACCGAGAAGGCCCTGTGCCTATATTTCTGCTAGAAAGAGTGTTCAGACCAGAGAACTGAGCAACTTTTATTTACATGGCACCTGAAATACCATGTTCCAGTTCTACCACTAAGGTGTGTGTGGGGGGGAACCTTTTCCATCCCAAGGGCCACATTCCCTTGTGGGCAAATTTTCAGGGGGCTCCATGACCATGGCAGATGTGGGCCAGTGCAGCGGGCACGGCAAATGGATGTGACTCTTACCTTTGTAGTGCTGATGACATTCCAGCCATGGAAAGACAGAAGTTGCTGACTCTCTCTCTCTTCCTCTGTCTCCATCCAGGCATGCATGAGGCATTGTAACAGTTCAAGGACACATTCCATCCAGGCAAAAATATTCAAACAGAGTACACAGGTCTCAAAACAAGAAGAGGGAGCTAGACTGCTCCTTCTCAGGGAGGGCTTCCTCTGAATTAGCCTTCCATTTTAGGAAGACCTTCAACTTTTGCCTTTCGATTTTATTGCAGCTGTTTTATTGTTGTTTTACTCCAATACTGATTTTACTCGCTGCCTGTAACTCCTGCTGTTGGTTTTAATGTTTCTCGTTCTTTTGAAGCAAATATTTGATGTAGTTTGTTTGGGGATTTTTAACTTATTTTTGTTCATCGTTCTTGCGGTTGCATTTTGTGCATCCTGGTTAGGAGATTTGAACTGTCGAGAAAAGCGGGGTGTTAATGCGTTAAGCAATAAATAATTATAATAAATGCACAAGTTTTGTTGCACAGTTTCAGGATTTGAAGAACTGCTAAAGCATTGACCTAAGGGAAAGTGTTGTTGTTTTTCGGTTCTAGTTTTCTGAAAGAATTAAAGTTCTCAAATTGTAAGTGAAGATAACTAAACTAATTTATGTATATTGTAGTCAAATTTCTCTGTAAAGGTTTTCCTAACAAATGTTTCATTAAAAACTCATTTTCTAGAGCCATTTCAATCGGGGTTTAGGCTTGATTTTGGCAATTAAACTGCTTTGGTTGCCCTGCATGACTGTTGGGAGAGAGACAGGGAAAATACCAGTATGCCTTTGTTAATTCTCCTTGCCCACCCAGGGCAAGACAATTTGAGTATATTACAGCGATCCTGGCCCGACTACACTGGCTGCCAATTAGCTCCCAGGCCCAATTCAAAGCACTGGTTTTGACCTATAAAACCTTAAACGTCCCAGGACCACAATGCCTCAAGGGACCGTCTCTCCCCATATACAGCAAACTGACCTGGACTCTGTGTTCATCATCTCAACCCCTTATTTGTGTGCCTCCTCCACGTGAGGTCCGGAGGGTGGCAACACGAGAATGGGGCCTTTTCTGCAGTGGCTCCCCATTTGTGGTATGCTCTCCCCAGGGAGGTTTGTCTGGCGCCTTCATTGTATATCTTTAGGTGCCAGGCAAAAACGTCCTAGGCCTTTGGCCGATTAATATTCTACAGCCTTTTAAATGTGTTTGTAGGTTGGGGCATTAGTGTTTTGTTGTTTCTGTTTTAACTATTTATTTGTGCTTTTATCTTGTGTTTTTAACTTGACATCTTTTGATGAAGGGCGGTAATAAAATTATTGTTATGTTCATAATTGTGCATTTCTACACACAATGCGTCCACTGTTTATAAGGAAAACAGTATTGTTTATTTGTTCCATTTGCATTCCTTTCTTCCTCCAATGACTTCCCCTAAGGTTATTCCCAACCTAACAAGGTAGGCCAGGCTATAGCAATTTGACAAATGCCCCGCAATGAGCGCCATTGCTGAGTTCTGAATCCGAGTCTCTACGCCTATTAACAACACAAGCTATCCGTTAAACCACCACACTGACTCCAGCACCGAAGATACCTTTGCTGTTTACAGGTTTAACCTTTCGCGTTTCAGTTCCACAGAAACTGTAACAGATACCAGTGGGTATTATTAGTATAAGCAGTCATCCCCCCCCCCCCCTTTTGCTATGTACAGGAACTATCAGCTGCAGTGGGGAGGCTCCATCATGTGGCTTGATTTATATTGCAGGATATAAGTAAATAATGGAAATTAGCAACTACGTACATGTAATTAAGACGTCCAAAACCCAGAGGTACAAATCTTGATTGTGGGGTGGGGGAACACATCGAATTGCTTTTAATGAAAGCTGGTCTATACGTTTTCTTTTTTCTTTTTACATAAATAACGAGCTAGCATTCTTTCCTATGTGCACAGCTATGCCTATAATAAAACTTTGCATGTGTTTGAATTGGGAGTTTCTAATAGAGCAGAAGGGACGTGGGTGATGCTGAGGTCTAAACCACAGAGCCTAGGACTTGCCGATCAGAAGGTCGGCGGTTTGAATCCCCGCGACAGGGTGAGCTCCCGTTGCTCGGTCCCTGCTCCTGCCAACCTAGCAGTTTGAAAGCATGTCAAAGTGCAAGTAGATAAATAGGGGGAAGGTAAACGGCGTTTCCGTGCGCTGCTCTGGTTCGCCAAAATCTGCTTAGTCATGCTGGCCACATGACCCGGAAGCTGTACGCTGGCTCCCTCGGCCAATAAAGCGAGATGAGCGCCGCAACCCCAGAGTCGGCCATGACTGGACCTAATGGTCAGGGGTCCCTTCACCTTTTAATAGAGCAGAGGGGTCTTTCATAATTCCACTTGTTCTGTGCCTAGAAAGCATGGTTCCAAGCAGTTTTCCACTTGGCCAGTGCTGTATCTAGCAGTTTTGCCTTTGCCCTGCTGTTTTGGCACTAAATCGGAGCAAACGTCAATCTGGAGAAAACCCAATTGGCGTTTGCTCTGATTCAGTCCTAAAGATCAGGTCTCCCTGGGGGGAAGAGGCAACGCAAGCAGAAGCATGGATGAGCTCCGCTACTTCCCAACATCATTTGACTCAGGTCCACTGCTCAAAAGGGCAGTAACAGTTGTGTCACGGTTGTACCACTTTGGGTAGCTCATATGCTTCTCCTCAGAGTAAAAAATAAATGCTTGCACACAGGTGACTTGGTATCAGGGAACAGGCTAGCCTTGTCTGGAACCCATTCTGCTGATCACTGTTTTTTGGTTTTGTTTATTTTTACATGCAAGGATTCCTGTATGGATTATGTAAGCAGGATCATTTAACTAGGCATGGTAAAGTCCTGACACAGGTTTGCCACCTCAGTGAATATGCAACCTTAAATTTCATTTTGTTTGCTTGTCTGGTTGATTTCTTACCAGCCATTTACCTCGATGTTCTATGGGTGGTTCCAGCAATTTAAAAATGCAATATTCAAATTTGTTTAAAACAAATGCAATTGAAAGAATAGGGGTGGGTGGGTCCATACATATACATATACATATACATATACATATACATATACATATACATATACATCTACATCCCCACAGCAGTGACCAGAGGAGGAATGACTGCAGAGAGAAGAAACACCGTGGTGCACCTGTAGCAGGAAAACAGGATGTATTCATCTACCCCTGTTGTGATAAAACACTGTATTCCTCTCTACAGTCACAGCAGGTGCAGAAACTTTCCAACAGTTTGACTTTACCCCTGAAGGCGCACTCTTCCACTGTCTGTAGGGACAGACGGATGCCAACAATTATATGCAAGGTGTCAAATAATAGGGTAAATAAGTAGATCTTCAGCTTGCAATGGAAACTGCACAACAAAGGTACCAGACGCACTTCCAGGAAGAGGGGATTCCTCAACTTAGTACCTGCCGCTGAAGATGCCATCTTCCAGGCTGTCATACGAACCCTCCAAACTTCTGAGGATGGTGGAACTACCAAGAGGTAGGCAAGACCTGCTGATCTTAACACCTGAGAGGATCTGTAGGGAAGGAGGCAGTCTTAGAGATTTGGGGCCTGCCTTGTTTAGGGCTTGAAACACAAATGTAGGCACCTTGAACCAGACCTGGAAATGACCTGGCAACAAATGCAACTGTTTTAAAACAGGGGTTATAGGAGTTCTGAGTTGTCACCACAGCCTGTAATCTGGCTGCTGCATTTTGAACCAGCTGAAGTTTCTAAGTCATCTTCAAGAGGTCACTGAAGGCTTATTGTGTTTTCTGTATTTGAGGCATGGCTTCCAGTAGTTTTCAACCTGTGGGTCCCCAGATGTTGTTGGACTACAGCTCCCATCATCCCTGATGGGACGATAGGCCTTGCTAGCTAGGGATGATGAGAGTTGTAGTGCAACAACATCTGGGGACCCACAGATTGAGAAAGGCTGTGACACTCCAATAGGAGCCAAATCCACTGCCTCTCCACCCCCTGACAGAGAGAAGTACCCCTCCCCACATACACAAAAGGAGCATCTTGCTCATTTCCATCCTCTCTCTGATTCTCTCCCAGTCTGTCTCACTCCCAGACAAAACTGCGGCTTCTATGGAGTTCTTGCATTATTTGTTTGTTTTAAAGGTAAACGCCTCCTTTCAGGGCAAAGCCCCCTTGTCCCCAGAGCTTGCATCAAAACCATAAAATCTAGCAAATTGCTGGAGAGGGTGTGGGAAGCAGGATACTTTTCTCCACATGTGGTGGTCATGCAAGGAAACTGCAGAGTACCAGCGAACTGTTTTCGGAGAAATAAATAAGATAAGCAAACGATTCTGCCAAGCCTTCAATTGACTTTACATATGATTTCTGGTGGGCTATTCAAACTGTTCCTGCTTACAGCAGCTAGGACTGTAATAGCTAAAAACAGGAATTCTGTGGGGGCAAATATATTAGAAAGCAGGACTTGGGAGGTTGGTGTATATATAATGCTAATGGGAAACCTTAGACATAAAATTTAGGCAATGCTGAAAGGAACGGGGGGGGGGAGGCTTTCATTTTCTCTAGATTTCTCCCATTCTGCCTTACTGCTGGAAGTACGGTACTACAATAAACCACTTAACCTTTGAATGGGTGACATCCTTTTTTCTTTTGTAGGCAGACTGTTTTTTTTCCTGCAGTGTAATTTTCTGCCTCTAGATGGTGCATTTTCCATTTAGCAGAACAATCTGGGTGTAGAGCAGGAAAGACGCATCACAGGGTATCTAAGTTCCTTAGAACATTTGCATATAGGTAAAGAAAAAGAAATAATTGCACAATATGAATTTTTCAAGCATGTTATCATTTCCCTGCTGTTGGCAAGCCTATGTTCAGAACCGGTTAGCACAGCACAGCTGTACTCTACAATGTAGCCGCAACTAAATTGTCTGTTCCAGCTGGTTAAAGTTGAGATACCAGCTCTAAAAAGAGTCCTGTCATACATGTAGCATCTAGGCTATTGATTCAATTATTCCACCTCACTACATTCTCTGAAAACATGTGCTGTGATCTCTGAACCATGACACAGGGTCCATTTTGACAGATGTTACCCAGACATGTGTGTGTGCATATATACATCTCTGAGTATGTAGATACACAGAGAGATGCATTGTCAAATATTTTTTAGCTTTGAGAGATCTCATTTTTAGGTATTTGGACCACCTGAGAACCACGATGACAGAGATGTGTTAACACAAAAGTTTGTTATATTTAGTAGATGCAACTATAGCTAGCTAGCAGAATGCCAAGGTCAGGCTAGTATTAAAATCTAGCCCTGAAGGGTCTCCAGACTCTTGAGTCTGTGACTCATGAGGTCAGTGTCTTGAACTAGGAATTGAGCCCTGGAGCCCAGAAAGAAGAAAACATGACTTTCTTGACCATTGACTGGCAGAAAGCCTGCTTCCTTTTATGGATACCAGAAGCTAATCCACACTTGCTTGAGGTTGCATGGCTCTGTTACCTTCTGTGTGATGCCGGTTCTGCAGTCCTCCCAATAAAGGTACAGGTAAAGGGACCCCTGACCATTAGGTCTAGTCGTGGCCGACTCTGGGGTTGCGGCGCTCATCTCACTTTATTGGCCGAGGGAGCCGGCGTACAGCTTCCGGGTCATGTGGCGAGCATGACTAAGCTGCTTCTGGCGAACCAGAGCAGTGCACAGAAACGCTGTTTACCTTCCCGCCGGAGTGGTACCTATTTATCTACTTGCACTTTGACTGCTAGGTTGGCAGGAGCAGGGACCGAGCAACCATCTATAAAAGCTCACAAGCCTAAGTCTCTGAAGTTTTTGTTTCAAGCCTCTGGATAGCAATGTCTCTTATTTACAGAGAACAGTTCTGCATTGGAAGGTCTGTCAGAGGCAAGTCCTGTATTTAAAGGAATCCTTCTATTTGAAGGGCTAAGTCTGGTTTAAAGGTAAAGAACTGCATGAAGGGAGATCAGGGGCCTTGAATTTGCCCATCCACAATTAGGATTCTGAATGGAATCCTAATCATGGTTTCACCCACTATGGTGAGGTACACCGTATTCCTGTTAAAACTGCAGTACTTTTTTCTAAATTTGTGTCTACGTATACATCAGCACATGCCCATTTTATGCAAATAGGTAGCCTCTTAGGCGGTGGTGTGTTTTGTCTTTTTGGGTGATGGGTATGATAATTCCAAGTATCAAATTCAAAGGAGAGTTTTTGACAAATTCGCTGTTCCAAAGTAACTCTCAAATGCCGGTACCCTTTGGTCCAGTTCCTCAAGTGACGAGAATCCCAGGCCTGCGAGAGTTGACCC